ATTTTAAGCTATCTGAAGATGACAAAGCTATTTTTGCCAGAAAAAAAAAAAAAAAATTTGCTTCTGACAATGTAGGTCAAACGTAAACATGGGTATAGTTTGAGTTGTTTAAAAACTTTAAATAATGGTCTGTTAGGTGTCCAAATGGCACTGTACGGTAGGCTATTATTAGACTGATCGTTTAGTGAAAAAATATTGTAATTATTTTATAACCATTTTAAGAAATCGGCGCCCAAAAAAGGTCACTGAAAGCACGTAATTTTTAATTGTGACGTCATCGCTATTGTGATGGATGCTGTACGGAAGTATGCGCAATAGACGCTAAAAGGGTTGTATATTATTTCAAATGGGCTCACAATTTGGCCTTGATTTCCTGCGTAATTAGGCTAATTGAGAATCATTAGTGATCTTTTACCTGGCCATGTGATGATAGGTATCTTACAAGGCTATAAAAGCCCGCGAAACACATCGATCTACCCTTCAGATTGGTATTGGTGAGAGTATTTGATGCATACTTATTATAGCAAGGATAACTAACTTGAAAGCGTCTCTGGTTGCTAACAACACAGTAGCGTAGCGAGGGGGGGGGGGGGGACACATGTCCCCGGGCGCCGCGCTTAGGGGCGCCAAAATGGGTTGGAAAAATAAATTGAAAGGTTGAGGGGGGTGCAAATTGAAAGTTTGAGGGGGGTGCAAATCAAAATCTCGAAGGGGGGGTGCAAATCAAAATCTCGAAGGGGGGGTGCAAATCGAAAGTTTGAGGGGGGGGGGGGGGGGCGTGCAAATCAAAATCTCGAGGGGGGGTGCTAATCGAAAAGTTTGTCCCCGGGCGCCGGGAAGGGTCGCTACGCCTCTGTAACAACAACATGGCGTCCTAAACCGGACGCTTAGTTTCGGACATTTTTCTTGTCTGCCCAAGTGACTTTATAGGAATTCGTTTTTAAAATGTTTACCTCGTGAAAAATTGCGGTTTTTTCACATAATGTAAACAAACTATAGTTGGCAGTGCTAAATATGCCAGAGAAACGCTATAAATTGCTTTGGATAATGAAGACCGAAGCTCAAAAAGTGGTGCCGACAAACATTCGTAGATCTTTTTAAATATTAGCAACTACGATGTAAATCGGAAACCGAAAGTACATCAATATTAGATTTAACAGTCTGTGTAAAAATAAATCGAATATTACATGCGCTAATTTTAAAAAAAATTCTCCAAAACGGTCACCACCAGAAGTAAAAATTCCATAACCCACGTGACCGCTATTGGGCGGCAGACGTTCGCCTAGGTGGCTCTATCGACTCTTTACTACGTTTGTGTTGACGAGCGTTAAGTGAATATTTTCCAATTTTGATTTTTACATTGCTGGACAAATTAATTAAGTATTTCGATCTGAACACGGTAAGATAGGAATTAGTTGGTATTTCTGTAAAAGCCCGTAAACCTGTGATCTCGTGGTGAAACGCGATCTCGAAAAAGTCTAGGTGCTAAATTAATTACTTGATTTTATTATTACTAATTACTACTAGATCGAATTATAGTTAATATTATTTTCATTTGCTTTCATTTTTATATAATTGATTATTATGATTTAGATCCAGAAGGGCTAGGCTAATAAATTATAATAATTATATTAGAGGACAGCCTGCATAAACAAAAGTTTGCATTCTTAGATCTAGATCTAGTTGACACAGTACAGGGACTTGCGCACACGCTCGCGTGACGAAAGAACGCAAGCGGGCTCGTGACGAATTTGCATAATTTTTCACTCACAAGTGATCAACGTTAATGTGATAGGCGTAGCCTAACAATCTTTAAATAGATCTATCTAGATCTACACACCAGCTCTAGATACAAATTTAAGTATTAAAACTCCACCTGGATCTAGCTTCGGACGGGCGATGTTTCTCTCGTTGACAAAACAACGCGAGTGAGCCGTCACTACGCACAGCCTATGAGTGGCGATGTTTGGAATGCATTTCTCGCTCACATGTGATGAAATTTAATGCAACGACAGTTTTAAAAATAAAAACAGATTTTTTATTATGCCTATATACTTTTTTTTAATATTTAAAACTCAGCCTAGACAAAGCTTCCATGCTGGATAAGGGAGGAGGGTTAGATTCCGCCGTTAACTCAATCTATGTATTATTATGCATAATTGTCCTAATTAAACATTCCTATTTACACTGATTAATCAAGACTGAATAAAACGTGAAAATGAATACCTTTAAAAAGTTTAGATCTATATATTTTTAAACATTTATACGTGATTATTTTTGGTTCATTCATTTGGCGTTTGCTAAAAATATAGTAAATAGATTACATAACCAAGTTACGAGTATCCTTTCGATTTCGTTTTATTGCAGCATACCTCCACTTCCCCCTCCCCACACATGATCCTTACGAACCTCCTAGGTAGTTTTCAGGTCAACTTTAGGAATCAGATCTCAGACTGGTTGTCATGGAAAAATCTTTCACAGCTAAGCTGTATGGCACCAATAATTAAAATCATGTATTTTAGTTCATAATGAGCTAAAATCATCAAATGTAGTGCCTAGTTAGTTAGAAAAATATCTCTAGCTTTTATTGGTATTGGTTAAAAAAATAAAAAATTAAAATTAAGATTTAGTGAGCCTCCCTAATTATTATGACTCATTATCAATTCGGAGGTAAACCTCCATTTTAGCGTATTTTATTCTCCATTGCTTGTTTACCTCCAGTTGAGCGTATTTTATTATAACAACCGAAACACACCAAAACATTAGGAAAACACGATTTATTTTTTGTATTGTATTTTTGTTTTAGCAAATGAATAAAAATGAATATTTAAAAAACACGCCTTGTTTATTTGTATTGTATTTTTTTTAAAAAGGCATTTGTCTCATGGTGAAACAGATACACTGTTAATTATTCTGTATTATATTTTTTGTATTTATGCAATAAATGAAGGCCTACAAACTCTGTGTTTTTTTGTTTGACAATTTTGCCAAAACTGAAAAAAATATTTTTACTATAGAGTTGTATGTTATTTAAATTCATAGTAATTCTACTACCTTCCAAATATTTTGATATATGTAGGCCTATCAAGTATGATTTTTTGTATGAGTAAATTTTTGGCTTTAAAAAAAATTGACGTGGGGTCGTCCATAAATGACGTCACACTCGTAAGGGAGAGGGGGTCCGCAATTTTGTGACGGTGTGTAGGGAGGGGGTGGGGTTTCAGCTGGTGTGACGTCACTTTTTTGCATTATAAAAAAAAGCAATGTTAGAAAAATGAGTTTTAGCCGTTATTTCGCGTTTTAGAAAACGGTTTTAATAAATTGTAATAGGAATTGATCAAAATACTCTGTTGACAGAGTTCTGACAAGCTTTTGGAAAAATTATCGATGTTTTAAGAAAAATTCAACAAAAATTTTTAGGGGGGGGGGGGGGGGTGTAGGCTGTGGTGTGACATCATTTTAGGGGGGGTCTGGCTTTTTGTGACGACGTGTAAAGGAGGGGAGGGGGAGGTAAAAATCGTAAAAAAAGCGTGTCGTCACAAAAAGCAAGACCCCCCCCCCAAATGACGTAGCACCATCTGAACCCCCCGTCCCCTCAACACACACCGTCACAAAATTACGGACCCCCTCCTCCCCAGAGGCGTAGCGACCCTTCCCGGGGACAAACTCAACTTTCGATTTGCACCTCTTAAAAGACTATTTAACACTCGTATTAATCACTTAATTAAGTGGAATTATCATTTTTCTCTATATATTTTGCTATTTTTTGCCTTGGTGTCACCCCCCCCCCCCTAAATGGTGTCAACCACGCTACGCCTCTGCCCCTCCCCCTACTAGTGTGACGTCATTTATGGACGACCTCTAACATTTTTTTTTTAAAATGACGTGAGTTGTCACACTTTCTCTAACACTCCAAGCCATCCCTCACCAAATTCCACCCCCCCGGCCCACTTTTAGCAGCATTATTGTGCCTTTTAATACTTTTATTCAGTTTAGTTGAAATTGGAACACTTAATTTTACAAAGTGTGCATCTCTTTTTTTGTAACCAACGAACAAAGCACTTCAGTCAGCCTCTTTGTTGTTTTTTATTCATTATTTAAAACAAAAATACAATACAAATAAACAAGTCGTGTTTTTTAAACATTCATTTTATTCATTTGTGAAAACAAAAATACAATACAAATAATAAATCGTGTTTTCCTAATGTTTTGGTGTGTTTCGGTTGTTATAATAAAATACGCTCAACTGGAGGTAAACAAGCAATGGAGAATAAAATACGCTAAAATGGAGGTTTACCCAATTCGGTAATCTATCGTTTTGGGTACGTAAAATCGCCCGCGGCTATTTATGTACGAAAACGTTACCTCATTGTCAAGGCTTTAATAGAAGTATGTTGTCATACTTTTGTGTCAAATATTATAGATAAATGAATAATAAACCTAAATTAATGGCTAAATATATCGATATAGGCCAGAAATTAACTTTAAACAGCAGTGTCTGAGAGCAAGATTTGCTATATAAACAGCAGCCATTTGTAAAATAGAGTGACTTCCCCCTGAATCTGGCGCTAAAAGCTTATAAAAATAAAACTTAGACAAGATGGCTGCTATAGTAAATGAGCATGGTTGCATCTGTTGGAAACATCGCTAGTCTTCATTTATTACGGAAAAGTTTTAATTCAATTGTTTAAAAACAGGTACATAAATGAATCAAGGAAACATTTTTGAATTTTTTAAAACATAAATTCTCCTCAAAATGTGAAATAATTATTAAAATTTAAGGAGTCACCTGTTTTTCACATTACAAATCGCGGGCGATTTTACGTACCCAAAACGATAGATTACCCCCAATTCGGATACTGGTACAACACAGTGTCACATAGATCTAGAGATCTACCCCTTTTTTAATAAATGCGAATACAAATAGAAGAATCATTCTGAAATAGTTTATCTAGGTCTAGATCTAGATATATATATATATATATGTGTGAAATGATTACCTCCTTTCTGAATAGCTTGACGAACAGGTGCAGCCATTGTAGTTGGTATAAGTGACCTTGTAAATAATCGACTCTTTAGCATTGAGATTGAAAAACAACCAAGATTCGCTTATTTTTGGAACTTTTGTTTTTAATTATCCAATAAATCATAATTTTAACTTAAACTATCATAATTGGGCAAACTGTAACACGCATAAATATACACTATATATATATATAGTTTATACCATATTGTCCATATGCCATTGATATAGAATAGAGTGGACCTATAAGAACTCCTTTCGCCGTGACATTTGTCATGAATGAATTGGGTAATGAAAGCAAAATCTCTAGATACCGTATGGAATTACAAGAAAAAAATCAAATCAACAGAAAAGGTATAGGCCATTCTATATCTTAACACATTTATTGCCTTGTCCGAAAAGCGGCCGAAGCTATTTGTACTTATAGCTTTTGTAAAAGGTATAGATCTAGATCTAAATGAGAAATGAGATGTAAACTTTTTAGAACACGATTAAATCTCGCCCGAAATGAGTCAGACATTTGTGTGTGATTTGTCTTTGATATATCTATCTTACAGCGAAATAGGTTCAGTGTTTCTTCCAGACTTTTTTCTCCGGGGGGGGGGGGGGGCACTTGAAATTTTCGGAGGGGGGGGGGGACGGACGACACTGTTAAAAGTATATATTTTCTATATACATTCCATTTCGTTCGCGGAGCTGTATACTTTCTTCGGCTACAGGACATTACCCCACCCCTGTATTCCCCCCCCCGAGCAATTACCCCCCCCCCCCCGTCAATTACCCCCTCCCCTCTCAAATTAGAATCCTAACTCTAACTCAAATTCAATACCTATATATTACCATAATCCAAACCTTAAGAAAAAAAAAAACTTAAGCATTCACCTCAGCCTAAAGCTAAACTCAAAACCAAAACCAACGCTAGACATTGGTTTAAGTTTAAGCCTAACCTTGACAATAACACTAACCCTAATCCTAACCCCGCATCTAGCCCTAACCCTAACCGTAGCCCTAACCCTAACCGTAGCCCTAACCCTAGCCCTAACCCTACTCTAGCTGTACCATAGCTATGTCCGGGGAGGTGGGGGGGGGGGGGTAATGTCGGGGGGGGGGGGGGGGGTAATGCCCTGTTCCCACTTTCTTCGGGGGGGGGGGGGGGACTTTGTAATCCTCCAAGTATCCGAGAGCCATAGAGCAATACTGCCTTGACATTTGTATTGAACATTTTTATAAATGCTTACGGCATATAGATCTACTTAAAATAAGATGGCCAGACAAAATATCAAACAAAGATCTGCGGCGAACTTTAAAGCAACAGCCTAGAGACATATATCAAGGCCCGTAAATGGGGATAACTCCGCCATTGTCTGGTCCCAAGTCCAGAATGGGAAAGGAGGAGGGTTTTGGGTTTGGGCTAGCAACCCACCATGTAAAAACAAAAACGCTACAGAAACGGCAACAGATCTAAATCAAACCATCATGGGAGAGCAACCGAGGACCGAGGCAGCTTTGCCTGATATGACGAGTCTAGATGAAAGCCGCAAGGAAGTCTCTACTCTGAAACAGTCCTTAGTAACCCCCAAAATTATTACACGAATAGGAGCTTGGAATGTGCGTACCATGTACGAAACTAGCAAAACAGCTCAAGTGGTCAAGGAAATGTCAAGATACAGGATCAACATCCTGGGTATCAGCGAAATGAGATGGACAGACTCAGGCCTGACTACACTCGGATCAGGAGAAACTATAATCTATTCTGGGAGATCTGATAACCAACACCAGGAAGGAGTTGGTATTATCATGGATAAAATATCAAGGAAAAGCCTAATAGGGTGGGAACCAATCAATTCTCGCATGCTTAGAGCCAGATTCTACTCAAGACATGTAAAGATTACCGTAATACAGTGCTACGCCCCGACAGAACAAGCAAAGGATGAAGACAAAGACATGTTCTACCACACTCTACAAGAGCAAATCGACAGGACTCCACAACATGACATTCTTGTGGTCATGGGAGACATGAATGCAAAAATAGGGGCCAGTAATGAAGGATACGAGATCTGCATGGGTAAGGAGGGGCTGGGAGAGGCAAATAACAACGGCCAAAGATTTAGAGAGATTTGCCTAGAAAATGGTCTGGTTATAGGTGGCAGCTTATTTCAGCACAAAGAAATACACAAATCCAGTTGGATATCCCCAGATAAGCGAACCAGCAATCAAATCGATCACATTGCTATAAATAAAAAGTGGAGAAGATCCATGAGGGATGTAAAGGCGATAGGAGGAGCTGACGTGGGTAGCGACCATAATCTAGTCTTGTGCAAACTACAACTCAAGCTTAAGAGAGTTGACAGGAAAGTAAACCACCAGCTATTTGACTCAGCTAAACTAAAAGATCCCACCATTAAGGAAAACTTCGCAATTGAACTAAAAAATAGATTTAGTCTACTCGAGAACCTACCAGAAGAGGACACCAATACTCAATGCGAGAAGATCCTGGATGTATACACGAAAACAAGCCAATGCATACTAGGACACAGGAACAAACAAAGGAAGGAATGGATCTCAAACGATACTTGGAATCTCATTGAAAAGAGAAGAGAAGCCAAAATCAAAACACTATCTGGAACCATGGAAAGCAGGGTACGGAACGATGTAGAATATAGAAGACTGCAAAAAGAGGTAAAAAGGAATGCTAGGAAGGATAAAAGGAACTATGTAGACACAATGGCCACAGAAGCACAGGCTGCAGCTGATAAGGGAGATAGCAGAACAGTCTACAAGATTATCAGGACTCTAACAGGAGGAATAGCAAATAGGTCATCTACTATCAAGGACAAAAACGGGAAAGTTCTTACAACGGAGAAACATCAATTGAAAAGATGGGCTGAATACTTCGAAGAGACCCTAAACAGACCAGACCCAGAAGAAACTGCTGACTTCACTGACATGAACATACATTTTGAAATGTATAGAGGACCCATCCTAGAACAAGAAATAATAGAAGCAATCCAAAAAACAAAAAGCAATAAGGCTCCAGGAGAGGACAGAATCACTGCGGAGATGCTAAAGGCAGACCCAAAAATAGGTGCAGAAACTCTATTAGGGATCTTCAACAAAGTATGGAATGAAGAAAAAGTCCCAGATTCTTGGAAACGGGGAATCATTATCAAATTACCCAAAAAGGGCGACCTTAATGTTTGTGAGAACTGGAGAGGCATTAATCTTCTGTCAGTACCAGGAAAAGTCTTCTGCAGAGTGCTATTACAAAGAATGAGGAAAGGAATTGATGGGATCCTTCGTGAAGAACAAGCTGGCTTCAGGGCCAACAGGTCATGTAACGACCAAATATTTGTCTTGCGCACTATAGTGGAACAGTCCCTGGAGTGGAATTCGTCTCTCTACATCAACTACATAGATTTCGAGAAAGCATTTGATAGCATCCACCATCCATCATTATGGAAGATACTAGAGCTATATGGCTTTCCAGGAAAAGTCATAAACATACTTAAGGACATGTACTATGATAACCAATGCTGTGTGCGACACGAAAATCAGCAAAGTGAATGGTTCAAGGTAAAAACAGGAGTCAGACAGGGCTGTGTCATCTCACCTGTCATCTTTTTGGTGGTAATAGACTGGATTATGAGAAGAGCCACTGAGGATAAGCCAAGAGGAATTGTTTGGGAACTTACCAACCACCTAGAGGACTGTGACTTTGCTGATGACTTGGCTTTACTTTCACATGCCCAAAAAGACATCCAAGCGAAAACCACAAGAATAGAGCAAATTGCCAAAAGCGTTGGGCTAAAGATAAACTCCGGAAAAACCAAGCTAATGAAAATAAAAACCAAAAGTGCTCTCAAGACCTTTGCGAATGGAGCAGAGCTAGAAGAGGTCGAAGACTTTAAGTACCTCGGCAGCTATATATCAGCAAATGGCAGCACGGAGAAAGAAATTGCCACCAGAATAGCAATGGCAGCACAAGCTTTCAACAGACTGGCTAAGATCTGGAAATCATCCTCACTGCAGCAGAGAACTAAAATAAGGATCTATAAGTCTAATGTACGTTCTGTACTCCTCTATGCTGCAGAGTCATGGAAACTAAACAAGAAAGTAGACAGCCGACTCAGAGGCTTTGAAAGAAGATCCCTCCAACGCATCCTCAGGATAAAGTGGGACGACAAAGTCCCGAACAAGGAAATATGGCGAAGGACAGGATTAAACGACATTGTCTCAGAAGTTAGAACGAGGAGATGGAGATGGCTGGGCCATGTCCTACGCATGAGCAAAAAAAGACTCCCCAACATGGCGCTGAAGTGGAACCCACCCGGAAAGAGAAGTAGAGGAAGACCACTGGGAACATGGAGGAGGGAGATGGAAGAAGAAGTACAGGCTACTGGCAAAACCTGGCATGAACTAAAGTGGCTCGCACAGGACAGGGTGGAATGGCGGAGATTTGTTGTTGCCCTATACTCCACAGGGAGTGATGAGGATTAAGTAAGTAAGTAAATGGGGATGGATCGAACACCTATTAAGAAAAGAAAAAGAAAACATCGCAAAACACGCTTGGGACTGGAATCCCCAGGGAAAAAGGAGGGTGGGCCGGCCAAGGAAGACATGGAGAAGAACGGTTGAAGAAGAGGCGAAAACAGCTGGGCTCACATGGGCACAGATAAAGGGAGCAGCCCAAACCGAGTCCGATGGAGATGTGTGGTTGCAGCCCTTTGCTCTCCAGGGGCCACGAAGGAATGATGATGATAGAGTGACAGGGCTGTGCACTTCCACATTGGGTGCAGTGAGTTAAAGGCACATTTAGCCTTGTTCATACGGCATTTTATGTCCTGGTCTGCTCACACCTCCACCGTCCTTATTGATCACACTTCCCAGATATGTGAATGTGTTTGTTTCACGTATATCTTCTCCATTCAGCTGTAATTGTAGGTCCTTGTTGTTTTGATTCTAATGACCTCTGTTTTACTTTTGTGTATTTTTTGTCCAACTTTGGAGACTTCTTCAGATAGCCGATTCAGTTTGGCTTGTGCATGTTGCTGATTGTGAGATAGTAGGCAGATGTCATCGGCAAAATCGAGATCTTCCAACCTTTTCGTCAGACTTCACTGGATTCCTTTGTCATTTTTTGTAGTTTGTAGCATGATCCAGTCGATTACCATCAAGAATTACATTGGCGATAGCATACATCCACTCCTGTCTTCACTGTGAAGGGTTCTGTTACTTTTCCTTTGTGTATTACATGACAGGAGTAGTCTTCATATAGTTTCTGTTTGATATATATATATACATTTTTTGAGTATTTCATATTGGCTCATTAACTTCTAGATAGCGTATCTATTCACACTGTCAAACGCCTTTTCGAAGTTGACAAAAGTCATGTACAGGGGGGACTGCCACTCAAGAGACTGAGTCAAGGAACGTGCCAATGTGGTCATACATGACCTGTCTCGACCAAGGCACCTCTAAGTTTCTCTAGGTTGATTCTTGTCAGCACCTTACTTGGGACCGAAAGAACCATTATCTCATTATCCCTCTCCAGTTTTTGCATTGTGTCAGGTCTCCTGTCTTTGGCAGTTTTATCAGGCAGCCCAGTTTCCAATCAGATGGGATTATCTCATCCCAAATCTGCATTAGTAAAGGATGTAATATATCTGTTAAAATGGCAGGGTCTGCTTTGAGTGCCTTTGGCGGGACGCCATCCGGGCCAGCTGCTTTGCCATTTTTCATGCCCTTTATTGCTCTTATTATTTCTTACTTTTTGTGTGTGTGTGGGGGGGGGGGGATGGAATCTGTACTCACATTAGGTAGGTGAATTGCAGGTGGTATATCAGAAGTGTTTCTTCCAGACTTTTTTCTCCGGGGGAGGGGGGGGGGGGGAGCACTTGAAATTTGGGGGGGGGGGTGGTAGACTTTTTTCGGGGGGGGGGGGGGGCGGACACTGTTAAAAGTATATATTTTCTATATAAATTTCATTTCGTTCGAAGAGATGCCTGGAAGAAACTGTGTATATCAGGGATGGTTGATGAGAGAGGATGGTTTAGAATCTCCTCTACGTGCTGTACCCATCTGTCTCTCTGTTCTGTGTCACTTGTTAAGATATTTCCTACTTTATCCTTCACTGGTTTGTTGGGATTAATATTTTTGCCTGATAGAGTTCTGGTTACTTCATAGAGCCTCTTCATGTTTCCTTGTCCTACTGCAGTTTCTGTCTCTTGTATGAACTGTCTTTTGTCTTATTTTGCACTTTTCCTGACCATGTGATTTACTTCCCAATAGTATGCGCAATCAGTGGCGTAGCGAGGTCGGGTGTCACCCGATGCGGCACTTAATGGTGTCACCCCCCAGAGGCGTAGCGACCCTTCCCGGGGACAAACTTTCAAGTTTTCGGTTTGAACCCCCCCCCCCCCCCCCCCCCCCCCCAAGTTTTTCTCTATATATTTTGCTATTATTTGCCTTGGTGTCACCCCCCTAAATGGTGTCACCCGGTGCGGTCCGCACCCCCCCCCCCTCTCGCTACGCCCCTGTACGCAATTATCTATCAACTTTTGGACTATTTCTGTTAACCAGAATTTTTTTTTTGTGGGGGAACATGCTGACTTGAGTATTGTTTCTGTTAGGTTAACGAAATTTTATAGATAAGTATAAGATCTTATACTTCGATAACTTGCAATTTTTTACTGACCTGATACTCGGAAGTGATACTTTATTTCTTGTTTTAAAAATTTGCATACCGTTTTAATTAAGAAAACCACATTTTATACATGTCAAATTTTAAATGATTTCCAGTGACCGGAAGTGGTACTTGAAGCCGTTTCCGATTTCTCCAAAAATGTAATCAATGTTCCCTTTATATAGTAGGCCTACTAATTCTGCTCAGTATTATACACAATTTGAGTTCACTTTGTGAGCAATTCTTTTTTCTATGTGGTTCCCTTCTATTTTAAAAAAAAATTAAGTATTAAAAATAAAAAAATGCCTTCCTGCCTATTGTTATATAATAAATATAAATAATATACAAGAAAGTTTAAAGGAGATCACTTCCGTTTTATTTAATGTATACTAAATTTTACATCAGCCACAAATTCAATGTCTAAATGCATTGGAGTAAACATACCAATAAAGTAAGCTCTTTAATTAAGTTTATTTAAGTGGGAATCATAACAATTGAAACAAGTAAGTACATAAATAATAAACCCTAAAATAGTATTTTAAAATGTCAAGATAATCTAATCACTAGAGGTGTTATGATTATGTTATCTAATAAATGCTAAGAAGATGTGTGCAATAAAAGAGAAAGCTTTAAAAATCTGGATTTTGAAACATTTTTGGATTATGCCTTGAATGTGGTAAGAAAAAAAAAAAAAATTGATAATTCCTATTGCTTGATACTCTGAAAGTTTTTCTTACAGTTTAGAACATATTCACACCATTGATAAAAGTATTTTAATAGCTCTGATCAAAGAAATAGTATAGTTGAAAAGTGGAATACTCCAGTTTTATAATAACACAGCTCCATTCATGACAAAAGTACCAAACAATATAAATAATAATGATTATCAAACATAGGAATTTTACATATTGGGAGTTTTTGAGTAATTGCAGTTTGAAAATCAGAATAAATAATTCTTTGTTTAAAAGATAAAAATAATATCAGCTACCCAGAAATCCTTCAGAGCAATATCTTATAAGATTGGTTTAAAATTTTGGGAGTTACAATTATTTATAGATATTTTGAACAATAATCTAAGAAATCAACTAATTTTGGCTTTTAAAAATTTAGCATTTATTTAATTTTTAAAATTTGTTGGTAAAATGTTTATAACTTTCTCTTGAAATGTATATACAATTATCACATTAAAATTTTACAATGTTTATAATAATTAAATTTTGTCAACAATAAATATGAATTATTTTCAAATAATAAAAAAAATAGAACATTCTTACCACCACCTCCCTCTTTAAGTATGGAGAAAAATTAAAAAGCATTCTGTGGATCATGCACAATTTAAACTAATCACTTATTTAAAAAGTGGAATAATGCATATTAAAAAAATGCCTTAGGATTGATGGATTTTTCTGACATTTAACAATATTTAAACTGCTTTTTTTTGTATTCTCTATGAATAACAATTAAATTAGAAGAGCACTGCAAATTTTTTAATAACAAAAAACTCTGGTGCACTTTCTCTTAATAAAAAAATAAAAAATTCCCAACTATAATACATATCTTTACAATAATATGTGAAGTCAAATTAATATACAGCTGTTCCTCCATTCTTTCGGTAGTCAGCATTTGCTTGAATTTCATCATTGATTTTCTGCAAAGCTATTATGCTTGAAGTTTCTTGCAGTGAAAATTTCATCAAATTGTGACCTTTAATTTTAAGTTCACCAAGAACTGACTGAGGGATTCCATCTACACAAAAAATGTTTAAAATTTAAGCAGTTAGAAACTCATTTTTAGCTTGCTAATGTTATTGCTTGCCTAAAAGCAAGTACAAGTTACATATATAAATAGTGAAGGAGTGAACTTTTGTTTGTAGAATGTATTACCTTCATAAAATGTTGTCGGATCTAATTCATTGTGAATCCTTGGCCTATTTATTGCTTTAGAAATGTTCATTTTGAAATCAATTGCATTAATAATTGATTGAGTCAGACCTTCAAGTAAAAAAAAGAGATTTTATAATTAGATTAGAATGCATAGACTATCATTTTTTTATGTTAATGAGCAATTTTTAATTGCTAATTTTAAAAAAAACTTTTTATAATCAAAGATATATATATATTAAAACTTCTTAAACTTGAACTAGTTAATAAAGTACATATGTAAAACTATTTTAAGGCAAAACCTGTAGTAAGTTTCAATCCACCAGAACCACCAATTATTAGTCTATAGTTGCAGGGATGTTCTTCATCATAGATGACAGTAGGACTCATGCTAGACAGAGGTCTTTTTCCGTGTGCTATCCCATTCTTAAAGTCACAAGAAGAAATTTCAAAGAATACAATTTTCAAAATAAAGTTATTTAAATCTAACAGTTAAAAGGTGTTTGGCATTAACTTACAGCAGAAGTTAAATTAATAAGGTCAAAATTGAGGAGTTCATCATTCAGCAAAATTCCTGTTGTTTCAAGTAATGTTTTACTGCCAAAATTGTTATTCATACTTCTGTAAAAAAAAAAAAAAAAAAACCCACAAATAACAGATGGCTTTTTAATCTATTATTATTAGACAACATAAATTTCAGACAATTTATATCAAAAGATTAGTATAATTAAGCATCATTTTTTTCAATACTTACAGAGAAATAGACACCATCAACTCAGAAGAATCAATAACTGAAACATGCGATGTTCCAGCACTTTGGCCAGGCAGGAATGGGCCATAATATGTTGATTCAGAATGAGTTTTATTGTTATCAATTTTATTTACAAGTTTTGAAACAAATTCATCATTTAAAAGCTCTTCTACATTTTGTTGCATACTAGAATTGAAATTAGGATCACCCAGTAAAGCTCTGTGGGCAAAGGCAAACTTGAAACTCTGAGAAAAAAATAATTCATACATTCATTGTTGCATCAAACATTTTTAAAAATAGGGAAATAGTTTCATGTATTCTTTTTAAAATATACTAGTATTTTAAATGTCTTTTAGTTAATAATCTTCTTCACCTCAATGAGTTGATGGTAGGTAAGGCTATCATCATATTGCTTTTCATTCCATCCTAGTTTATCAACCATTTTAAGGATTAAAGCCACAAGAACTCCACCTGCTGGGGGTGGCAAGCTGACCACTGTCCATTCTGTCACAAAAGAAATAGTTACTGAGATTTCTCTCAATATAATAGCATTTTCTAAGAATTCATTATAGAATATGAAAATATTTTTAAAAACTATAGCAATTCGGGAACAATTAACAAATACATTGTTATATTATCTTTATTATTTTTCTATACCTGCATTAAATGGTATCATAAATATCCAATTTAAGTAGTTCATAATTAATTTTTACTTTCTCGGTAGTATAGAGAAAGTATTGTAATCGTGCAAAAAAAAAAATATCGAGATTTTTACAAATCTCGACGTTTTACACCTCACTGATACGGAAAAACATAATTTTGCAATCTTGTTCGTATGTCTGTGTGTGTGTCTGTGTGTAAACACGATAACTTGAGTACCGTTACAGCTAGGTTGATGAAATTTCATATATAAGTATTATATCAAAATCGTAGATCCGTATCAACTTTTGAGCGATTTCCGACAACCGGAAGTGGTACTTTTTCTACTTTGAATTTTTCAAAAGCCTATAACTTGAGTACTATTTCAGATAGTTAAATGAAATTTCACATGTAAGTAAAAGATCTAATTCTCTACCTTCTGTTAAATTTTGAGTAATTTCCGTTGACCGGAAGTAGTAATTTACGCTACTTCCGATTTCTCAAAAAACTAATGTAAATTTTTAAAGCACTAATAATATTGCGCACTATTATGCACATTTTGTTTCGGCGTTTGTTTGGTGCGCAATGTTTTTTTCTATGAGATTCTATTCTATTTTTAAAAGTTTAAGTAATTAAAAATCATGTCTACATTCCAAGTTATATAAGAATATTCGAGAAAGTTTAGGGGAGATCACTCCCGGTTTATTAATAATAAAATCATTCATACTTACGTTTATATTTTGTTTTCAATACTTCAAGCTGTTCTACAGTGTAATTTCTCATATCTTCTTCAGTAATTACACCATTGGCTTTACTAACCTATAAAATAATAATTAATTCCTAATAAGCCATCTTTCAGAATCAGTATAAATCACAACTCATTGCTGAGAATTATATAAGAATATGAGTACAGTTAACATCTTCTTGCAATTCTTAAAGAAAGGAGGTGCGATTTAATTATGCAATGTTTATGGATTTTAGTGAACTGAAAACTCAAAAACATTTGAGATTGCTTTGCTAGCATTCACTTTTGAGTTGGAATGGTGGTTCTATCCCTGTGCAGAATATTGTTAAATAAATTTTAAAAGTTGTTTTATAGACATTTAGTAGTTTGATATACACTTTTCTAAATTAGATACCTTTTCCAGATTGCATACAAATTTTTAAAACGCCCTATGAATTTTAATCAATTATATTTTTTGATACATTTTAGAAACCTTGCATTATCAGATAAAAATAGGGAGAACTTACATCATTAAGGAAATCAGTTAGTAAGCTCCCAGTGTATAAACTATCTGGATCACTAGCTATTTTTTTCAAAGTCTTGGCCAGACTTTTCCAGGTTATATTAGAATTTTGCTTTTTGAACATACTACCATCCAAGAAAAGATCACTCATAACTTTATCCTGGAAGTCTTCAAAATCACTCTGTTTTTCCAACACTGTGGCTGAAGTTTATAAAAACAAATAGTCTATATAGTTAAATGCATGTTATAAAATACTGATACTTTAGTAATAAATGTGGGATACATTTTAAATGTTTTAAATTATTTAAAGTATTGAAGTAACATTGACAAGGAAAATATTTAAAACAAACCCAGTTCTTCTGAAACTAAAAAGCCATTTTCTGCTAGGTCAATAGCTGGTTGCACAAGAAGATCCCATTGAAGTCTGAAAAATATGACTCCAAATAAAATAGTTAAACTAGGTCTATTTTGAAAATACTTATTCAAGTAAGTGTTATTAGTTAGTGTAGTAATCTACCTACCGTCCATGGTTTTGATGCATTAAATTCAATCCTTTTACAAGCCCAGGAATTCCCGCTGACTTTGAGCTCTGTTTAAAAATTAGTTGAACATTATATATAACTCTTTAAAAATCTATAAATTTAAAAAAAAATGTATCTAATTACTTCATTAACATTAGCTCATGAATATAATCCATTGAAGATGCTTGTACTAAAAGAAATATAATAACATCAAAATATCATAATGAATGGATGAATAGAGAGTTTTATAGCATTACAGAATTTATAAGCCCAATGTTTTCTGGACTGAGGTCCAACTGTTTTGGAACAGTTTCTAGGAAGTTGTAGCTCCAGGATTTTTTAAATTTGTGATCATGTACTAAAGAAAATCCTCCACTGAAAATAAGATATAAAAATGCAATATCATTAATAATTAGAAGCCCAACAGTAAGACTTCTTTTTACAATTCAACCTATGTGTCTATAAAGACATTTTTATATGATATGATTAAATTTAAAAAAAGGTATTGAAATGACTGACCCTCCTATACCAGCATGTGCTGGGTCAACAACGGCCAGACATAAAGTTGCAGCAACTGCAGCATCAACGGCATTTCCACCATCTTTCAGCACCTTTAAACCAATTTCACTGCATCGAATGTCATCACATGCTACAGCAGCATGACCATGGACCTTCCCAATTTAGAGGATGACACATGTTGAATACTTTGAATACAATATGTAACCTTTTGGTTCTAATATAAACTCTTTGTCATGTCTGTGGGTGTGCATTATGGTTTGTGGTTAAATCAAAAACATTCAAAATTTCGAGAAAACTTCATTTCAGGTGACAACACAATATCTCCTTTCATTGTAATAAACTATTACATTAGTTAATACAAGTAAATTCAAAAACTACATTTAATAATAAATGGAGATAATAAAATTAAGAAGTAGTGATAATTTAATCAGTTAGTAGAGTTGTATTCATGGATATTTTGAAACCAGAGCCAACAATGGACTTTTAAAGAGATTATTGTATTCTAGAGTTACTGGTTGGGTTTAAAGCAAACATTTTTAGTTTTGTGTTGTGTTGGCTCAAGAACAAATGGAAATATAATTCAAGGTTGTAATTTGTAACCCTATATTTATACTACTTTTACTTCTATAGATCAGGAAATTATGTTTATTGTCTTGTTTTCATTAAGGGTTTTATTCTTGTTCTATGTTTATATTATGAGCCTTATAAACTATAACACTTACTATGAAAGAATGATATAATTGAGTAAATTCGCTTACCGGCTTAGGCTCAAGATAAATTGTTAGTATTAGAGCTACAGTGACAGCCATAGCAAATACAATGGATGAAATTATAATAATACGCAACCCTCTGTTCTGTGGACCATACCTGAACATAAGAAGGTGAAGGAAGCTCATTTTTAAGTTTAAAATAACTACCCATATAAACAGTTTTAAATTGTTTTCTACCAAAAAAGTGAAACAAAAACGAACATCCAAATAAGTAATGATTTGTACAGATCTGCTATCTGTGAGTCCATTTGGTAAGTGAAATAGAGTTCACCTGCTTCTGTGACCTTTGCATTTGAAGGGATAGTGTGCTCAGCCGCCTTTACTTTCCTTTATGTGAGTCGGTTGCCCAAAAGAGCTGGGTAGACTCAGGGACATTCTAATGACTTGAAACCAGATTTGAACTCAAGACTTCCAGGTTAAATCTCTACAATTTAACCACATCATCTTTTCTTGTTTGTGCCCAAGACACAACTTCACAAGGGGCAAATGAAAAAACATTCATCTGTTTCAATGACATCGGCATAAAAGTGTGGTCTGCAGTCTGATTCCAGTGATTCAGGTGCCCATCAGAGCTGCATGGACTCAGGCACTACAGGGTCAAGCCTCGGATCCGAACTTATGACAATTGGGTTAGCAGTATAGCGCTCTACCATTCAACCATGCTGCCCCCTATTTGACCACGCGATGCCCAACTTTTAACATTTGAGAATAATATAAACATAGAAACTTTTAATCTCCAGTTAATTTTTCCACATACAGTACACTATTTGTAGACTTCATTTGATGCAGAGGAGAAATTTCTGCTCCAGGACTGTCACCATTGCTGACATATTTAAGTGGACCATCAGTGTCAATTAGTCCCAACTTGTCATCTAAAAAACATAATAATTCATTATATTACTAAAATGTAGCATGCATTTAGATCTATTAAAACATTATACATTTTTTAATAAATTTCAAACTCTGAAACCACCAACATCTATGTAATTAGTTAGCTAGCATATTTAGAAAATATTAGCCGTGTTTCTTCCAGGCACCTCTTCGAGCCCCCCTCCCCAAATGAAATATCGAAATGGAAATTTATATATAAAATATATACTTCTACCAGTATCTGCCCCCCCCCCCCCCCTCCGGACGGAGAAAAAACTCTGGAAGAAACACTGAATATTAGTACTCACTAGTATCCGGTAGATCCTGACCCAACCTAGTAATACTGTCAAACGGCTGTTCAACAGACTCCATGGTTTCAAACTTTGTATATGATGCAGACCTCTAATGTTCTAAAAGAGATGAGAAAAAAAGATTTTTTTAACAATAATTTTAAACATTCTAAATGAAAAAACAACATTCAAATTAATGAAGAACTAGGGTTTAGATCTAGACAGTAACAATAAAAGATCTATATAGCTTATAACCTCTATGATAGGCTACTAATAATATTATGAAATAGTGATTCTAGTAGGTCTAAACAGTTAAAACAAGTCAACTATAGTCACACAATAATTCAGTGACTATAGTAACAAATTAGTCATATCTAAAAATCTATGCTATACTATATTTAATTACACTCTATGCATCTTTAAAATTCTAATGATACAAATTACTACAGGCAAGTAGACAATCAGAGACAGTTGCAAGGGCGATCACAATTTACTAAGACTTCACTTAGTACAATATTCACTCTTGTTATTAAACAGTTTGCTAGCAAGGTCTATAATTTCTAAAAGATTTTTTTCAAAAGATTATTTTATTTTTATTAATCCAAGAGTACTATATCAGATTCTAAATTTAGATCTTAGAATCTAAGTTCGAACTCTGGAAAGTGCTTATATCTGACAATGACAGAGTATATACACAGCATGATAATACCCTAACGCATCATTTTGCTATATTTAGCTTCTATTTTATTTTTATATGCATACATGTTTACATTTTTTACCGGGAGTGTATATTTTTAGAATTTTTAAAGTAAAGTTTGTTTTGTTTCATATTTTGTTATAATTTACATATTTCAAGTGGGCTGTGTTGCAGAATTGATAGATTTTTTTTTTTTTTAAAAATGACATTAAAAATATAATTTTGAATGCATTATAATATTTCAAGGGTCTAAGGCAGGAGTGCAGGCTAAGGATCCGGGTTGGGTTAGGGATAGTCTAAGGAAATAATAATAATGATTTTTATCAGAGCAAATATTAAAAATTTTAACTGAATCAATAAATAAATATCTTTTGATGGATATATCTATAATCTACATTTTATGTAAAAGCATGTTTGTTTTTCCCAGACATTTCTGTCTTGCAGTTAGAGGAAATGTTTGAGGTGCTTATATCCTCTCACATCCTGACAAACAAATAAACAAGTGTCTCTCAACAGTGAGAATATATATATATATATATATATATATATATACATATATATATATACATATATATATATATATATATATACATATATATATATATATATACATATATATATATATACATATATATACATATATATATATATATACATATATATATATATACATATATACATATATACATATATACATATATATATATATATATATATACATATATATATATATATATATATATATATATATATATATATATATATATATATATATATATATATATATATATATATATATATATACACATGGATGTTGAGGATATGAGCCCTGGCATATTTATTTTTCTAATGTTGGCAGAAATAAGCACTACCCTAACTCTGACCTGACTAATCTAATCTGCCAGCTATGATTAGGGGTCACCCATTTATGACGTCCACAAGTTATGTTGTAGCGTGTGGACTGGGGGAGTGGTGGGGGCTAGGGTCCATGCAGACATCATGCTGTGTTGAACATCACAAAAAGCCAGACCCCCCCCCCCCTTAAAATGCTGTCACATCTTATTCTTTCACCAACCCCTCAAAATGACATTATGAGAAACTGCTGTTACTCTCTAAACTATTTACTTATGGGTATTTATTGCAATTTACAAAAAAAAAATGTTTTAGCGACGTAAAGTTTTTTAAACCTCAGTTTCTTACCCTCTTGTCACACATCATCAATAAAATTTGAAATCTCTATCCCCCCTCCCCCAGGAGTGTGACATATTATTATGGATGGGTAGATCTGCATCTTTAGTAAGAGAGAATTAACATAACAATACGTGAACCAGAGATGGCCTTATGACTTATAAATGTTATAATCCTTAACAGGGCATTCTACGAGTACAGAAAATATTAAGTTCTTTCCGTAAGCTCCTCTTTAGACCTAGCAATCCATTCAGCAGAAGAAGTAGAGTTCACAAGTTTCTTGACCTCGGTATATGTAGGCACCATATGAAGGCTCTATGTCCAGCCACCTTTACTTTCCCTTACGCAAGTAAATTAAAGGAAAGTAAAGGCAGCTGGGCTAAGTGCTGAAAAAAAACTTTACTTTAAGTGCTGCAATCTATAAATATATAAACTCTACTTCATCTGCCCAATGGATCACTAGGCTTAAAGGATTCTTTATATAAAGGGCTAGAAAAAAATATATAGATAGGTCTATCGGCCTTTATAATCAGAGCCGGCATTAGGGGGTGGCAAACGGGGCGGTCGCCCCAGGCCCTGAGTTTGAAGGGGCCCCGCGCTTCAGCACCGCCATTATTGTCTGAATTAGTTTGTAAACTTAAATAATCTTTGCTGAATTAAATTTAAAAAAAAAACTAAATGGCCGAAATTGTTGTATGTTAAAACTGAGGCCACGGCTGGGACAGACCGTTATTCTAAAGAAAGACATTAGTGTCACACATCGCTGGCACAGTCGACTCGCAATTGTCCTGAGGTCTTTCTTCTTCTTCTTCGTTCTTAATTATTAGTGTTGAAGTGGATCGATATTTATCTGCCAGTGGGTTTGAACTCGAGACTTTGTTCGAATTTATCAACCATGAACTTTTGCCGACTCGACCACACCTCCAACACAATTAAGCGTTACGTGTCAACTGGTTATGCGCCATTGAGGCCATTGACTCCGATTTCAGCCTGCTTTTCTTTTTGGATTTGCTTCCATAGCTTTTGTCCAACCAAGAACAAACTACAAGGCAGCAGTTGTTTAATTTTGGAGCTGTCTCTCCTAGAAGAGTGGCTGTCCCCAGCTAACGAGCCTCATCTGCCCGAGGGTTCGGTTCGAACTCGAGTCATTTCGGTTTAGCAACCATGAGCTATACCGACTCGACCACGCCGACCCTGTCCTGAGGTGAATGGAGATGTTGGTCGCGAATTAGCCCACGACCTGACATGGGAGGTAAAATCGGGAAAACACGAAATGAGATACCCTATTGTATGCGGAGACTTTTTTTTTTAGTGAGCAGGCAGGGGTGCCTGTAGTAAACAGTCCGTGACCTGATGATAGCCTGCAAGGGGGGGGGGGGGGGGGGGGTCGGGGGGCGGGGGGGGGGGGGGGGGGACATGCCCCGGACATCCAGAGTATTTATCCCTAAAATCATAATTTATACATTGTTTGAGCATCTTTTGTGTAATTATTTTTATTCACCACGATACGTTTGATAGGCATCCATACAGTAATTATGTTCATATTCATTTTATATATTGTCAGGTCATCTTTAAATACATTATACTTGTATTTATTTATATATTTTTGAAGGGCATTTATACAGTAATTATGTCCATATTCATTTTGGTAAGCTATAACGGTATTTATAAAGTGATTAAGCACATGTTTATTTTAATTAATTGTAGGGATATTCAGTATAATAGTTAAGACCATAGTGATTCTTGTTTTAAAATAGTGCAGGCATACTAAACAAATTATAAAGTCTATACAGTTTGATACATCAGGCCGAGCCTGTTTTATGGTAAAGTTCTCCTGATTTCTCAAACGTCTAAATTACCGGCAGTCCGAGCATGCCATCGCGAAACTCATAAATAAGGTGAAGCTGGCTGTCACATGGTTCACTTTCTAATTATAGACACTAACCTTCTCTTGTGAGAACGCGGTCTTAACCTGTAATGTAATATGTGGATGCTCTATAAACACGCACTTTCTCTTGGTCAGAGATCCAGTAACGTAGTACCGAACCGATTTTTTTTTTAGGGTTTGGCATCCCATAGATTTAAATGTATAGTTATCCTTTACCTCACCCCACCAACTGTCACCCACCCCAGTGTTCCACCCTACTGAGCGTCCGTGATTACATTTGAGAGTTATTTCATTTTGGATATCTTTAGCCGTAACCAGTGTTTTTTACGATTCGAGCTTGGTCTAAAATCTATCAATGTTTTGCTATTTTCCCCGGCATCCACACACTCTGCACGCCACTGTTAACACTCGATAAATTGAGAAAATATCAATACTATCACCACCACTGTGGAACGATTTAACGTTGCTTCAAAGTGATTTCACTATTTTTCCTCAACACCATGGTTACAAGAGACAGAGATAGATTTCGCAAGTATGAATGTGGTGCATCAAAAGCGAGGAAACGCAATTTAAGAGAAGAATTTGATAAAACACAAGCAGGCGCGTTGGACAAGTACATACACTATCCAAAGAAAGTCTTTAAACAACAAAAACGTTTTGATTTGGTTGTGGATTCCAATATCGCAAATGTAGAACGTAACAAAAAGGACTACAATGAGAGTACTACCATTTGTGGTGGTGACGGTAATAATGAATCCTCGAGTCATTTATTGTCAGCTGCAAACCCCACGAACTTCGACAATAGGGACAAATCAAGCGGCCATTCAGAAAATGATTCTGATGAAAATAATTCATTCCCAATGATCGTAAAAGATATATATGATCCGGGAAATTGGGAACATGTATCAACGATGTCCCAAGACAAGCTCTGCCGCCTGTTGATTCTGTCAATAGAAAAAGGCATTGCCTCCCAATAGGACTATGATGATATAATCAAAGAATTTTTCTCACGAAAGGCAAGAAAAGTAAATCTTTTGTGAACGTACTTGGTAAGATTGTCATAAAAAAGCATTAATGAATTAATGTAAAAAATCAAGTATGAAGCTGACGTTCATCGTCTCTTTAATGCGTGTCTCAAACTTTTATCTGTTTTTTTTTTATTTTTCAAACAAAAAGCTTTAACAGAAACAAACAACGTTTCAAAAGCACTAAGTAACACATTATTTTTTAATCAGTGTCTTTATGTTAAAACTAATATACGACATTGATAAGCAGCTTAAAAATACCATATATATTGTTATAAATATTAATTCACGATGAGAAGAAAAAAAATGCCTCACTGTACATGTTTTAGGCATCAATGGAAAAATATAAGGCCCCACGCGGATGGTTGGCCCTAGGCCCCACGTACCCCTAACGCCGGCTCTGCTTATAATAAATAGCCTAATATATATATATATATATATAGGCCTATATATATATATTATAGGCTATAATATTTATATAGCCTTTATATATATAGGCGTATAGTATGAAGTATAATTATATAGGCCCTAGTACTACTAAATCTAGATTCTAGATCTATTCTATATCACTATATGGCAGAGGCCTACTATAGTACTAGTAGGTTATAAGATAGATAGTTAATTAATAGTATAGTTTAGTTAAGTTTAGTATAGTATACTAAGTAGGCCTAGGGCAGGAAACAGATTCAACCCTCAAGCATCTACTTTTAGGGTCGATTTTCGCCAATTTTCAAAGTAACAAATATTGACATATTATATATCAATTTTGTTGCTTAACAATCGAGGAATTCAAAAATATAAAAATTAATAGCACTAGACATTTACATCACGTTCAAAATGTAGATTAACCACACTCACTCAACTGAGATTTTTTTTACATCTAAATGTAGTGAGGTCCAAAAATCCACGAAATTCACAAAATTAACAATATAATTACACAGAAATGTCACTTAGGCATACATTTATTTGTAATTATGTCAAACTTTACAAAATATACCAGTTTATAGCTTATTTCTATAATTATTCTTGAGAAAAAAAACGACCGCCCTCCCCTTTAAAATTCTGGCTTTTAGAAACACTCTGGGGAAGAAAAAAATAACAGAGTTAAATATAGAAGGTCTATATAAAAAACATAATTAATAAAATATGTCTATATGCCAATTTTTAATATAGTTGCAGCATTTACATGGCTAATTATAATTGTTTAGTACTTTGAACATTAATTTAAAGTTACGACTGTCTGTGGCGTCATTCAAGTGTAGTGTCAGTGTAGGTGAACAGGGTGTTAGGGCCTGATACGATTTCATTAGAATTGGTAATGAACAGAATGTATAATTAGAACTGGCATATAAAAACAATGTTGATAATAGATGCAGTTGTTTTAATGCTACTTATAATAGTTCAAAGTGACAAACATAATTAAAACCTAAGAATCTGGAAGCGGTGACCTCATTTTACTGACACGGTTGTCAAATAGTAAGTGAATAGATCTAGATTTAGAATCTACGTAATTTTGAAAATACGCTAGTTCTAGAAGCAAAATTACTTTTAAAAACTGAAGTTAGTGATTAGATCTATAATGAAATTGAAATCAACAACTGATATGTAAGTATCTTTTGATTTAAAAAAAAAATACGCTTAGTTCAAAGAAAAAAAATTCTATGGTGTACTCGATCCCTATCCCAAAACGTGCCAGCCATATCGCATGCGTAGTCAGCTACTCAGCTGCTTATCAAATCGATGAATTTTAAAATTATATAATAAAAGTAGGTCACCCTAAAAAAAAAGAGTAAAATGGCTCCCGTTTTCACGACAGCCGTCACTCGATTCATAATTTACAGAGTTATAAAGTTCTACTTTCTTTTGGCTGTAGATTTAAAGAAATATTAATTTGTTATTTCTCATGCGTTCCAACAATTGTACCTAATTTTAATAAACATTAGATTAGTAAGGACTCGATTCTTTTTAGAATTAGCCCTCGACACTATACAGACTATTGCGAAGAAACAGACTCGCGCGAATGTCGTGCGTAGGCTGGTTCAGTGGCGAAGGTTAGAAGCCAATTTGCGACGGAAAATTTTTACTTTGAAATAATTACATTATCAATTAATTTCGATTTAAAACAAATGGCTTAAAGTCAAAAGTAAACTAAAATTTAAAAACTTTGTTATTCGCAGTGTACTCAAGATTCTCGTGTTTTAAAGATAAGTCTAGTTTTACTACGCGTGCGTGCATGGTGCGAATACCGATTTTCCGCGACAGAAAATCATTAAAAATATAAAAAAAAGTATCTACGGCAAAATAATAATTATATTTTACAGAATTAAATAGATTTAACTTAACTGTTATTTAAATACATGCTTCGGAGTAAAAAAATACAATTTTATATCCGTAAAAAATTAACTGAAATTCCCGCTTTCAGCGACGCCGATGTGTCGTAATTTTCGGCAGTCATTTTGTTCAAATTAAAGTAAAAAACGCATTCAAATATACTTTTTTTTTACTTTCATAATTTACAGCAATCATTTCTAATGAAAAATCCATAAAAAAATAATAGTTATTTTTACAAAATATTATTTCTTACCTCATTAGTGCAGTACACGTACTTTCCAAGTAGATCCATTCCGTCCAGATTTGCATACTTCGCATCCTTCGCCGCGGCACAAAATGTCATAAAAAACGAATTCCACAAAAATGTTGCTAACGAAGCTTGTAAAAACCTTGCTCTATTTATCAGTATAAACAAAATCCCCGAACGATGTCTGGTTAGAAAGTTTATGAACGGCGAAGACCGAATATGCATTTTGCGGTACCAATCTGTTTCCTGCCCTATACTAATTAAGTACTAGAATCTAAGTACTGTACTAAGTAGTAGGCCTAAGTAGTACACTAAGTAAGTAGTATATGTACTTGAACTTGACTTAGTCTTAATTTTAGACTACACACTACACTTACACTAGATTCTAATTATTATTAAATTAATATAGATCTAGACTAGACTCTAGATGAGAAATCTAGAAGTAGAACAAAATCTAGCTTCTAATCTAGGGATAGATCTAGTCTAGATCTGATCATCTAGATCTAGATCTAGCCTCTAGATCTAACACTAAGTGACTAGTCTAGAATTCTAGATCTAGATCTAGATCTAGTTCTAAATCTAGATTTCTAGATCTAGGTCTATTCTAGATCTAACTAAATTAACTAAATATAGACTCTATATCGTATCTAGAATACTAGAATGTAGCTAAAATGTTACATACATTTTGCTTCCCGATGAAGAGTAACGCAGATGCAGACCCTATTTTTGATCGATAGAGCTGGTCTGCGAGATAATCATTCATTCACCGTTAGGGGTACGCAGTGGCGTGTTAGGATGTCCCATGGTAGAGTCCACGGGTCCCCGAGGTCCCAGTGCCCTGCTGTTTAAATAAATCTTGAGCAGTTGTGTCAAAGATAGGCAACGGTTCAAACCACCGCTATGACTTAGGCCTAGATCTAGAATCTACTGCTTTTCTTTACTAATGGACCCGAGCGAGAAAAGTCTCAAAGGTATTCGAAAGCCAGTGTTTCTTCCAGACTTTTTTCTCCGTGGGGGGGGGGGGGGCACTTGAAATTTTCGGGGGGGGGGGGGGGCGGACACTGTTAAAAGTATATATTTTCTATATAAATTATATAAATTTCATTTCGTTCGGGGGGGGGGGGGCGGTAGATTTTTTCGGGGGGGGGGGGGGGGTGGGCGTCGAGATGCCTGGAAGAAACTCTGTTCGAAGCCGAAGGGCCATTAAATATTTTTAAAATCATGTACGGCGTAGTTGAAATTATATGTTGGTTATGAAATCCTGTTTGGGTTTTTTCGGACTTCACTATAGATTGGATGTAATCGAGATTTTTGCAAATCTCAATGTTTTACACCTCCCTGAGTCGGAAAAACATAGTTTTGCAACCTTGTCCGTTTGTCTGTGTGTGTGTGTGTATCTGTGAACACAATAACTTGAGTACCGTTACAGCTAGGTTGATGAAATTTCATATATAAGTATTATATCATCAAAATCGTAGCATTCGTATCAACTTTTGAGCGATTTCCGATAACCGGAAGTGGAGCTTTTTCTACTTTCAATTTTTCAAAAGCCTATAACTTGAGTACTATTTGAGATAGATAAATGAAATTTCACATTTAAGTAAAAGATCTAATTCTCTGCCTTCTATCAAGTTTTGAGTAACTTCCGTCGACCGGAAGTAGTAATTTACGCTATTTCCGATTTCTCAAAAAACGCATGTGAATTTATAAAGTACTAATAATATTCCGTACTATTATACACATTGTATTTGGCGTTCATTTGGTGTACAATTCTTTTTTCTACGAGTTTCTATTCTATTTTAAAAAGTTTAAGTAATTAAAAATGGATTAAAAATATTGACTATATCCCGAGTTGCCTTCCCCCGTAGTGTTATATAAGAATATTCGAGACAGTTTTAATTTTTAAAAAATACAATTGCATGACTAATATTGCGCATCTATGAGCACGACAACGCGAGTATAATATTATAGTGCGCATAGTTGTAATTCAGAAAATTGTCATTAATTCATAAAAAAACTAATTATGCATCCAATTAAGTCAAATTTAATGTCATTTTTCATTTTCTTCATGTCTTGACACAGTGGCGGACCGCACCGGGTGACACCACTTAGGGGGGTGACACCAAGGCAAAAAATAGCAAAATATATAGAGAAAAACTTGAGGGGGGTGCAAATCGGAAGTTTGAGGGGGGGGGTGCAAATCAAAAACTTGAGGGGGGGGTGCAAATCAAAAACTTGAAAGTTTGTCCCCGGGAAGGGTCGCAACGCCTCTGGGGGGGGGGGGGGGGGTGACACCATTAAGTGCCGCACCGGGTGACACCCGAACTCGCTACGCCACTGCATTTGATACAGGTCTTGCTAGATCTGAATCTAGATTCTGTATTCTAAAAATGTAAATCGGCAATTTCATTACACTCAGACACGTGTCTGTCTCTTAAATCTAGATCTATGTGTTTATCCTACGGCGGTGTTCAGAACAAAAGGAGGAATTAATTACAATGTTTTCCCCTCGACTTCAAAACGGCCTGTGACAAAACTACGCCGACAAATCCCCCCCCCCCCCCCCCCCCCCACATTAAAACGACCCTGTCGAAACAGTCACACAAAAAAGATCCGCTTATTTATCTGACAAGATTACGCTTCATTCTAAAATTATTAAATAGTGCCAGTCTAGTTTTAGGATATATACACATTACTTTGAAATCCCCCCCCCCCCCAAATTCCACCCCACCCCCCATAGACCCTCCATAATGACAGCCGAATCACGCTGGTGCGATCGTGTCGCTTTCAGTCTCAATTTTTTTAATGTCATTGTCATAAACCATCATTTTACGATCTTACATATTATACATATAATATAGGCACATGTATGTATAATGATGTATGTGATATAAATAATATACATACATATATATATATATATATATATATATATATATATATATATATATATATATATATATATGTTACACATTGTCTTATAGGCCTATAATCTATAATGATATATTTTTTACCACACCTTACGACTTCTGTTAGATTAGTGTTTCTGTATGCTTATACTTAGGCCTACATAAAACTATTTAAAAACATTAGTGATAATAATAATATATTATAATAACATAATATAACATTTAGATCTAGATCTAATAACACTTTATTCAAAGAGATACGTATTTTATTTTTAGCTAAGAAACTCAGGTCATTAATTTATGTTTACAAAACCATACGTACATCTGGCAACTCAATGATTTGTTTGCCCCAACAGGGGAGGTTAATATCAATAGATTTAAATCCAGATCTAGATTAGATGTCTACTACTAGTCTAGCTAGATCTAGATTAGATCTTTTATAGAATGAGCACTTAAAGTCACTAACTAAAAGAGCTGACGGATAGAAATCTATATTTAAAACCTTGTCCAAGATAACATAATCGCAGGACTAGAATGTAAATTAATTTTAAATTTAAAATAGGCCCTTTTATTTTATTTTTTTTTAGTCCTGACTAAACTAAACTAAAGTCACAAAGTACTAGATCTAGATTCTAGTCTAGATTTAGTCTAGAATCTAGATCTAAATCACTAAATCTAAGTACATTGTTAACTGTAGTCACTGTAGTGTAAACTTACTACTTAAGTTTAAAGTTAGGTCTTGCTTGAGTTGGCCTACTATTATCCTATTCCTACTAATATTAACTATAGATCTAGACTCCTAGAGTACTAAACTACTATACTTAATAATAGCCTACTTATTTATACTTTATTATAGGCTACCTATTATTTACTATATTTAGTATTATTACTATGTCCTAGAATAGGTAAAATCACGATATAGCGTCGGTTATTATTCCGGAATTTGAACAGCAGTAAAAAACAGTTAAACCTTGGCGTATTCAGTATTCTGTCCAGCTGTTCTGGAAACCCCAGAAAATACTGTAGGCCGGCCTATACCATCATACAACCTTTAGATCTATTTGCCGCCATATTTTTTAAAATACATGTTTAAAAATAAGCATGTACCTATTAATTTTAGTTGCATTTTAAATAGGCCCTACTGTTTCGCTAATTATTTTGTATTTCTAATTATTTTAAGTGTATGTGCTAATTTTATGGTTAGAAATTAAGGTTATGCGTATCGTAGGACCAGAATTTGGGTTAGCTAGCATTGACATTAGCCAGCCATGTGTGTATTTAGTATTTGGTTAATTACCAGTAGCCTAACACCCCTTTTTTTAAAGAAGATTCCATTATCTGACACCAGTACAAAAATTCTCCCAATATATCAAAATAATAAAATAGGCCAGAAATTAACTTTAAACAGAAGTGTTTGCGAGCAAGATTTGCTATACAGCGGCCATCTGTAAGTTAGTGGTTTCCCCTGAATCTCTAACTATAATTTTACCAAAAAAAAACTTAAATAAGATTGCTGATAAAGTAAATTGGTAATCTACTGTTTTAGGTTATGCAAAATCGGCCGAGACTAGTAATGTGAAAAAAAGGTGCCGCATTAAATTTGTATAACTTTTTCACATGTTTAGGAGGATTTTTGTTTTGCAAGTTACAAAATTGTTTCAAAGAATCATTGTTTTAAGCAATTGTATTAAAACTTCTCAGTAAAAAATTATAGACTAGTCTGACTAGCGATATTTTCATAACCAAAGAGATGCCTGAAAGAAACTCTACATTTAGACCACTCTTAATATTAGACAAATAAATTCCGCGGTAGTGTCTGTATACTGTATTATTAAGTACAGATGACGTCATTTATTATTGTGTATTTTTTCGAATTTGGATTTTTAATTCTATGTTTACTCTAGAATCATTGACGTCATTTTATTGTGTGGGCTTTTCCTGCTTTATAATTTTACATTATTCGTTTCGTTTTGAAAATTTCTTATATGTTCCATGTGACGTCACAGTTGTGATTAGCGAAAAGTTTAATGCAATTGTGTAAAAACAGGTACATGGTACATGAATGAAACTTAAAACATTTTAGTAACTTACAAAACATAAATTCTGCTAAAAAAGTGAAATAATCACTAAAGTTTAATGAGTCACCTTTTTGTCACATTACTAGCCTCAGCCGTTGTTACGTACCTAAAATGATATATTTCCTATTAATGGAATAGGCTAATGACTAATGCCTGGCTAGGCCCTAATGGCATAACCTAGTATGATAATATCTAATATAAATAATTTTTAATATAAAAATCTAGTCTACAGCTACATAACAGTGCATTTTCTAATTCTAGATCTACATCTCTTAAGTCTAGTGATCTAGTCTTACTCTTATTTTTTTTCCAGATCTAGATCTAGTAATCTAGTTCTTCTTTTCGATTTTGAACTAGATCTAGACTAGACTTACTAGAATCTAGATCTAGAATATACTTGAATATAGAATAAAAATAGATTCATTGCAATCTAGCTGATATATTATTATTAATAGGCCTAATACACTAAAGAGAGATCGAGATCTAGTACTTTAATAATTTAATATTATTTATTATTTAGGGATATTCTTTTTGTGTCTTGGTAAAAATGCGAAATAACTAGACAATATTATGAGATAAATAAGCTGCAAATGCCATTGTTATTGTAAAATGTTTTTCCCGGTCATATATCACGGTTTGGTCTCTTATTTTGCAGCACCATATTTAAAGTTCAATGAATCTTACATACTGATTTTCTCAGCATTGATATTGTGCATCCTTCAAATTTGACATAAAATAGTCTTGTTGATTTTTATTGGTTTGATGAGCTTTTTGTTTTAAAAAAATCTTTTTCTTATAGACTTTTTTTCCACCAGATTTTTCACAATGTCTAAAAAGTTAGACAAATTCAGAAGAAAAAAGAGGGGGCATTTACCAAAAGATAGCCCTTTTCCCATACCATTGTGTTCTAGTACGGCTGACAAAGATTGCAGGCAGTGGTATTATTATACAGGCTATATTGATGGCTCCTCAGTTGTCATTACACATTCAGGTGACATGGATTTTATTTACAAGAAGGTAATCCATTTCTAAATAATCATCATATATTTTTTTAGAATATATTGATAGCAGCATAGAAATTATGAGAGCAAATTTATAACATGAAGAATAAGAAAATTAAAGTGGTGTTGATGCCAAGACAGTGATTTTAAAGATTAATACAAAACCATTTAAAAAAAAAATTAATGATTTCTTTTTTATATGTATATGATAGCAATACTTGTCCAGGAGTAATTTGTTTAGATGTAACGAGCCGACCTGCGGCATATCATACGCCGCTATTTAGTTATTTTATTTTCTACTTTTCAGTAATTCATAATTTGTGAATTTGACAGTACCAATGCTGCCACTGAAAATATTTGCTTTAAAACACTATCAGTAGGTCGTTAAGGACAATACTACCCCTACCCTTCTTTCCCCAACCCCTACCCTACACCCCCCCCCCCCCCCGTGAAAGCAGCCTCCTTTTAGTTACCTCCCCTAAGTTTTAAATCGTTTCAAACTAAATTATCTGCCCCTAATAGCCGTCACTAAACCCGGGTCTACGACTGTAAACATTTAGCGTGAACCACAGCTCACCAGACCATGTGGGGGTTGGGGAGGTTGATTTATGCCTAGTGAAGAAGAGCGGGGACTGCAAGGCGCGCTTACAGCTTGTTTTCTAGGGTCTCCAAGAAGAGAATTATATATATAGATTGGTAGCAATACTTGTCTAGGAGAAATTTTGTTTAGATGTATGTGGTAGCAATACTTGTCTAGGAGAAATTTGTTTAGATGTATGTCGTATCCTACAATAATGTGCTCATTTAGACAATGGAAATGAATAGATTTATATGTTAATAATTATTGCAGGGCTTTTTTGGTAAAGGGACCTTGTCTCGTAGTTTAGCCAACTTCTGTGACCGGAAGCAAAAAGTAGATGTCCAGTTACCTATGACCAAAGACTTCAAAGTGTCCTGTATACGACCTATGGTTATGAACAAAAGGACGTAAGTAATTTCTAAAAGTTCCATCAATAATGTTGATGCCTGTTGGTTTGTTTTATTTCATACCATTTTTTACTTGATCCTCAGGTACTTGGTTCACAAAAAATACAAAGCTTTAGCCTCTGGCAGAACGAAAGAGTACAATGATATTTTGGTACATGAAGAACGACAACAGTTTCATTCTGATTCAAGTATTGATGAAGATAATAGTGATGATAATATTGTTAATTACCAGGATGCTGCTAAAGAGGAAGCTTTTTGTCTGTTAAATTCATCAGAATCAAACATTCCTCAATCAGTTGTTCCTAAATTATCAGCTTTGACAAAATCATATTTGTTAGCAATTCTTGGCCAAGTTTCAGTGCTGTCTAAGGAGCAAATCACCACTTTTGTTCGAGTGTCATCTGATATGAATCAGTTAAAGTCTAAGTTTACTCAATTTAGGGAAAAAGAAATTAATTTACTTGAAAAAATGTATGCAGTGAAATATCCTGGCCAGTTTTTCCATAAGGGGGAAATAATAAATTTAGAAGAAGAAGAAGAAATTGAGTCACCTATTGGTAAGAAGGAAAAAAAGGAGAAGTTAAATGAAACAGTGGTGATTCTTGATAGTGATGAGGAAGATGATGATGAAATGAAAGACTCACAAAATGTTAATACAGAAGAGAATGTTGAAAAAAGTAAGAATGAGGAAAAAGGTTGGAATGATTATGATGAGGGAGATGAAACATTTTGGGGGTCAAAGAATGATAACAAACCACCATTGAACACTAACGTAACTAGTAGTGATGAGAACTTGTCAAAAGAAGAAAGCACAGTTAAGGTAGATACACTTTCAGAGCATACAGACATACAGAGTTCTGGGTCTCTTGATGTAGAGCTGGCTGAAAAAAAACAAAAGGATTCAGATGGTGAAAAACTGAAAGAGGAGACTAGCTTAGATAGACAGGTTTCAGATTCAGATAATGAAAAACTGAAAGAGGAGACTAGCTTAGATAGGCAGGGTTCAGATGGTGAAAAACTGAAAGAGGTGACTAGCTTATTAGATAGACAGGATTCAGATGGTGAAAAACTGAAGGAGGAGACTAGCTTAGATAGGCAGGGTTCAGATGGTGAAAAACTGAAAGAGGTGACTAGCTTAGATAGACAGGTTTCAGATGGTGAAAAACTGAAGGAGGAGACTAGCTTAGATAGACAGGGTTCAGATTCAGATGGTGAAAAACTGAAGGAGGTGACTAGCATAGATAGACAGGGTTCAGATGGTGAAAAACTGAAAGAGGAGACTAGCTTAGATAGACTGGATTCAGATGGTGAAAAACTGAAGGAGGTGACTAGCTTAGATAGACAGGTTTCAGATGGTGAAAAACTGAAAGAGGACACTAGCATAGACAGACAAGGTTCAGATTCAGATGGTGAAAAACTGAAGGAGGTGACTAGCATAGATAGACAGGGTTCAGATTCAGATGGTGAAAAACTGAAAGAGGAGACTAGCTTAGATAGACAGGGTTCAGATGGTGAAAAACTGAAAGAGGTGACTAGCATAGATAGACAGGGTTCAGATTCAGATGGTGAAAAACTGAAGGAGTCACAATTTGGTAGCAAGAGTTTAACAGAGACAGATGAGAAAGGAAATCCCTCTGGCAACACTGTCAGCTTGTCTTTAGATAAAGATATGATTACTAATTATTTTTCTGCTCAGGCTGATACTGAGAAAAATACAGAGGAGATAGAGTCTGACAAGCCAAGAACAATTTTCTTAGACCTGGAAACAAGTAAGATTAAAACAGCTGAACCTTCTAGTCAAAACAAAGCACAAAACATAACTGTTTTAGAAGAAGATGAAAACAGTTGTACAGCTCATGAGAGCTCTAATTGCAGTGATGATGTAATATGCATTGAATCAAAGTCTATAGATGGTGAAAAATGTAAGCAACTTTTACTTAATTCGAACAAGTTAAAGAAAAAAAATCCTGTTGTAACTAAATCAGTTATTTTTATGAGCAATAATTATAAAGAACCAACATATGTTTCTGCTAAAGTTGGCTTTCATTCCTGGAAACAAGTTCTTCATTTTAATTTTACTGGTGACCAAACTCACTTGCCCACCTCAATGTGTGTGGCATTTGATAAAAGTCAGTCTGGAACTTGTAGCAAGCTAGAGCCATCTCAGGTTGTCTATGAGCGCTTGTATCCACCGATTACTTCCCTGATACCTAACTCAAAATCCAAAGGTGCAGTCATGAAACAAAGACTTTCTGCGCTGCCGAAGCTGGGTGAAGCATACAGCAATGTCAGATCAAAAATGTCTCAAACTTTCAGACACATTTTGTCAAATGTTAAGCAACCTCAAGTGATCCCACATAACAAGTCTTCAGCGCATCAGCAGGCAGCCAGTAGTACCAGGCATAAAGAAATTTCAGTCAGTTCCACAGCATCTGCATTCAAAAACTCCCCCACAGTAGACCTCTCTTATTTATCAGAGTATCTGAACATTTATAAAAAACATATTTTTTTGGGTGATGAAGCTAGTATCAAAACTGAAAAGGATAGAAAATCAGATGGCTGTAGTTCAGAGATAAATCCACATTCTTCAGGCAACTCAGATTCAATTGCAGAAATGGTCAAGTCTCTTCAATTAGTGTTTACTTCCAGCATAGAGTCATCACATCACAAAAATCTAAGTAGTCTAAGTCTTAAATTGAACAAAATATTGTCAAAGCTTTTTGTTCATCTATCACCACAAACTGAACATGAATTATTGTGTCTCTTATTGTTGAAAAAGGAGAGCTCATCTCATATTACCAAAGAAAACATTGCTGAAGCTGTAAACACTTTAAGTTCCTTCAATTTAAATATACTTGACATCCGTTATCAGTATTTAACTGGTCAGTTACAAGACCAAGAGACAAGAATCAGAGAGGATCCAAATATATTGGGAAACCAAAACAAATGTGAAATTAAGTCTGGAAATGTTGAGAACAACCAAGATGGGGTGCAAGCTAATGACAAAAGTGGAACATCCAAGCGCAAAAAGAGTTTAGACATTAATCAAGGACTTGACAGAAAAAAAGCTAAAACTGATTTGTCAATTGTAAACATTGAATGTAAAGATACTGTTGACAGCCCTACTGATATTGACAAGTCAGGACATCCCAGTCCTAGTGATATTGACATGACAACAAACAAGGAAGTGAGTTTAAGCAAAACTAATGTTGGAGAAGTAATTGCACCACATGCTAATGTTAGCAAAAGTAGTGTGGATAATTTGATGGATGCTCAGGTGGACTCAAGTAATGAAGATAATTTGATGGATGCTCAGGTTGATGCCAGTAATGAAGATAATTTGATGGATGCTCAAGTGGATGCAAGTAATGAAGATAGTTTGATGGATGCTGATGTTGATAAAAACAAAGATAGTTTGATGGATGCTGAAATTAAAAAAAAAGGTGAAGATAGTTTGGTTAACACAGCTGATGATAACCAATTAAGAGAATCAGCAATGATTGTCTCTAGTCCATTAAGTGAAAGAGGGAAACATGAGCAGCTAACAGCCAGTGTAGAGAAGGGAGTCAGCTCTGAGACTGTGGTAGCTGGCAGCAGTGAAGATAACCAGATCTGTATAGAGAGTAGCTCTGAAGATGACTGTGATAGGGTTCAGTCATCCAAGTCATATACCTATTCTGGTGAGAAGCAGGTCCATCCATTTAGTAGATCTGATGATGAAGACTGTGACACATTTGTACATGACAATACATCAGATGACAGTTTGGATGAATTCAGTGAAAACTTAAGTAAATCATTGAAAAAAACAAAATGGCGGCCATGTTTAAAAAAAGATCCTTATCCTACTGAAGAAGTCATTCATCTAATGCTGGAAGAGGTAAGAAATTATTTGTTTTATAACATACAAATAGGAGCTATTTAAAGAAATGGAATCTTGTGTTTCAATCACATCTGTGGGCAAAAAGACATAGCTACTTAAAAATATAAGTATTGTTATGTATAAAGTATAAATACATTTTTTAAAGTAGTGTTATGTATAAAGTATAAATACATTAGTATTAGTAATACATCTACATCCATTTTCTTATCCAGTTAACTAAAGAAAATTTAGTTTAACATTAAAAATATTAGCCTAGTTAATTTAATATTTTTTAAAGTTAGAAATACTGTCATTGACTAAGGCTGGCTGATCATAAACTTGATTTAGTTTGAAATTAACTGAAGAAAAAATGTGCAGGCAAATAGTTTTTACTATATAGATGTCTTAATGTCCTGGCTATCACAAGTCTTGCAGCTCAATTACCTTACTACACTTACTTATCACAGTAACTGGCTTAGCTAGTTTTACTTGTCTTAATATTTTGTTTGACAAGATAACACTAATTTAATTTGCTTTATAGTATATTGTCTAAATATGGTAGGAAAATACAAATATGATGTTAGAACAGTATTAAGGTCTGGTGTTGGCTATGTAATACAGAAGAATGAATTAAGCAAAAAGTTAAAATAGTAAATAATTGTATTCTATTTGGTTTAACTGTCAAATAAAATAAGTATTGAGAGAAAAATTTGAAATAATAAAATGATAAACATTTACAGTACTTAAAACTCACTGGCTTAATATTGATTGTTTGTATAAAAGTCCCCTCTTGTATATTTCAGGCTTATTTCTTGTCTTATGGTCTAGGGTGTTTAAGAGTCATTGACCCAGAACAGGTAAAATATTTATTGGCTCATTTAAAATCAAAATTAACTGTTTTGATCTAGGAATGCACTTAAAAAATGTCAAATATTTCACATGTTTCTCAACTTGTTTGAAGTCACATTTGATTCTCTACAGGTATGTCTTACAACTACCTTGTCCAATTCCAAATTAATTTCCTACTAATTTATCTTTAAACATTTTTTAATTATAATAAAAGTGATGCATTCAATTGATTAAATATGATGAACTTGTTACAGAAAGTATTAAGTCTAACTCAGATGTGGCAGCAATTTCAAGTCCTGAAAGAGAACTTTGTACCAAATTATGTTGCTTATCATTACTTTCGGAGCAAGGGCTGGGTACCTAAGTCAGGGCTGAAGTTTGGATGTGATCTAGGTATGTGTATACGTTATACAGTGTTAAGCTGAAAATATATTCAGGATAAAGTAACTCTACACCAAAAGCAATCACTGAACCAATGCATTGTAATTTAAACATATTTTTTTATCTCAGGTTTTCATTGTCTAGGGTAAAAATGTTTTAGTTTTTCAATTGCAAATCCTTTAGCTGTATTGTGAGCCAGTATTTATATAGAATGGGGTCACAATCTGATTATAGTAATAACATATGTTGATGTAATATACTTTCTATAATGTAACAGGCAGATATTTTTTGTTATATTGAAAATGTTTTTCTAAATTTTGGTTTCAAACATGAGTTTTCCTGACTTGCTTCTGTACTTGACAGTTCTTTACAAAGAAGGACCTCCTTATTTCCATGGCAGTTATGCTGTGAATATAATCGCAGTTACAGACAATACATTGTTGCCATGTGACAGGGGGGATGGCTGCAACTTTGACCAAAGACAACCCAGCTGGATCTCTTTAGCGGCACAAAACAGGATAACGGAACATGTGGCAAAGGTTGGTTCTGTCTTTGAGATATGTAGTGACAGCTGTTTCTCTGTTTTGATAAGTTACAGTGTTTTCATTGAGATATGTAGTTACAGCTGTTTCTCTGTTGTAACAAGTTAGTGTTTTCATTGAGATATGTGGTGACAGCTGTTTCTCTGTAGTAATAAGTTACAGTGTTTTCATTGAGATATGTAGTGACAGCTGTTTCTCTGTTGTAATAAGTTACTGTGTTTTCATTGAGATATGTAGTAACAGCTGTTTCTCTGTTGTAATAAGTTAGTGTTTTCATTGAGATATGTAGTAACAGCTGTTTCTCTGTTGTAATAAGTTAGTGTTTTCATTGAGATATGTAGTAACAGCTGTTTCTCTGTAGTAATAAGTTACAGTGTTTTCATTGAGATATGTAGTGACAGCTGTTTCTCTGTTGTAATAAGTTACTGTGTAAGTCAGTCTATTAATTATACAGCTACTAAAATACTTGGACTACCATATGTATGAAGTATAGTATGACCAGTAGTATATTTGTGTTGCTGACCAGTTATTTATACTCAGAAACCTCATTCACTAACGAATTTTTAAAATGTCTACACTGATTAGCTAGAATCTTTAACTTTCTGAAACCTGATTGAGCTTTCAATCTGAACTTTGTTCTGATAGTTTCTTGTTTTTTCTGCAGGAATTGTTGCTGTGCTATGTTGTGTGGCCTGCGTACCTCAACAAAGAAGAACTTCTTAGCCCTACTTGTATCTCCAAATTTAAAGTTAAGGTAAAGGTTTTAGAAGTGTTTACATTTCAGACACCAGCTGTGTTGAAAAAAGTTAAAAAAAAAATTAGTATATAGTTTGTTAATTTGGCCTTAGTTTTTATCTTGTGTAAGTGAATTGTCTTCTCAATGTTTTTCAGGAAGTTCTTGTTTCCAGGTGGATGGCCACACAAGAAAGAGAAAGTAAAGAAGAAATTCCTTAAGGAAGTGATTAAATAGTGGTGCTAGCTAAATGTCCCTGGCTAATTTCATTTAGTGATTTGATGAAAACAGAGTTACCTCAACTTAAAAGTTTTTGTTTGGGTGAAAAAAGATTTCTGTGAAACGACCTATTTTTAATCCAAATCCAAACCAACAGTGTTATGAGATAATAAATGGCTTCAAATGTTATTTCTATGTTACTTTCCAGCAATTGAGCTAGCCAACACTGACAAAATAGTTGACATTTAGCAATGCTACATTTTTTTCTAGGCTCATTGTATATGCAGTAAACCACAGTGAGGTCAAATTTAAGCACAACAGATTTTATGTTCCAGAAATATTTGTTGAATAGAAATGTTTTGAAATGGGGAATCAGTGTAGTAACCTCTAGTTTATTTTAGAGATTGAAAACCTCTAGTGGCTAGAGTTTGCATATTTTAACATGTTTGTTGATGGTTGGTTGTAGTTTATGCCTGTTATTGTATGATAACATTGGTGTAGACTTTTAATTACATGGTTTTTGTACATCTGTAATTATATGATAATATAGATGTAGGCCTGTAATTGTATATTGTTGATACAGGCCTGTAAGTGTAATTGTATACCATTGATACAGGCATGTCACGTCAGTCATTACTGAAGAGCTTTACTGTCAATATCTAGAGATGACATGTTCTGGTATGAATCATCTGTTCTTTATCATAATAAGTAGCAGGGAACATTTCTTTGGCTCATTTTTGCTCCCTTTTTAAAAACAAGAACTATTTTCGATTTGTATGGATTAAAATATCTCTTTAAAATCATTAATAAATTTGTTGGTTTTTTTTCATTGATACACTCTCAATGGTGTTTCATCTTGTACATGATAACAGTGATAATTTCCAGACATTTTATTTTATGTCTCTATTTTTCTTTATAAATAATACCTCATAAAATTGAAATGAGGCTTAATAGACAGCATGTCTAATGTAACAAAACCCTTTTGTAAGATTAATATTTTTAAAAATGACTAAACTTCTACTAACTGGTTATTTTTCACCAGACATCTTAAGGAATACATATTCAAGAAATTTTTGGACAACCAAGTAATATTGTTTTACAAAATTGAAAATGTGAAATGAAACTAAATTTTGCTTTGATGTGTTTTATTAGTGTACAATCTGGTAAAAAGTTCCATCTCATCGGCTAAAAGCTCTTTGACATGTGCACACAAAACTCTGGAAATAAAAAGAGCATTGTTTATATTAGAATGTCATCCAGTGTTGCTAAGATACTGCCACTACATGATTTGCAAAATAAAATTTTAATTGCCACACTTGTACCATAATTAGTTAATATTTTAATTGCCACACTTGCACCATGATTAGTTAATATTTTAATTGCCAGACTGTCACACCATAATACATGACCCAGAAGGTCATCTATTATTAGATGTCACTTAGATCAAGCAATAACCGTTTTAAAATTTTATAACAAAATTAAAGACAAATTAAAATTTTTAAAAATATTAGCTGTATTGAAAAAATATTTTTTTCACTGATTAATTTGTTCAGCATAGTATATTCCATTCATGGTATACATTTCGGTTTGGTTAAGATAAAGGGGAAGTTGAATTGTCTTTTTAATTACATGCCATGGTATCCAAAAAACTTTTAAAATTAAAATGTAAGTGCCTTATATTGATCAATGAAAGGGGATTGTTATTTTAAAAGGTCTTTTCCATAGTTATACTAGAGAAATAGTTAAAAAATTATCTGTGATTATTGAATCACATTACTAAAGACTGTGTGGTCAGATTTTGTAGCACACAATTTTACGGATCTTAAAATAGGGTCCTTAATTTGTAACGTTTAAACATGTTTGAGCATCAGTGTCCTGGTCTGGTAGGTTTCTTGAGAAATGTGAACTTAGAATGATCAAAGTCCATTCATAAAACTTACCTTGGTAATCAATTTTCCCATCGCCATCTGTGTCTGCTTCTTGCATGATTTCTTTGACCTCCTCATCTGACATCTTATCTCCTGAGTTAAGAGAATTAACTCGTTAGAGCTTAACATCTTAAAATCACTTAAAAAATATAATACATCTCTGGAAGTAAACTAAAATATTTATTATTACTTTGCTAACTTTTTCATTATATTAAATGTATATTACACAACTGGATAGGATTTATAAGGCATAGGAATGAGGTACCAAGTATAAAATATAAATTACTTATTTAAAATATCATTTACCAAATTTAGTCATAAAGGTTTTAAATTCCTCAGCGTCAATAAACCCGTTTTTGTCTGTGTCAAACATTTGAAAGGCGTCCAACATTTCAGCACCAAATTCGTCTGCAGTTGGTTTCGATAAGTTGTTTTCTAGGACGTACTTCTCAAACTCTGAGTACTCAATGTAGCCACTATCTGGTGAACAATGTCAAAATGTGAGAACACACACATCAGATGACATCAATAATCTAGAGATGTGAGGACACACCAGATGACATCAATAATCTAGAGATGTGAGGACACACTGACCAGATGACATCAATAATCTAGAGATGTGAGGACACACTGACCAGATGACATCAATAATCTAGAGATGTGAGGACACACTGACCAGATGACATCAATAATCTAGAGATGTGAGGACACACTGACCAGATGACATCAATAATCTAGAGATGTGAGGACACACTGACCAAATGACATCAATAATCTAGAGATGTGAGGACACACTGACCAGATGACATCAATAATCTAGAGATGTGAGGACACACTGACCAGATGACATCAATAATCTAGAGATGTGAGGACACACTGACCAAATGACATCAATAATCTAGAGATGTGAGGACACACTGACCAGATGACATCAATAATCTAGAGATGTGAGGACACACTGACCAAATGACATCAATAATCTAGAGATGTGAGGACACACACACCAGATGACATCAATGGCTCCTACAGAGATATGCAGATAACCAAGTAACCGTCGAATGGCTCCTACAGATATAGCAGATAACCAAGTAACCATTGAATGGCTCCTACAGATATATGCAGATAACCAAGTGACCATTGAATGGCTCCTACAGAGATAGGCAGATAACCAAGTGACCATTCAATGGCTCCTACAGAGACATGCAGATAACCAAGTGACCATTGAATGGCTCCTACAGATATAGCAGATAACCAAGTAACCATTGAATGGCTCCTACAGATATATGCAGATAACCAAGTGACCATTGAATGGCTCCTACAGAGATAGGCAGATAACCAAGTGACCATTGAATGGCTCCTACAGATATAGCAGATAACCAAGTGACCATTGAATGGCTCCTACAGAGATATGCAGATAACCAAGTGACCATTGAATGGCTCCTACAGATATAGCAGATAACTAAGTAACCATTGAGTGGCTCATACAGAGATATGCAGATAACCAAGTGACCATAGAATGGCTCCTACAGAGATATGCAGATAACCAAATGACCATAGAATGGCTCTACAGAGATATGCAGATAACCAAGTGACCATTGAATGGCTCCTACAGATATAGCAGATAACCAAGTGACCATTGAATGGCTCCTACAGAGATATGCAGATAACCAAATGACCATAGAATGGCTCCTACAGATATAGGCAAGTGACCATTGAATGGCTCCTACAGATATAGGCAAGTGACCTACGATCTTCGTCCAGCTGTTGTACAGCCGCTGTGGCCTGAGCGTCTGTGAAGACCATGAACTGTGACTGGAGCAAAGTTTTCATGTTGTCCAGGGAGATTCGGCCATCTTTATCGTCATCTAGCACGTTGAATGCCTCTTTTATTTCTAAAGGGCAAGTATGGTAACAAAAAGGTCAAAAGTGAATTTTTATAATGTGGCAAATGTGGGTACAGAAAAGGTGCAAATGAGTGGATTATTTTTAAAAGCGGGTGCCGTCTGCTCTAAACTTTGTCGTATATTCTTATGACAGTAAGGCGGACGGCACTTTTAGTGCAATAGGGCGATAGAAATGGGTTTTTTTTTAGATTTTAAAATACTTTTTTTAAAGAATAGAATTGAGTGCGTAGAAAAAATAATTTCGCTCAAAATAAACTAAACAAGGTGTGCACAATTGAGCTGATATATATGTTATCTGTATTTTAAAACCGGAAAAAGAGTTTACTACCATTTCCGGAATTTCTTCTACATAACTGAAATAGTACTAAAGTTATAGGGTTCCCACAGAAATAAAGTACCACATCCCTTTAACAGAAATTTTTCAAAGTTGACAGACACATTCTCATACACTCTAACCATTATAGATCTAGATCTACTTGAAAATTCGTCCACATAACTTAAAAGAGCTTCCCAGAAAAAAAAATGCGCAAACTGAAAACTGCGCAACCGATAAATGGCGCAAACAAAAAAAATGCGCAAATACAAAGTATATCAATACACTTTAATTTTCTCATATTTCTTAGAGAAATGTTTTATTATTCAACAATTTACGCAAAGTCATTCTCTGCTAACGTTTATAAATTATCGATTTAAAAAAAAATTCCATCGCGCACTTCTTTATGCGCTGTTTTCTGTTGCTCTTTTTTCGTTTTACCGGAATCATCCAAATGTTGAAAGAAAACTACAACTTTGGTACAATACTTAAATAGTACATTTCGTCAACCTAACTGAAACAGTGCTCAATTTATCATTTTTACACTTAAACACGCACAACCGCACAAACGTACACACGCACAACCGCACAAACACACACACAGCATTAAAAAACAGTTTGTCCAGCTCCGGAAGTTTATAAAACGACAATATTTTTCACAAATCTGGATTAATATTTTTGCCCGATTACAATGCATCCTTTATATTCCATATACAATAAAGTAGGCGAAAGCCGTCAAAATCTCACGTTATTTTTTGCACGATTACAATAGTTTCTCTATGATCTGTGTACGAGAAAGTAGAAAGTGCTGATAAAAAAAAACCCTCACCTTTAATTTCATCATCAGAAATCACTCTTCGTTTTGATTCCTAAAACAGAAATATCAAAATCACAAAATCAATCACGTTGCTATTGCAACCTCACACCTTTATACCCACCCAGCTATGGCAGATAGGTTGGAGGGAGGGGGTAGGAAAACTTTGGATGTAGGTGGTAGTCAACCAAGTCATTAGGTGTTGGCACGTGACATCAGGGGTCAGACTAGGAGAGATGTTCCTAAAGTCACGTGATATTTTGTTCCAAGACTTCAGAATAAAGTCACATTCAAGTTTTCACTTGTTCTCGAGCCCCCCCCCCCTCCCCCTCCCACCACTCTATCACAACCACCCAAACTGACCACTCGATACCGCACTTGGTATCATTTATGGAAGTAGTATTGGCCAAGTTGGCCATAAGATTCACTCACATTTTACCCAGTATGTTGGCCATGAGATTCACTCACATTTTACCCAGTATGTTGGCCATGAGATTCACTCACATTTTACCCAGTATGTTGGCCATGAGATTCACTCACATTTTACCCAGTATGTTGGCCATGAGATTCACTCACATTTTACCCAGTATGTTGTCCATGAGATTCACTCACATTTTACCCGGTATGTTGGCCATAAGATTCACTCACATTTACCCAGTATGTTGGCCATGAGATTCACTCACATTTTACCCAGTATGTTGGCCATGAGATTCACTCACATTTTACCCAGTTTGTTGGCCATGAGGTTCACTCACATTTTACCCAGTATGTTGGCCATGAGATTCACTCACATTTACCCAGTATGTTGGCCATGAGATTCACTCACATTTTACCCGGTATGTTGGCCATGAGATTCACTCACATTTTACCCAGTATGTTGGCCATGAGATTCACTCACATTTTACCCAGTATGTTGGCCATGAGATTCACTCACATTTTACCCGGTATGTTGGCCATAAGATTCACTCACATTTTACCCAGTATGTTGGCCATGAGATTCACTCACATTTTACCCGGTATGTTGGCCATGAGATTCACTCACATTTTACCAATTATGTTGGCCATGAGATTCACTCACATTTTACCCGGTTAGTAGGCCATGAGGTTCACTCACATTTTACCAATTATGTTGGCCATGAGATTCACTCACATTTTACCCGGTATGTTGGCCATGAGGTTCACTCACATTTTACCAATTATGTTGGCCATGAGATTCACTCACATTTTACCCAGTATGTTGGCCATGAGGTTCACTCACATTTTACCAATTATGTTGGCCATGAGATTCACTCACATTTTACCCAGTATGTTGGCCATGAGATTCACTCACATTTTACCCAGTATGTTGGCCATGAGATTCACTCACATTTTACCCAGTATGTTGGCCATGAGATTCACTCACATTTTACCCAGTATGTTGGCCATGAGATTCACTCACATTTTACCCAGTATGTTGGCCATGAGATTCACTCACATTTTACCCAGTTTGTTGGCCATGAGGTTCACTCACATTTTACCCAGTATGTTGGCCATGAGATTCACTCACATTTTACCCAGTATGTTGGCCATGAGATTCACTCACATTTTACCAAGTATGTTGGCCATGAGGTTCACTCACATTTTACCCAGTATGTTGGCCATGAGATTCACTCACATTTTACCCAGTATGTTGGCCATGAGATTCACTCAAATTTTACCCAGTATGTTGGCCATGAGATTCACTCACATTTTACCCAGTATGTTGGCCATGAGGTTCACTCACATTTTACCCAGTAAGTTGGCCATGAGATTCACTCACATTTTACCCGGTATGTTGGCTATGAGATTCACTCACATTTTACCCAGTATGTTGGCCATGAGGTTCACTCACATTTTACCCGGTATGTTGGCCATGAGATTCACTCACATTTTACCCAGTATGTTGGCCATGATTTTCACTCACATTTTACCCAGTATGTTGGCCATGAGATTCACTCACATTTTACCCAGTATGATGGCCATGAGATTCACTCACATTTTACCCAGTATGTTGGCCATGAGGTTCCCTCACATTACCCAGTATGCTGACGACAAAAGAAACTTACCGCCATAGCTAAATGTTGCTGGACAAATATGTAAAGATCATCCAATGTTTTCAGTCGTCCAGCGGCTTTACAGGCCACCAATCTACAACATTTTTAAAGGATTCTGAAACAAAAGATCAACATACAGACCTACGGTACACGATATATATATATATATATATATATATATATATATATATATATATATATATATATATATATATATATATATATATATATATATATATATATATATATATAAAACGTGAGCTAAACCCACATCACTAACACGTAAGCTAAACCCACATCACAAACTAGTGAGCTAAACCCACATCACCAGTGTTTCTTTCAGTCTTTTTTCTCAGGTGGGGGGGGGGGGGGCTAACTTTTCCGGGGGGGGGGGGGGCAGACACTGGTAAAAGTAAATATTTTTTAGAACACCATGTTCCGTTCCTAATTTGCCCTCGACGCTCATGACAACTGCAATCACGCTTCGGGGATCACCGTGACCTCTGTCAACATCTGGAAAACGGATGCGTACATTGTCACCCACTTCACCATCTTTAAATTTTGTATTTGATGTTTTAAGCATCTTAGCACCTTGAGTTTGCAAGCCAGTATGAGCTGCTTATTTGTGTTCCATGGTGTCTTGTTTGTTGTGACACAATCTGCAGGTAATGTTCCCTCCGTACCCTTCGTCTGCTTCATTGGGTATTCCACAAATAGCATGGACATTGTTGACACAGTATCCAAAAGAATGAGCTGCACTAGAATGTTTTTCACAAACTATACAGAATCTGTTGGCCACATTATTGTCACGCAACTGGTCTGGGCGTTCCGCCACGGCAGTAGATGTGTTAGCTGAGGATGTCGTTGCATTTATGGCAACCTCCATTTCTTGTTCAATGTTCTCAAGATCTTCCTCAGTAGCTATTTTATCGAGAGCCCATATATGGAAACTAACATGGATTTCATTTTTTTCTTTTGACATCCATCTGCTATGTCTGCCTCATGGTCTGACGGCCCTTTTGATCCATGTCGCCTTGCATATAGAATGCTATACAAACAAGAGCTAAACTATACGTTACTCTCAATGAAAACGCACCCAGAATAATGAAAATGCGATCACAACTTAGTCTAGATAGAACATTGGCCAGGACATCCCGGCCAGTGCGCGCATTGGCCGGCCAATGTACAAAATACGCTGTCAAGTTTAAGCGCTTCGGACTTTGGCCAGTACGTCCCGGCCAGCGCGCGCATTGGCCGGCCAATGTACGAAATCTTAGTGCTAAGTTCTTCGGGCTTTGGCCAAGAGAGCCGGCCAATGCGCGGATTGGCCGGCCAATCCGCGCTTTGGCCGCACTTCGGGCTTTGACCGTAACACACACACACACACATATATATATATATATATATATATATATATATATATATATATATATATATATATATATATATATATATATATATATATATATATATATATATATATATATATATATATATATATATATATATATATATATATATATATATATCCCCACAAATAAGGTTACGCGTCTGATTGACTAGAAGAGTTGCTGTATTTTACAGATCCTGAGTCAGGTCTGGCCAGAACTTGATTGGATGAGATCTTGACAAAACTTGATTGGATGAGATCGTGACAAAACTTGATTGGATGAGATCTTGACAACACTAGATTGAATGAGATCTTGACAAAACTTGATTGAATGAGATCTTGACAAAACTTGATCGAATGAGATCTTGACAAAACTTGATTGAATGAGATCTTGACAAAACTTGATTGAATGAGATCTTGACAAAACTTGATTGAATGAGATCTTGACAAAACTTGATTGAATGAGATCTTGACAACACTTGATTGAATGAGATCTTGACAACACTAGATTGAATGAGATCTTGACAAAACTTGATTGAATGAGATCTTGACAACACTAGATTGAATGAAATCTTGACAACACTAGATTGAATGAGATCTTGACAACACTTGATTGAATGAGATCTTGACAACACTTGATTGAATGAGATCTTGACAAAACTTGATTGATTGAATGAGATCTTGACAAAACTTGATAGAACGAGATCTTACAACACTTGATTGAATGAGATCTTGACAACACTTGATTGAATGAGATCTTGACAACACTTGATTGAATGAGATCTTGACAAAACTTGATTGAATGAGATCTTGACAAAACTTGATTGAATGAGATCTTGACAAAACTTGATTGAATGAGATCTTGACAAAACTTGATTGAATGAGATCTTGACAGAACTTGATTGAATTAGATCTTGACAACACTTGATTGAATGAGATCTTGACAACACTTGATTGAATGAGATCTTGACAAAACTTGATAGAACGAGATCTTGACAACACTTGATTGAATGAGATCTTGGCAAAACTTGATTGAATGAGATCTTGACAAAACTTGATTGAATGAGATCTTGACAAAACTTGATTGAATGAGATCTTGACAAAACTTGATTGAATGAGATCTTGACAAAACTTGATTGAATGAGATCTTGACAGAACTTGATTGAATTAGATCTTGACAACACTTGATTGAATGAGATCTTGACAACACTTGATTGAATGAGATCTTGACAAAACTTGATAGAACGAGATCTTGACAACACTTGATTGAATGAGATCTTGGCAAAACTTGATTGAATGAGATCTTGACAACACTTGATTGAATGAGATCTTTACAACACTTGATTGAATGAGATCTTGACAAAACTTGATTGAATGAGATCTTGACAACACTTGATTGAATGAGATCTTGACAGCACTAGATTGAATGAGATCTTGACAAAACTTGATTGAATTAGATCTTGACAACACTAGATTGAATGAGATCTTGACAACACTAGATTGAATGAGATCTTGACAACACTTGATTGAATGAGATCTTGACAACACTTGATTGAATGAGATTTTGACAAAACTTGATAGAATGATATCTTGACAAAACTTGATTGAATGAGATCTTGACAACACTTGATTGAATGAGATCTTGACAACACTTGATTGAATGAGATCTTGACAACACTTGATTGAATGAGATCTTGACAAAACTTGATTGAATGAGATCTTGACAACACTTGATTGAATGAGATCTTGACAACACTTGATTAAATGAGATCTTGACAAAACTTGATTGAATGAGATCTTGACAACACTTGATTGAATCAGGTCTAGGCCAACTGACTCGAGTCGGGCAATCATTTGACTGACCATGAAATCGAACTGTTTGATTAGGTTTTCACCTGATTAAATCGTGACTCCAGTACTCGGCAGACCTAAGCAGCGATCAAACACTGAAATAAACCCCCAGAGATTTTCTTCGATCCTTTCAATAATGTTTCAAATCCAATCAATAAAAAGACTTGAATTTTGAGCATATGGTGAAAAACATTCACGAAAACTAACTTCATCAAGGCAGTTCACGATATTTCTGCGGCCGTTCGTCCGTTTTTATCCCCTTTTTTTTTATCTGGTTTTTATCCATCATGTTACCCTCACCACATGCCTAATCCTGGTTAAAACTAGACTTTAATGCCAGATTAATCAGCAGCCAATAGAAAAGAACCGTATTATACCATGTTCAACTGCTATGGCTATGAATAGTTACATAAAAGAAGGTTATTAAGATTAACAAAGGCGATCAGGATATCGATCAAATGATGCTAGATTTAGAGAAGCAGATATGGAACAAAAGGACTCGACATTGCCACAGACCTATCACACGTGTGTGTGTGTGTATACGTGTGTGTGTGTGTGTGTGTACATGTGTACATGGGTCCTGCTGTTGTTTATTTGTCGATTATTTTAGCATACAGAAATGATCTGTTACTGTCAGAGACCACTGCTTTGATCTACCTACCTATCTCAGGCCGATCAAATCAAAGTATTGTGTACACATACCTAACCAAGCTAGTACATATTAGCTTATTTAAATAAAGATGTGTAAATGCACGTGTGTATTTATACGAGTGAACCGATCAATAAAGATGTAAACAGAATGGATCTCAATAATGTTCACCTAGTCACCTACTGGACGGGATGTATTGATCGCTTCCTGTTTTTCATTGTTTCTGTTGCATTTCAAACTATTGATTTTTGTAATTAGATCATTGAATTTATTTCAAACCTTCCGAGTATTGATTTTCTTTCTGGAATAAAGTTTTCATAGATGTAAGCATCGTTAAACATATAATTAGGTTTACATTACCGTTTTTATTTGTATTGATTTTTTAAACTGTATTTCAAATGTGAAAACATAATCTATTATTTTTCACAGTTTTTATTGATATTGATTTTAAGCCATGGATATCAAAAACATTAATAATATGAAGATGGGATGTCTGTTTAACAGGAAAAGATTTAAAAGACATTAAGTCATTAGTTAAAGAGATGCTATAGGTCAAGATGGTTGATGTTGTAGGCCTAGATAGTAGCGTTGATTTTATAGGACTAGATGGTAAAGTTGATGTTATAGGACTAGATGGTAAAGTTGATGTTATAGGACTAGATGATAAAGTTGATTTATAGGACTAGATGGTAAAGTTGAGCTATAAGACTAGATAGTAAAGTTAAGTTGATACTATAGGTCTAGATCAGGAGTCTCCAAAATTTTGCCCGAGAGTTTCTTCCATGCATCTCATCGGGTGGCGAAACTCCTTGGGCAAAAACTTATAAAAACACCCGCCCGTCTTTAAACTTGTCTCTAAGGAGGTTGTTTGCTTGCAATTTAATGACCTCCACATGAAGTTCATCTGGGCAAATGGCCACAAACAGTCTCCCTTCTTCTGCCTTTGAATCCAAGTCAGAAAACTGCTACTGAAACTGCAGCTGGAGGTCTTTGATGGTTTCGCATGCAAATAACGTGAACTCAGCTATTGCTTAAGCCATGAAGACCTTGTACTGCTGAAAGTGCGTCAAGTTGATGGCCTGTACTTGTTCCAAAATCATGACAAGTTTGGATCTGGAGGCCTTTGGTAGGTGTATAGATCAGAAACTAGATTTTCCTGTCTTTGTAGTTTTAGGTTCTGAAAATTTAAATGATTAGTTATGTCAGCAGCATAAGCCAATCTCTATAACCACTCTTCATCAGACATTAATGGCTGTAGCTTGCCTTTACTTTCCAGGAAGTCACCTATTTCCTTTCTTAACTTAAATACTCTGCTCTGAAATATCCCGCAACTTAGCCTTCTTACTGCTGTGTAAAATAGTCAATGTTGCGATTCTGTGTCTGTACCTTTCAACACGTCTCTGAACAGTCCATGGTTGAACTTATGTGACCTTATTAAATTCAACAGCTTCACCACGAGATTCAGTAATGTCCATATATTTAGCACACAAAGTTTGCTGGTGAATATTACATTGCAGGAACATTCTCATTCTCGTGTCAAACCAAGCATTTCTTTATGCCACTCATGTACTTTCCTCCTTCAACAGTAAGGTAACTGAGGTTAGTCCAGTCTAAGTTAAAATCAGCAAATGTATTTGCACCCAAAGCTACTTTTTCAAATTGTTTTGACTTCTGGGCAAAGTTCCTCAGCCACCTCCAACAAACATTTTATCCGTGGACAAAAAGATATCCGCAGGCCGGATGAGAGGGCCTCGCGGGCCGCATTCGGTCCGCGGGCTGTAGTTTGGAGACCCCTGGTCTAGATGGTAAAGTTGATGGTTTAGGTCTAGATGGTAAAGTTAAGTTGATACATTAGGTCTAGAATATTGTCAAATCTCGACCAGTTTCTTCCAGGCATCTCTTCGGGGGGGGGGGGGGGGGAAGAGCCCCCCCCCCCCGAACAAAATGAAATTTATATAGAAAATATATACTTTTAACCGTGTCCGTCCACCCCCCACCCCCGAAGAAAGTCTACCGCCCCCCCCCCCCCGAAAATTTCAAGTGCCCCCCCTCTTCCCCCCCCCCCCCCCCGGAGAAAAAAGTCTGGAAGAAACACTGATCTCGACATTTGACACCTCTCTGAGTCAGAAAAAGTTTTCTAATTTAGTCTGTATATCTGTATGTCGTATATGAAAAAGTAACAAAATAAGGCCTTTTTTTCTTACTAGGAAAGTGTGTCAAGGTAGGAAAATATTCAGAGCAGTTTCCAAAATGGATATTTTGCTATTAATTATAATGTAAAACGATTAACATAACGTCAAACACATTACGATAATTGTTTACATGAATAGAAGAATAGCCAATTACCATATTACACATCGGCATAACAAATCAATACAAAAACTAATCTAAGAGTATCGACATAAGGCGACAGCTAACTTGCACAATCAAATGTACCATTTTTTTACTGTCCCCCCCCCCCCCCCCCCACACACACACTTTCACATTCGGAGGCCGTTGATAAGGAATTTAGCATTGATAAGCTACTTAGTTGGCAACACAGATACTTGAGTATCTCACACTCGCTGAAATTGTTCTTTCATAGACTGCAATCAAGCTATCAGCAGTTGTGTCCTAGCATCGAATGATATATTGGTTAGCAATTTTCCAATGCAGTGTATATACTGCAATCAAGCTATTAGCAGTTGTGTCCTAGCATCGAATGATATATTGGTTAGCAATTATACAATGTAGTGTAACCCCAATCCGCTTCAGTGGACCGTGTATTTTGTTATAATCAGTGCATAGTTATTTCTGTGGACGTTGCTATTGACGTCACCCCCCTTCTCCAGCTTGTATAACGGCGTCAACGTGTACACACATTATGTTAATCCACATATTAGTTCAAGTGGAAAAAATCAAGGTCAATTATTAGATGTGGTGTCACCCCATCCCGGTCATTCATCAGTTAATGAATATATTCAATTACACATTTCCCCCCCCCCCCCCCCTTCCTCCAAGCACAAAGCATGTTTGTTAAGAAAATATTACAATTTTTTCTCGCCTGGATGTCACTCCCGTTAATGGTGTCACCCGGTGCGGTCTAGGTTGTTAAAAGAATATGTGGTTGAAAGAAGTATATAGTATCCAGTTGGTTGTTAAAAGAATATGTGAACGAAAGAAGTATATAGTATCCAGTTGGTTGTTAAAAGAATATGTGAACGAAAGATGTATCCAGTTGGTTGTTAAAAGCATATGTGGTTGAAAGAAGTATATAGTATCTAGTTAGTTGTTAAAAGAATATGTGATTGAAAGAAGTATATAGTATCTAGTTGGTTGTTAAAAGAATATGTGATTGAAAGCAGAGGCGTAGCGAGGGGGTGGGGTGGGCTGGGGGTGCGGACCGCACCGGGTGACACCATTTAGGGGGGTGACACCAAGGCAAAAAATAGTACAATATATAGAGATAAATTTGAGGGTGGTGGGTGCAAATCGAAAGTTTGAGGGGGGGGGGGGTGCAAATCGAAAGTTCGAGGAGGGGGGGGGGTGCAAATCGAAAACTTGAAAGTTTGTCACCGGGAAGGGTCGCAACGCCTCTGGGGGGGTGACACCATTAAGTGCCGCACCGGGTAACACCCGACCACGCTACGCCACTGATTGAAAGAAGTATATAATATCCAAGTGGAAGCGAGGTGGAAAGATTTGACTCGATTGAATGTTGTCACGCGATCCACAATGGATACATTCTGTGCGGGATGACAATCGGTTAAAATAGTTTGATATCACGCGCAATTAGAATTTTAGATTGCTATAACTTTGGACTTTTCAGTGGTTTACAATAGCGATGGTGTGTCGTCATATAAATGGCGAATATTTCTATACTAGTAGAGAAGTGTAGTGACACCTTAGAGTGCCTAGGACAAACTCCCAGTTACCTGTCTATAATCAAGTGGAAACACTCCACTCATTGGACCCTAGACGTCCTAAGATCAGACCATTTGGCTGTCTTGTGTTAGAGTATCTTGTGACGGCCTTGTGTTAGTGTCTTGTGTTAGAGTATCTTATGACTGTCTTGTGTTAGAGTATCTTGTGACTGTCTTGTGTTAGAGTATCTTGTGTGACTGTCTTGTGTTAGAGTATCTTGTGACGGCCTTGTGTTAGTGTCTTGTGTTAGAGTATCTTATGACTGTCTTGTGTTAGAGTATCATGTGTGACTGTCTTGTGTTAGAGTATCTTATGACTATCTTGTGTTAGAGTATCTTGTGTGACTGTCTTGTGTTAGTGTCTTGTGTTAGAGTATCTTATGACTGTCTTGTGTTAGAGTATCTTATGACTGTCTTGTGTTAGAGTATCTTATGACTGTCTTGTGTTAGAGTATCTTATGACTATCTTGTGTTAGAGTATCTTATGACTATCTTGTGTTAGAGTATCTTGTGTGACTGTCTTGTGTTAGAGTATCTTATGACTGTCTTGTGTTAGAGTATCTTATGACTGCCTTGTTTTAAAGTATCTTGTGACAGGGTTACACACAAGACAGAGTTACACACGTAACAAGACAGGGTTACACACGTCACAAGACAGGGTTACACACAAGACAGAGTTACACACAAGACAGAGTTACACACAAGACAGAGTTACACACAAGACAGAGTTACACACGTCACAAGACAGGGTTACACACGTCATAAGAGAGACGGATTAACTTTTTTTTTAAGCCGCGTCAACAAAAGGTGTTTGTGTTTGACAAGCCTTATATCAAGAAATGGGTTATCTGCTTCACAGTTTTTAACACATACTATGTTTTATATAGCATAGTAGTAGATGTAACATGGTAGTAGATGTAACATGGTAGTAGTAGATGTAACATGGTAGTAGATGTTACATGGTAGTAGATGTTACATGGTAGTAGTAGATGTAACATGGTGGTAGATGTAACATGGTAGTAGATATAACATGGTAGTAGATGTAACATGGTAGTAGTAGATGTAACATGGTAGTAGATGTAACATGGTAGTAGATGTAATATGGTAGTAGTAGATGTTACATGGTAGTAGTAGATGTAACATGGTAGTAGATGTAACATGGTAGTAGTAGATGTTACATGGTAGTAGTAGATGTAACATGGTGGTAGATGTTACATGGTAGTAGATGTTACATGGTAGTAGATGTTACATGGTAGTAGTAGATGTAACATGGTGGTAGATGTAACATGGTAGTAGATGTAACATGGTAGTAGATGTAACATGGTAGTAGATGTAACATGGTAGTAGATGTAACATGGTAGTAGATGTAACATGGTAGTAGATGTAACGTGGTAGTAGATGTAACATGGTAGTAGTAGATGTAACATGGCAGTAGATGTAACATGGTAGTAGATGTAACATGGTAGTAGATGTAACATAGTAGTAGATGTAACATGGTAGTAGATGTAACATGGTAGTAGATGTAACATGGTAGTAGATGTAACATGGTAGTAGATGTAACATGGTAGTAGTAGATGTAACATGGTAGTTGATGTAACATGGTAGTAGATGTAACATGGTAGTAGATGTAACATGGTAGTAGATGTTACATGGTAGTAGTAGATGTAACATGGTAGTTGATGTAACATGGTAGTAGATGTAACATGGTAGTTGATGTAACATGGTAGTAGATGTAACATGGTAGTAGATGTTACATGGTAGTAGATGTTACATGGTAGTAGATGTTACATGGTAGTAGATGTAACATGGTAGTAGATGTAACATGGCAGTAGATGTAACATGGTAGTAGATGTAACATGGTAGTAGATGTAACATGGTAGTAGATGTAACATGGTAGTAGATGTAACATGGTAGTAGATGTAACATGGTAGTAGATGTAACATGGTAGTAGATGTAACATGGTAGTAGATGTAACGTGGTAGTAGATGTAACATGGTAGTAGTAGATGTAACATGGCAGTAGATGTAACATGGTAGTAGATGTAACATGGTAGTAGATGTAACATAGTAGTAGATGTAACATGGTAGTAGATGTAACATGGTAGTAGATGTAACATGGTAGTAGATGTAACATGGTAGTGGATGTAACATGGTAGTAGTAGATGTAACATGGTAGTTGATGTAACATGGTAGTAGATGTAACATGGTAGTATATGTAACATGGTAGTAGATGTTACATGGTAGTGGTAGATGTAACATGGTAGTAGTAGATGTAACATGGTAGTAGATGTAACATGGTAGTAGATGTAACATGGTAGTAGATGTAACATGGTAGTAGTAGATGTAACATGGTAGTAGTAGATGTAACATGGTAGTAGATGTAACATGGTAGTAGTAGATGTAACATGGTAGTAGATGTAACATGGTAGTAGATGTAACATGGTAGTAGATGTAACATGGTAGTAGATGTAACATGGTAGTAGTAGATGTAACATAGTAGTAGATGTAACATGGTAGTAGTAGATGTAACATGGTAGTATATGTAACATGGTAGTAGATGTAACATGGTAGTAGATGTAACATGGTAGTAGATGTAATATGGTAGTAGATGTAACATGGTAGTAGATGTAACATGGTAGTAGTAGATATAACATGGTAGTAGATGTAAATTGGTAGTAGATGTAACATAGTAGTAGATGTAACATTGTAGTAGATGTAACATGGTAGTAGATGTAACATGGTAGTAGATGTAACATTGTAGTAGATGTAACATGGTAGTAGTAGATGTAACATGGTAGTAGATGTAACATGGTAGTAGATGTAACATGGTAGTAGATGTAACATGGTAGTAGATGTAACATGGTAGTAGATGTAACATGGTAGTAGTAGATATAACATGGTAGTAGATGTAACATGGTAGTAGATGTAACATGGTAGTAGTAGATGTAACATAGTAGTAGCAGATGTAACATGGTAGTAGATGTAACATGGTAGTAGATGTAACATGGTAGTAGATGTAACAAGGTAGTAGATGTTACATGGTAGTAGTAGATGTAACATGGTGGTAGATGTAACATGGTAGTAGATGTAACATGGTAGTAGATGTTACATGGTAGTAGATGTAACATAGTAGTAGAGGTAACATGGTAGTAGATGTTACATGGTAGTAGTAGATGTAACATGGTGGTAGATGTAACATGGTGGTAGATGTAACATGGTAGTAGATGTAACATGGTAGTAGATGTAACATGGTAGTAGATGTAACATGGTAGTAGATGTAACATGGTAGTAGTAGATGTAACATGGTGGTAGATGTAACATGGTAGTAGATGTAACATGGTAGTAGATGTAACATGGTAGTAGTAGATGTAACATGGTGGTAGATGTAACATGGTAGTAGATGTTACATGGTAGTAGATGTAACATGGTAGTAGATGTAACATGGTAGTAGATGTTACATGGTAGTAGATGTAACATGGTAGTAGTAGATGTAACATGGTGGTAGATGTAACATGGTAGTAGATGTTACATGGTAGTAGATGTTACATGGTAGTAGTAGATGTAACATGGTAGTAGATGTTACATGGTAGTAGATGTAACATGGTAGTAGTAGATGTAACATGGTGGTAGATGTAACATGGTAGTAGATGTTACATGGTAGTAGATGTTACATGGTAGTAGTAGATGTAACATGGTGGTAGATGTAACATGGTAGTAGATGTAACATGGTAGTAGTAGATGTAACATGGTAGTAGATGTTACATGGTAGTAGATGTTACATGGTAGTAGTAGATGTAACATGGTGGTAGATGTAACATGGTAGTAGTAGATGTAACATGGTAGTAGATGTAACATGGTAGTAGATGTAACATGGTAGTAGATATAACATGGTAGTAGATGTAACATGGTAGTAGTAGATGTAACATGGTAGTAGATGTTACATGGTAGTAGATGTTACATGGTAGTAGTAGATGTAACATGGTGGTAGATGTAACATGGTAGTAGATATAACATGGTAGTAGATGTAACATGGTAGTAGTAGATGTAACATGGTAGTAGATGTAACATGGTAGTAGATGTAATATGGTAGTAGTAGATGTTACATGGTAGTAGTAGATGTAACATGGTAGTAGATGTAACATGGTAGTAGTAGATGTTACATGGTAGTAGTAGATGTAACATGGTGGTAGATGTTACATGGTAGTAGATGTTACATGGTAGTAGATGTTACATGGTAGTAGTAGATGTAACATGGTGGTAGATGTAACATGGTAGTAGATGTAACATGGTAGTAGATGTAACATGGTAGTAGATGTAACATGGTAGTAGATGTAACATGGTAGTAGATGTAACATGGTAGTAGATGTAACGTGGTAGTAGATGTAACATGGTAGTAGTAGATGTAACATGGCAGTAGATGTAACATGGTAGTAGATGTAACATGGTAGTAGATGTAACATAGTAGTAGATGTAACATGGTAGTAGATGTAACATGGTAGTAGATGTAACATGGTAGTAGATGTAACATGGTAGTAGATGTAACATGGTAGTAGTAGATGTAACATGGTAGTTGATGTAACATGGTAGTAGATGTAACATGGTAGTAGATGTAACATGGTAGTAGATGTTACATGGTAGTAGTAGATGTAACATGGTAGTTGATGTAACATGGTAGTAGATGTAACATGGTAGTTGATGTAACATGGTAGTAGATGTAACATGGTAGTAGATGTTACATGGTAGTAGATGTTACATGGTAGTAGTAGATGTAACATGGTGGTAGATGTAACATGGTAGTAGATGTAACATGGTAGTAGATGTAACATGGTAGTAGATGTAAAAAAAAAAAAGTAGCTTGAAGCTGTAGATGATTAAAGAAAAAAGTAGTACAACTACTTACATTGTGCCTAAGAACAAGTCGAGGCTGAAACAGCCACTGGCATTGTAATAAAAGAAGTATCATTCTAAATATATAGTGGCCACATATAGTAAAGAAAACGCCTTAGGTTTATTGATTAGCTGAAAAGCGCCTATAGTTTTATTTCAAGAGCTCGAATGTATTGGGTGACCAGGTTGGGGAGATTTTCCGCCCCATTTTTGTAACCGTTAGATTAAATTGCTAGGCAATGTATATCTATATCTATATCTATATCTATATCTATATCTATATCTATATCTATATCTATATCTATATCTATATCTATATCTATATCTATATCTATATCTATATCTATATCTATATCTATATCTATATCTATATCTATATCTATATCTATATCTATATCTATATCTATATCTATATCTATATCTATATCTATATCTATATCTATATCTATATCTATATCTATATCTATATCTATATCTATATCTATATCTATATCTATATCTATATCTATATCTATATCTATATCTATATCTATATCTATATCTATATCTATATCTATATCTATATCTATATCTATATCTATATCTATATCTATATCTATATCTATATCTATATCTATATCTATATCTATATCTATATCTATATCTATATCTATATCTATATCTATATCTATATCTATATCTATATCTATATCTATATCTATATCTATATCTATATCTATATCTATATCTATATCTATATCTATATCTATATCTATATCTATATCTATATCTATATCTATATCTATATCTATATCTATATCTATATCTATATCTATATCTATATCTATATCTATATCTATATCTATATCTATATCTATATCTATATCTATATCTATATCTATATCTATATCTATATCTATATCTATATCTATATCTATATCTATATCTATATCTATATCTATATCTATATCTATATCTATATCTATATCTATATCTATATCTATATCTATATCTATATCTATATCTATATCTATATCTATATCTATATCTATATCTATATCTATATCTATATCTATATCTATATCTATATCTATATCTATATCTATATCTATATCTATATCTATATCTATATCTATATCTATATCTATATCTATATCTATATCTATATCTATATCTATATCTATATCTATATCTATATCTATATCTATATCTATATCTATATCTATATCTATATCTATATCTATATCTATATCTATATCTATATCTATATCTATATCTATATCTATATCTATATCTATATCTATATCTATATCTATATCTATATCTATATCTATATCTATATCTATATCTATATCTATATCTATATCTATATCTATATCTATATCTATATCTATATCTATATCTATATCTATATCTATATCTATATCTATATCTATATCTATATCTATATCTATATCTATATCTATATCTATATCTATATCTATATCTATATCTATATCTATATCTATATCTATATCTATATCTATATCTATATCTATATCTATATCTATATCTATATCTATATCTATATCTATATCTATATCTATATCTATATCTATATCTATATCTATATCTATATCTATATCTATATCTATATCTATATCTATATCTATATCTATATCTATATCTATATCTATATCTATATCTATATCTATATCTATATCTATATCTATATCTATATCTATATCTATATCTATATCTATATCTATATCTATATCTATATCTATATCTATATCTATATCTATATCTATATCTATATCTATATCTATATCTATATCTATATCTATATCTATATCTATATCTATATCTATATCTATATCTATATCTATATCTATATCTATATCTATATCTATATCTATATCTATATCTATATCTATATCTATATCTATATCTATATCTATATCTATATCTATATCTATATCTATATCTATATCTATATCTATATCTATATCTATATCTATATCTATATCTATATCTATATCTATATCTGTATCTGTATCTGTATCTGTATCTGTATCTGTATCTGTATCTGTATCTGTATCTGTATCTGTATCTGTATCTGTATCTGTATCTGTATCTGTATCTGTATCTGTATCTGTATCTGTATCTGTATCTGTATCTGTATCTGTATCTGTATCTGTATCTGTATCTGTATCTGTATCTGTATCTGTATCTGTATCTGTATCTGTATCTGTATCTGTATCTGTATCTGTATCTGTATCTGTATCTGTATCTGTATCTGTATCTGTATCTGTATCTGTATCTGTATCTGTATCTGTATCTGTATCTGTATCTGTATCTGTATCTGTATCTGTATCTGTATCTGTATCTGTATCTGTATCTGTATCTGTATCTGTATCTGTATCTGTATCTGTATCTGTATCTGTATCTGTATCTGTATCTGTATCTGTATCTGTATCTGTATCTGTATCTGTATCTGTATCTGTATCTGTATCTGTATCTGTATCTGTATCTGTATCTGTATCTGTATCTGTATCTGTATCTGTATCTGTATCTGTATCTGTATCTGTATCTGTATCTGTATCTGTATCTGTATCTGTATCTGTATCTGTATCTGTATCTGTATCTGTATCTGTATCTGTATCTGTATCTGTATCTGTATCTGTATCTGTATCTGTATCTGTATCTGTATCTGTATCTGTATCTGTATCTGTATCTGTATCTGTATCTGTATCTGTATCTGTATCTGTATCTGTATCTGTATCTGTATCTGTATCTGTATCTGTATCTGTATCTGTATCTGTATCTGTATCTGTATCTGTATCTGTATCTGTATCTGTATCTGTATCTGTATCTGTATCTGTATCTGTATCTGTATCTGTATCTGTATCTGTATCTGTATCTGTATCTGTATCTGTATCTGTATCTGTATCTGTATCTGTATCTGTATCTGTATCTGTATCTGTATCTGTATCTGTATCTGTATCTGTATCTGTATCTGTATCTGTATCTGTATCTGTATCTGTATCTGTATCTGTATCTGTATCTGTATCTGTATCTGTATCTGTATCTGTATCTGTATCTGTATCTGTATCTGTATCTGTATCTGTATCTGTATCTGTATCTGTATCTGTATCTGTATCTGTATCTGTATCTGTATCTGTATCTGTATCTGTATCTGTATCTGTATCTGTATCTGTATCTGTATCTGTATCTGTATCTGTATCTGTATCTGTATCTGTATCTGTATCTGTATCTGTATCTGTATCTGTATCTGTATCTGTATCTGTATCTGTATCTGTATCTGTATCTGTATCTGTATCTGTATCTGTATCTGTATCTGTATCTGTATCTGTATCTGTATCTGTATCTGTATCTGTATCTGTATCTGTATCTGTATCTGTATCTGTATCTGTATCTGTATCTGTATCTGTATCTGTATCTGTATCTGTATCTGTATCTGTATCTGTATCTGTATCTGTATCTGTATCTGTATCTGTATCTGTATCTGTATCTGTATCTGTATCTGTATCTGTATCTGTATCTGTATCTGTATCTGTATCTGTATCTGTATCTGTATCTGTATCTGTATCTGTATCTGTATCTGTATCTGTATCTGTATCTGTATCTGTATCTGTATCTGTATCTGTATCTGTATCTGTATCTGTATCTGTATCTGTATCTGTATCTGTATCTGTATCTGTATCTGTATCTGTATCTGTATCTGTATCTGTATCTGTATCTGTATCTGTATCTGTATCTGTATCTGTATCTGTATCTGTATCTGTATCTGTATCTGTATCTGTATCTGTATCTGTATCTGTATCTGTATCTGTATCTGTATCTGTATCTGTATCTGTATCTGTATCTATATCTATATCTATATCTATATCTATATCTATATCTATATCTATATCTATATCTATATCTATATCTATATCTATATAAATATTGATATAGATATAGATATAAATGTAGACGTAGACGTAGACGTAGAGGCACTCCAACCAGAGGCACTCCAAAAAAGAGGTACTCCAAATAGAGGCACTCCAAATTTGCCATTCCAAATAGAGGCACTCCAAATAGAGGCACTCCAATTAGAGGCACTCCAAATATGCCATTCCAAATAGAGGCACTCCAAATAGAGGCACTCCAAATGGACTGATGGACTGGACTTACAACCATCATGGGGTGATGGACTGGACTTACAACCATTATAGGGTGATGGACTGGACTTACAACCATCATGCGGTGATGGACTGGACTTACAACCATCATAGGGTGATGGACTGGACTTACAACCATGATGGGGTGATGGACTGGACTTACAACCATCATGGGGTGATGGACTGGACTTACAACCATGATGGGGTGATGGACTGGACTTACAACCATCATGATGGACTGGACTTAAACCATCATGCCTGATGGACTGGACTTACAACCATCATGGGGTGATGGACTGGACTTACAGCTGGAGCAGTTGTTTCCCCTGACCCCTGTAGTTCGACATTCCCCCTGAGTGCCGTTAGCACAATGTTTGACATCTCCACCCTGTCCATGATTTACTCAGTTGTGCTCAAATACTCATTTACCCCCTCCCCATTCTTACCTTCCCCCTCCCACCCCACTACCAATCCCCCCCCCCCCACCGCACAGCAAACATTGACGATTTGATTAGCCAGCTATCGAGCAAAACCCATCTTGTGCACTAAAACAGCTGCAAGGGGCAGTAAGTCTGTTTTCTTGGTTAACTCACTGTTAAAGCTAGAGTTACTTACCTTGTTATCATCTGTCGTCTATCTGGAGCTGCTCGAGTTAAATTGTTTAAGTAAATTTAGAGCACTTGAATCATTTATATTTGATTTTTAAAAAAATCTCAATTGTAATATATTTTAACAACGTAAATGTAATACAGATACAAGAATATAAATGGTAATTGAACTAATATATTTATGTTTAAGAGATTGAGGAATATAGGTGAAACTATCCATTGTTAGAGGTAGTGAAACTATCCATTGCTAGAGGTAGTGAAACTATACATTCATTGTTAGAGGTAGTGTAACATCCCATATTAGGTCAGACATTTCTGTACCCACTGAAAAAAGAAATGCTCTAGCTTGTGACCACAGTGGTTGTCCATCCCCCCCCCCCCCCCCAGGAACGAAAGTGTCCGCTCTCCGCCCCTCGGAAATTTAGTCCGCCTCCTACAAAATTTCAAGTGCCTTCTCCCCCCCCCCCCCCCCCCCGGAGAAAAACCTGGAAGAAACACTGATCGGGTCCAATGACGTCATCATCAGTCCTTGAACCAGACTGATGATGTTTTAACCTTTGACACCTGAGGTTATGACGTAGATCCGAGTCACGGCATGATTGGGTGTTACTTCATTTCTTTTGTCGGGATGATTGGGTGTTACTTCATTTCTTTTGTCGGCATGATTGGGTGTTACCTCATTTCCTTTGTCGGCCTTTTTCATCTGTTGTACTGATATATAACCATCTATTGCACTGCTATGTACACATCTGTTGCACTGCTATGTACATACATGTTACACTGCTGTGTACATACATGTTACACACCTGTGTACATACATGTTACACTACTGTGTACATACATGTTACACTGATGTGTACATACATGTTACACTGATGTGTACATACCTGTTACACTGATATGTACATACATGTTACACTGATATGTACATACATGTTACACTGCTGTGTACATACATGTTACACACCTGTGTACATACATTTTACACTACTGTGTACATACATGTTACACTGCTGTGTACATACATGTTACACAACTGTGTACATACATGTTACACTGCTGTGTACATACATGTTACACTACTGTGTACATACATGTTACACTGCTATGTACATACCTGTTACACTACTGTGTACATACATGTTACACTGCTATGTACATACATGTTACACTGCTGTGTACATACATGTTACACTACTGTGTACATACATGTTACACTGCTATGTACATACATGTTACACTGCTGTGTACATACCTTCTAAACCCCCCCCCCCCTTAAATCCCCTCTATTGGATATGTTGATGAGCTTATTGCGTACATCTGAGGTGCTGTCGTCTCTTTGATCAGGTTAGGGTAAGTTTAACTAATGGTTTTCATTCAAAACAAAACTTGACAGATGACAGATCATACAGCACTGCAGCATACTTGTGTAGGCTACGCATGCTGCAAGCATTTCGTAATCTATTGAGTTTATGTGATCTGCTCAAGTGTAAACTTTTTTTTAGAAGGGGAGGGGGGTGGCGACTTTTTTGCGTGATTGAGTTTATTACATTATTAAATTCCATACAGCAAGAAGCTATGGAAGATTCAATTAATACATTCCTTACAACAAAGTTACGGAAGATTCAATTAATACATTCCTTACAACAAAGTTACGGAAGATTCAATTAATACATTCCTTACAACAAAGTTACGGAAGATTCAATTAATACATTCCTTACAACAAAGTTACGGAAGATTCAATTAATACATTCCTTACAACAAAGTTACGGAAGATTCAATTAATACATTCCTGACAACAAAGTTACGGAAGATTCAATTAATACATTCCTTACAACAAAGTTACGGAAGATTCAATAAATACATTTCTTACATCAAGAAGTTACGGAAAATTCAAATTGTTGAGTAACATTACAACATTTAGGTTATAAATAGTTGATTCTCATTCATAGTCAAAATATGTCTCAAAACTTCTATCTAAATAAATCGCTTATTTACTCGCATCTATACAAACTAAATACGTGTCTAAACTTTTTGTCTAAATGACTTTTTTCTTCCTATCTATACAACCTAAAAATGTATCAGAGGCGTCGCGAGGCGGGGGCGGGGGGTGTGGACTGCACCTAGTGGCTTCATTTAGGGGACACCATGGCGAAAAATTGCAAAATATAAAGAAGAAATTATATGCTTTTTGCCAATTCAATTAATGATTAATTAGAGCTAATCTACATCTAATCTAATTAATAACAGACTATTGATAAACATCTTTAATATTAACTGTGCATACTTTAAAACTATCACCGTGGGAGGGGTGACACCAACTGCAAGTTTTAAAAAGGTTGTGTTGAGTAGTTTACTGATAAGTCAATCAACGACCGGGGAGGTGGTTAGATCCAAATCTAAAAATTTACAATGAAACCAAAGCTTTTTCCACATGAAATAATAGGTGGATTAATAAAATGTGCGCACAAATTGGCGCCATTAGGCAAATTGGGAGGAGTGGTGACACCAAATGCAACTATATATAGGCAACTATATGTAGACCTTTATTTATATATATATATGTATATACAGATGTATATATATATATATATATATATATATATATATATATATATATATATATATATATATATATATATATATATATACACACGTAGGGGGGTAGTGACACCATGAGGTGCCGCACCGTGTGACATCCGACCTGATATGTATCACTAAGTTTCAATAATCCAACCTCTTCACCCCACCCCTTTTTCTTTCCCAATTAAAAAAAAAATCTATAATCCCTATGTGTAGGAATGGCACCATTATTTAATGTTAAATTCCCCTCGTTATCTCCCCTTCCTATGAAGCACACTTTTAGAAAAGTCATCAAAAGACAACCCCCGCCATTTCTGTTACCAAGACGTTTGTAATTGTTTTAATAGTTAATCACACGCGAGCAACTGTCTTTACAACGGAGACCATTACAAAACAAGATCTTTTAAAACCGTCGCAAGAATCAACACAATTACACAGCAACTTTCCATTTATAAAGTTAAACAAGACGCCTAGCCAAAGAAACAAAGCCATTCACAATGAAAACTTCTCCAAGCGTCCCTGGTTTAATGATCTGTTAAAGTATTGAACAATAAAACTGGCGATGTTTTCTTTTTTCTCAATAGGTCACAATGCGTGTATTTCTTGAGGACACAATTGAATTTTATCTGTGGGGTCTACCAGTCCAACGTTAGAACCATCGTCCTATGGCTGACTGTTTTTTGACTGGTGGTGTGTACAGCGCGCGGTTTGTTATGGTTACCGTCTGCCGTATTGGCCTAGATATGGAGTCTCTATGGATAGTCGCAGGGAACAAAACCTAATTTATACCAGGTAACAAGACAGACAAAAAGTTTTTGTTTTTAATTTAACGCAGCATGTTTAATAATTTAGATTAGAATGTATAGGTGGTGTTTTGTGTTGGTTTTGTTGTGGGTTTGTTCTTGAAGTCAAACGACCCGTGTGTCTCGTGGTGGCGGCGGAAGTTTCTAGTTTTTATTTGTGTAGAAACAAGAAGTTGTTACTGCTGGATGTACGAGAAGTAAGTCTTTCATCTTTTCTTTCTTTCTTTTTTTTTCCAAATACTACTTAATTTAATGTGAGTTACATTTGCAGTAAAGCTTTTTTTTTAATTTGTTATTATTTATTAAAAAACGACCTTTGACATGCTAAGTAAATACAGTTATATAAGATAGTGTAAAGTATTTTAGTGTACCTACGGCTGTAGTCCCCCACCCCAACCCCGATTTTAGTGTACCTATCGCTGTAACCCCCCCCCCCCCCTGATTTACTACCATGTAAGTCCATTTAATGACCTAACATTCGGCGGACAAATACAAGAATACTAGCACCCAACAATGGCCTAATACACGAATATCAACACCCAACAATCAGCCTAATACACGAATATCAGCAAAAGCTCATGGTTGATAAAGTCGAAAAAGTCTCGAGTTCAAACCCTCAGGCAGATAAGGCTCGATCCCTTCCAACACTAAAAATTAAGAACAAAGAATACAGAAGAATATCAACACCCAACAATGGCCTAATACACGAATATCAACACCCAACAATGGACTAAACCACGAATATCAACACCCAACAATGGACTAAACCACGAATATCAACACCCAACAATGGACTAAACCACGAATATCAACACCCAACAATGGACTAAACCACGAATATCAACACCCAACAATGGACTAAACCACGAATATCAACACCCAACAATGGACTAAACCACGAATATCAACACCCAACAATGGACTAAACCACGAATATCAACACCCAACAATGGACTAAACCACGAATATCAACACCCAACAATCGGCCTAATACGCGAATATCAACACACAAGGTACAGGACTACGGGTCTGGGATTTAGTTTATTTTTTTTTATATTGGAACGTGTGGAGGAGGGGGGAGGGGGCATTATTCCCCGAGTAGAATAGAAAGGTAGGTGGCGACTACAGTATTGGTGCCGTTAAACGTCCTTGACCTTACTCCTGCCTAGCTGACGGGACTAAAGCTGTTTGTCTGGAAATATCCCTGGCGATCGCAGGTCACTTTTGTGTTGGCACAGGCTGACCAAGTTATTCAAACATCTAACACGTACCCAGTGGAAAAGGTGCGCGGTGGGGTTGGTTGGGGAGGGGGGATTGCATCTAGCCACCTTTTAAAATGTTGAATATATATATATATATATATATATATATATATATATATATATATATATATATATATATATATATATATATATATATATATATATATATATATATATATATATATATATATATATATATATATATATATATATATACATACATACACACACTAGCCGTCCCGGCCAGGCCCTGCACTGGCCACTGGGAAAAACCTATCTGTAAAAGACCATGACATGTGTGTTAATTAATCATCATATACCCGGCATTGCCCACCCTAACCACAACCAACCAAAACCACAACACACAAAAAAACGCAAACATAACACAAACACAAATCCAAACGAAAACACAAAAATAAACGCAAACAAAAAGCAAACAAAAACAAACCAAATCCAAACGCATACACAAACCCAACCACAAACGCAAACCCAACCCAAACCAAACACAAAAAAATCAAACGCAAACATTAACGCAACGTGTTCACAGTCTAGCTCGGGGTGCCAAATCGCACCATGCTGGGGCGCCGGTAGAACCGCCTGTTTAAGCTTAGTAAGCGACTATATAGTACCCTAACTTATTCAGTCTTTTGCACTCACTTAAATCAACGGGAAAGCCCGGGGCGCCAAATAGCACCCTGTCGGGGCGCCAGAGGTCGCCCGGATTTGATTCACTTAAAGACTATAGTAAACTTTCTTGTCCATAGTCTATCGCACTGTTTAAAACGAAATTATGCACCATATCGCTTACAGGATAGCCCAGTGCGCCAAATCAAACCCTGCCGGCGGACGCGCCTGTTTTAATCTAGTGAACAATTGTAATACCCCAATCTTAACCGCAAACAGAAAGAGAAAGAAGTAAACATAGAGGACATTTAGGAGCGGCTTTTTAACTGTAATTGATTAAAAAATAATCAGTAAACAGTGTGTTCAGTGTATAAAATAAATAAAGGCAGTATTTAAAATGCATTGCACTTGATCAACCCCCGCTAATTATGTAATTATCTTTTCCCCTCGATATGTTTTTTTTAAAAAAGGGAAGTAATTGTGTTTCCTAATTTTTCAAGGGACGTAATGAGTGCTAAAGGACTAAATATAAATATTTTTCAGACACAATTAGAGTTTTTGTGAATGGTGATTTTGTTAGATGGACATGCCGGCATTTATCCACATAAGTTTGAAAATTGAAAATGTTTTACAACACCTTCTATGATAACTTTTTGAATCACGGATTTAGACGTTGAGCACTTTAAAAATCTTATTTTTTCTTATATTGCTTTGGAATCAGCGGTTCTCTACATACAGAATTGAACTTTATATATATTATATATATATATATATATATATATATATATATATATATATATATATATATATATATATATATATATATATATATATATATATATATATATATATATCAGACTGTTCTAACTCGAGTTTCAATAATGGTGGGGGTGGGTTGGGGAAGGGGGGATTGCACCTGCCACCTTTTCAAAATGTTGAAAATATATAGACTATATATAATATATTGTTTTCCTTAACATTTCTTTACTACCATTGGGTGAGATAGAACTGTAACATGGGTGAGAGATACGGCTATGAGTTGTTTTCACATGGTGCTTGGTGCATTCAGAGTTGAATGGTTTACTTGACTCCTCACAAGGAGACAATCTAGAAGTGAGACGATTCAACAGCTCGTTAAGTGAAACAAACCAACAGACCAACAAACCAAGAGACCAACAAACTAAGTTATGTAGTAGGATGGTCGTGGTTTAGGACAGGATGAGTAAAGTATCAGAGTGAAGTATCACTTTATGAGTAAAGTATCAGAGTGAAGTATCACTTTATGAGTAAAGTATCTCACTGTATAGAGGAGTTTAAAGCTCGGTGGAGAAGAAATACCGGGGATGTCACATTCTTCACCTACGATAGTCGTCCTCACAAAAAAAATCAATACCTGATTGAATCGATACACCGATCCTCAGAGCTCCAGCCTATCAAGGTGCTTGTGTGGAAGTAAAGAATGTGTTTGTGGTTGGTCTTGCCATGATTGTGTTTGTTGGTTGACGTGTGTAGGGTCCCCGTCTAGCAATCTGCCAGTCTTTTGTTAGAACATATTGTATTCTTTTAGTGGTCCTAAGCGCGGAAATATGATCTAGTTGTTACAGTCGTGTAGCTGAAGTCTAGTCAAGGTCTAGTGTAGAGGACAACATTGTTAAAGTCGTGTAGCTCAAGTCTAGTCAAGGTCTAGTGTATAGGACAACATTGTTATAGTCGTGTAGCTCAAGTCTAGTCAAGGTCTAGTGTAGAGGACAACATTGTTAAAGTCGTGTAGCTGTAGTCTAGTCAATCAAGGTCTAGTGTATAGGACAACATTGTTAAAGTCGTGTAGCTGTAGTCTAGTCAATGTCTAGTGTAGAGGACAACATTGTTAAAGTCGTGTAGCTGTAGTCTAGTCAAGGTCTAGTGTAGAGGACAACATTGTTAAAGTCGTGTAGCTGAAGTCTAGTCAATGTCTAGTGTAGAGGACAACATTGTTAAAGTCGTGTAGCTGAAGTCTAGTCAAGGTCTAGTGTATAGGACAACATTGTTATAGTCGTGTAGCTCAAGTCTAGTCAAGGTCTAGTGTAGAGGACAACATTGTTAAAGTCGTGTAGCTGTAGTCTAGTCAATCAAGGTCTAGTGTATAGGACAACATTGTTAAAGTCGTGTAGCTGTAGTCTAGTCAATGTCTAGTGTAGAGGACAACATTGTTAAAGTCGTGTAGCTGTAGTCTAGTCAATGTCTAGTGTAGAGGACAACATTGTTAAAGTCGTGTAGCTGTAGTCTAGTCAAGGTCTAGTGTAGAGGACAACATTGTTAAAGTCGTGTAGCTGTAGTCTAGTCAATCAAGGTCTAGTGTATAGGACAACATTGTTAAAGTCGTGTAGCTGTAGTCTAGTCAAGGTCTAGTGTAGAGGACAACATTGTTAAAGTCGTGTAGCTCAAGTCTAGTCAAGGTCTAGTGTAGAGGACAACATTGTTAAAGTCGTGTAGCTGTAGTCTAGTCAAGGTCTAGTGTAGAGGACAACATTGTTAAAGTCGTGTAGCTGAAGTCTAGTCAATGTCTAGTGTAGAGGACAACATTGTTAAAGTCGTGTAGCTCAAGTCTAGTCAAGGTCTAGTGTAGAGGACAACATTGTTAAAGTCGTGTAGCTCAAGTCTAGTCAAGGTCTAGTGTAGAGGACAACATTGTTAAAGTCGTGTAGCTGTAGTCTAGTCAATGTCTAGTGTAGAGGACAACATTGTTAAAGTCGTGTAGCTGTAGTCTAGTCAATCAAGGTCTAGTGTATAGGACAACATTGTTAAAGTCGTGTAGCTGTAGTCTAGTCAATGTCTAGTGTAGAGGACAACATTGTTAAAGTCGTGTAGCTGTAGTCTAGTCAAGGTCTAGTGTAGAGGACAACATTGTTAAAGTCGTGTAGCTGAAGTCTAGTCAATGTCTAGTGTAGAGGACAACATTGTTAAAGTCGTGTAGCTGAAGTCTAGTCAATCAAGGTCTAGTGTATAGGACAACATTGTTAAAGTCGTGTAGCTGTAGTCTAGTCAATGTCTAGTGTAGAGGACAACATTGTTAAAGTCGTGTAGCTGTAGTCTAGTCAAGGTCTAGTGTAGAGGACAACATTGTTAAAGTCGTGTAGCTGTAGTCTAGTCAAGGTCTAGTGTAGAGGACAACATTGTTAAAGTCGTGTAGCTGTAGTCTAGTCAAGGTCTAGTGTAGAGGACAACATTGTTAAAGTCGTGTAGCTGTAGTCTAGTCAATGTCTAGTGTAGAGGACAACATTGGTAAAGTCGTGTAGCTGAAGTCTAGTCAATGTCTAGTGTAGAGGACAACATTGTTAAAGTCGTGTAGCTCAAGTCTAGTCAAGGTCTAGTGTAGAGGACAACATTGTTAAAGTCGTGTAGCTGAAGTCTAGTCAATGTCTAGTGTAGAGGACAACATTGTTATAGTCGTGTAGCTCAAGTCTAGTCAATGTCTAGTGTAGAGGACAACATTGTTAAAGTCGTGTAGCTGTAGTCTAGTCAATGTCTAGTGTAGAGGACAACATTGTTAAAGTCGTGTAGCTGTAGTCTAGTCAATGTCTAGTGTAGAGGACAACATTGTTAAAGTCGTGTAGCTGTAGTCTAGTCAATGTCTAGTGTAGAGGACAACATTGGTAAAGTCGTGTAGCTGTAGTCTAGTCAATGTCTAGTGTAGAGGACAACATTGTTAAAGTCGTGTAGCTGTAGTCTAGTCAAGGTCTAGTGTAGAGGACAACATTGTTAAAGTCGTGTAGCTGAAGTCTAGTCAATGTCTAGTGTAGAGGACAACATTGTTAAAGTCGTGTAGCTGAAGTCTAGTCAATCAAGGTCTAGTGTAGAGGACAACATTGTTAAAGTCGTGTAGATGAAGTCTAGTCAATCAAGGTCTAGTGTTTGATGTTTGTGTATTATGGCAAGAGTTCAAGGTTAGTGTCGGGGCAGGGAGAAACTTTGGATTAATCGCCATATTATAGTCATCATCATCTTTTCGTGGTCCTTGAAAATTACCGGTACCCAACCACACCTCTCTATGCTGTTCTGGGCTATTCCACAAATGTGGATCCAAAACATCCGGTAGCTTCACTTTTTCAAGTCTGTTTTGGACTTTTCTTTTTTCCTCGGAGATTCTAATCTAATGTCTGTATGAGTTTAAATTTAACTTGGTAGACTGTTTGACATTTACATCGATGTGATGCATTGGGTTTTAACTTAATTTATGACATTGCTTTAAATGTGACTAACTTAAGTTTAAAATTAGTTTGACGCTTCAAACACCATTTAACCTTTCCTGTGGTGGTGTTGTCTTGTACCTTGTAAAGAAAACATCCCATTAACCTTTAAGCATTGGGAAAAAAACCCGACGAATGCTGGTTACAATCAATGGTGTTTTGACATTTAAATTTTGATTTCAACAATTTTAAAAGGGAATGTAAGTAGAAATGTTAACATAAATATTAAGAGTTAAAATGTTTCGTGTTAAAATGTTTATCTGTTTACATTTAAACTGATACAATCAATAAAATAGTTTTTAAACGAGTTGCTACACATACGTATACATACACAGCATAATATATATATATATATATATATATATATATATATATATATATATATATATATATATATATATATATATATATATATATATATTTATATCCCCAAGTGAATTGACAAATGTGTACCTGTATGTATGGCTCAATCTTGATATGCCGGATTCCCAGCCCCATCTCAATTTACCTTACCCCCACCCCCACATACCTTACCCCCACCCCCACATACCTTACCCCCACCCCCATATACCGGACCCCCAGTCCCAACCTCTCGTGGTCTTCACCCAGGACCAGCTGACGTGCCTGCTACCATTCAACTAATATGTTATTACACAGCGTTCTTTTAGTATGTGCGGTGTTTGCACACCTTGCAAAATTATCTTCCTACACATACAACAGGACCTTCATACCAACTATATAAATATGATCTTGACACACCAGATAAATATGACCTTGACACACCAGATAAATATGACCTTGACACAACAGATAAATATGACCTTGACACGGCAGATAAATATAACCTTGACATACCAGATAAATTTGCCCTTGACACACCAGATAAATATGATCTTGACACACCAGATAAATATGATCTTGACACACCAGATAAATATGACCTTGATACACCAGATAAATATGACCTTGACACACCAGATAACTATGACCTTGACATACCAGATAAATTTGCCCTTGACACACCAGATAAATATGACCTTGACACACCAGATAAATATGGCCTTGACACACCAGATAAATATGACCTTGACACACCAGATAACTATGACCTTGACATACCAGATAAATTTGCCCTTGACACACCAGATAAATATGACCTTGACACACCAGATAAATATGGCCTTGACACACCACGAACTCTGCCAGTGTCAAGCAATACTTCTGTTTATTCCTGCAGTAACTAATTGAAGCCTTCCATCCGGTCAACTTACGGGCAGCCGACGCCCACCACAATGGCCACACAAACAGAGCCACACGGCAAGGCCCGCTACTCGGGCACAGAACAAAACGACAACCTGAACCAGAGTGGGGACCAGAGCGACCCAGGCGAGGCCAAGTATCTGCACGACCTGACCCGGGGTCGAGCCGCCAACTTTTACATTAACGGCGATGTTTTCTTTCCCGCTAAACGGGTGGTCTACAACCCTAAACATTTTAAGGTTAGTCTACAGCCCTAAACATTTTAAGGTTAGTCGAAAGCCCTAAACATTTTAAGGTTAGTCTATAGCACTAAACATTTTAAGGTTAGTCTACAACCCTAAACATTTTAAGGTTAGTCTATAGCACTAAACAATTTAAGGTTAGTCTATAGCCCTAAACATTTTAAGGTTAGTCTATAGCACTAAACAATTTAAGGTTAGTCTAAAGCCCTAAACATTTTAAGGTTAGTCTATAACCCTAAACATTTTAAGGTTAGACTACAACACTAATATATATATATATATATATATATATATATATATATATATATATATATATATATATATATATATATATATATATATATATATATATATATATATATATATATATATATATATATATATATATATATATACATATACATATATATATATATATATATATATTATATATATATATATATATATATATATATATATATATATATATATATATATATATCCATTATTTCTCGGCGGCGGCAGGATATGAGTCATTACTTAGACTACCTAACGGACAGAATCGAACCCAAGTTCGGCGCTGTCCGCAAGATCCACACACCTCGCCACGGTCACCGGGTCAACGACCTACAGGACATCCAGGAGAATGCCGCCTACGTGGTGGCTGGGACAGAGCGCTTCAAGCCCTACTCGTAAGTTGATGAGGATGTTTTGTCTTGGTGCTGGTGTTGCTGTTGGTGCTGTTGTTGCTGTTGGTGCTGTTGTTGTTGTTGCTGTTGGTGCTGTTGGTGCTGTTGTTGTTGTTGCTGTTGGTGCTGTTGTTGTTGGTGCTGGTGTTGCTGTTGGTGCTGTTGTTGTTGGTGCTGGTGTTGCTGTTGGTGATGTTGTTGTTGTTGCTGGTGTTGCTGTTGGTGATGTTGTTGTTGTTGCTGGTGTTGCTGTTGGTGCTGTTGTTGTTGGTGCTGGTGTTGCTGTTGGTGCTGTTGTTGTTGTTGCTGGTGTTGCTGTTGGTGATGTTGTTGTTGGTGCTGGTGTTGCTGTTGGTGCTGTTGTTGTTGTTGCTGGTGTTGCTGTTGGTAATGTTGTTGTTGGTACTGGTGTTGCTGTTGGTGCTGTTGTTGTTGTTGCTGGTGTTGCTGTTGGTGCTGTTGTTGTTGGTGCTGGTGTTGCTGTTGGTGCTGTTGGTGCTGTTGTTGTTGTTACTGGTGTTGCTGTTGGTGCTGTTGTTGCTGTTGGTGCTGTTGTTATTGGTGCTGGTGTTGCTGTTGGTGCTGTTGTTGTTGGTGCTGGTGTTGCTGTTGGTGCTGTTGATGTTGATGCTGGTGTTGCTGTTGGTGCTGTTGTTGCTGTTGTTGTTGTTGCTGGTGTTGCTGTTGGTGCTGTTGTTGCTGTTGCTGGTGTTGCTGTTGGTGATGTTGTTGTTGGTGCTGGTGTTGCTGTTGGTGCTGTTGGTGCTGTTGTTGTTCTTGCTGGTGTTGCTGTTGGTGATGTTGTTGTTGGTACTGGTGTTGCTGTTGGTGCTGTTGTTGTTGTCGCTGGTGTTGCTGTTGGTGCTGTTGATGTTGATGCTGGTGTTGCTGTTGGTGCTGTTGTTGCTGTTGTTGTTGTTGCTGGTGTTGCTGTTGGTGCTGTTGTTGCTGTTGGTGCTGTTGTTATTGGTGCTGGTGTTGCTGTTGGTGCTGTTGTTGTTGGTGGTGCTGTTGTTGCTGTTGGTGCTGTTGGTGCTGTTGTTGTTGTTGCTGGTGTTGCTGTTGGTGCTGTTGGTGCTGTTGTTGTTGTTGCTGCTGTTGCTGTTGGTGCTGTTGTTGTTGGTGCTGGTGTTGCTGTTGGTGCTGTTGTTGTTGGTGCTGTTGTTGTTGGTGCTGGTGTTGGTGTTGGTGCTGTTGGTGCTGTTGTTGCTGTTGGTGCTGGTGTTGGTGTTGGTGCTGTTGGTGTTGGTGCTGGTGTTGCTGTTGGTGCTGTTGGTGCTGTTGGTGTTGGTGCTGTCGGTGTTGGTGCTGTTGGTGCTGGTGTTGCTGTTGTTGCTGTTGGTGCTGGTGTTGCTGTTGTTGTTGTTGGTGCTGGTGTTGGTGTTGGTGCTGTTGGTGCTGTTGTTGCTGTTGGTGCTGGTGTTGGTGTTGGTGCTGTTGGTGTTGGTGCTGGTGTTGCTGTTGGTGCTGTTGGTGCTGTTGGTGTTGGTGCTGTCGGTGTTGGTGCTGTTGGTGCTGGTGTTGCTGTTGTTGCTGTTGGTGCTGGTGTTGCTGTTGTTGCTGTTGGTGCTGTTGGTGCTGTTGTTGTTGATACTGGTGTTGGTCTTGTTCAAAATCCAACATATTTGTCGTGTTCATTGTAGATACTTGCTGTATATAATTGTCGCACACGATTGTCGTACATGATTGTTGTAGATGCTTGTTGTAAATGATTGTTGTACATGATTGTCGTACATGATTGTTGTAGATGCTTGTTGTAAATGATTGTTGTATACAATGGTTGTACATGCTAGTTGTTGCTGACCAAAATACACCTCGTGTCTATGCCCTAGAGAATGTTATTGATCTTAGCCCTATTAAAATATGATTGATTTGTCTATCAAACAATGAGAACAATTGTGTCACACTCAATGGATAGTCTGACGTCATTAAACACACACGCACTCAGGGATTTACATTTTGTCAAATTCACTCAACTGTGAATTAAACAAATCACTCAATTGTGTCCTAAACAATTCACTCATCTCTGCCCTAAACAATTCACTCATCTCTGCCCTAAACAATTCACTCATCTCTGTCCTAAACAATTCACTCATCTCTGTCCTAAACAATTCACTCATCTCTGCCCTAAACAATTCACTCATCTCTGCCCTAAACAATTCACTCATCTCTGCCCTAAACAATTCACTCATCTCTGCCCTAAACAATTCACTCATCTCTGCCCTAAACAATTCACTCATCTCTGCCCTAAACAATTCACTCATCTCTGCCCTAAACAATTCACTCATCTCTGCCCTAAACAATTCCCTCTGTCCTAAACAAAACAATAGCGTCCACCAAGAGAGAGAGGACCTAACTTTAGGACCGGTCATCCAGATAAATGAACAACGCCAGATAAAACTCACATTTTTTCCCATTCACCCAATCAACTGTCAATATAAAAAGATCCGCCTATTTGCCTCTAGGCGTAGTGGGTAAGACAAACAGCAACGGATCAAACGTTTCCCCCTCCCCCCACCACCTCATTAATGTTTCACTTGTCTAGCGACGGTCACAGCGTCCACGCCATGTTTGAATGGTGATTGGACGATAGTCACATGACTCGCACAGTGCTACCTCCTGTCACGTGACTTGTTGGTCATGCATTAGCTTCTACTTGAGGCGGACGGAGCTTGTTCCAAATGTATTAGCTAGATCTATTTGTATTTGGCTTCACTTCAGTATTTGATGACCTTATCAGCCTCAACACATTGTCATTTGGCTTCAGTATTTGATGACCTTATCAGCCTCAACACATTGTCATTTGGCTTCAGTATTTGATGACCTTATCAGCCTCAACACATTGTCATTTGGCTTCAGTATTTGATGACCTTATCAGCCTCAACACATTGTCATTTGGCTTCAAGCGTGTAGCAAAAATCCCAAGTGTCGAACAATAATTACAGAATACAGAGAACAAAACCACACGCTCGTACTCTGGCTACTATAGTAGTAACATAACCAGAGTTTCTTCCAGCAATCTCTTCGTGAGGGCTCAGCCCTCTCCCCCCTCCCCTCCCCCTCCGAAGAAAGTCTATCGCCCCCCCCCCCCCCCCACCAACGAAATGGAATTTATACATACTTTTAACAGTGTCCGCCCCCCCCCCCGAAAATTTGAGTCCGCCCCCCCCTTCGATAATTTCAAGTGCACCCCCGGAAAAAAAGTGTGGAAGAAACACTGAACATAACCCCTATATCCTGACTAACATAGCCCCCCCCCCCTGTATCCTTACACGTCCCTGACAAGTAAAACAAAGCCCCCCCCCCCATAACGTCAACACCTCCCATGTTCAACAACCTCATTTCTCTAAACATTTCTCTAAACATTTCTCTAAACATTTCTCTAAACATTTCTCTTAACATTGCTCTAAACATTTTTCTAAACATTTCTCTAAACATTTCTCTAAACATTTCTCTAAACATTTCTCTTAACATTGCTCTAAACATTTTTCTAAACATTTCTCTAAACATTTCTCTAAACATTTCTCTAAACATTTCTCTTAACATTGCTCTAAACATTTTTCTAAACATTTCTCTAAACATTTCTCTAAACATTTCTCTAAACATTTCTCTAAACATTTCTCTAAACATTTCTCTAAACATTTCTCTAAACAATCTTTTGTTGTTGAACCAACGTCTCAGCGGGTGATGTAAATAGACACCTAAAAAAATTTTTTTTTAAACTTTAAGAAAACAAAACTGGACGATTTAAGAAACCACATGCTTGTAATTCTTACAATTGTACTTGAGTTGTTCAATGTTTTTGTCTGGCTACTGTAATGGGTTACATCTCCCAAAAAACATAAATAATAATCCCAATTTGAATTGAAAACTTGGTCTAATCGAGTACATGTTATAGGCACATAACACTTAGACATGGCTACATGTAGCCACATAACTTAGACATGGCTACATGTAGACACATAACACTTAGACATGGCTACATGTAGCAACAATTAGACATGGCTACATGTAGTCACATAACACTTAGACACGGCTAAATGTAGACACATAACACTTAGACATGGCTAGGCTACATGTAGTCACGTAACTTAGACATGGCTACACGTAGCCACACTTAGACATGGCTACATGTAGCCACAACATACATGGCTACAAGTAGCCACATAACACTTAGACATGGCTAGGCTACATGTAGTCACATAACACTTAGACATGGCTACATGTAGCCACATTTAGACATGGCTACATGTAGACACAACAGACATGGCTACACGTAGCCACACTTAGACATGGCTACATGTAGCCACATAACACCTCAAGTCGTGTAGAACTGACACGTTGATCATATTTAAAAATGATTAAATTTAACGCCTTGACATCAATACGGCGCCATGCTCAGACAACTCAAATATTTTCCTTCTGGCTCGATCAATCGATCTTCTCCCCTGATTAACAGCGTTGTTTCCCTTGATTACTGTTGCTAGGAAAGCTAAACTTTATCCCCCCGATATAATTAAAGGAGGAGTTTAAATTTGTATGAAGAATGGCGGTGTGCTCCTACAGTGAAATCAGTTCAGTCGAAGAAATAAAATGAATCATTTCGTTTCAAGTCACATTTATTTCATAATCATAAGTGTTACCGCGTCCCGTATACCGCAGGTAACCGCGGCCCTATATACGCCTGCCGTATTTAGGGGGTAACGCGGCCCCATATACCGTATTAAGGGATAACACGGCCCCTTATAGGCCTACCGTATTAAGGAGGTAACCGCGGCCCATATACCATATTTAGGGGGTTACCGCGGCCCATACACAGTATTTACGTGCTTGTATTTTATGAAAAGTGGTTTAAAATTGCAGTTGCCAAATAGCTTAATTGTCAACCAAAATCGAATACTCTATCAAAATGTGTGAAATAAACACAAAATGACTTCCTGTTTTAATTAAGGCTAGAAACAATCAAACAAATAATTATTAGTAATAGAACAGTAATGTAGAAGATGTTTTAACTTGGATTAGCAGAGTCGTAGTGTTGTGGTGACAAGGGATGTTATATTATTTGACCTAAAACTACAACTATTAAACTTACGCGAAAGACTATATTAAAGAAACAAATATGTAAAAATACGAATCATATTAGTCTTTAAGATTTCATTTTAGATAGTCATGAAATTTACAAAAAAAGATATGCAAAAACATTTTGACATTAAATCGAACTCAAAATCGGCGGCGAGTGGGGGTATGGGGCTCTTTGTAACAATTGGGAAAATGGAAAGGGGGAAAAGGGAAAATATTTATTTGAAAAAATAACCTTATAATAAGCTTTTTATTATTCCGGAAAAAATCTTATATTCTTTCATTAAAGTGCTTTGGTCGATAAAATTAAAAAGTAAGTTTGTTTCATTCACATATTTTCAGTCAATTTAAAAACGTATTAAATTTTTTTTATATTTCTTTTATTTTCGACTATTTTTTTATAAATTCTAAAGTTATTTTTTTTAAACAATAGTGTGTTCCTCTTTTTTTTTATTTGACTAAATCGCTGCATTTGAAATCCAGTAGCCACAAACCAAACAAATAAACAAAAAATTAAATAAATAAATTATAAATGAAATGGACGACGCGGACTTTAAAAAAAAACAGCAATATAACAAATATAACAACCTATACAACTATAAGCTTTTTACTGCATGAAAATAAGGGAAAAAAACAAATTTGCCAAACGGTCGCCAAAATGTTTATAAGATTTCATGAATTTTTTTTTATTTTCTTATTTTCAATGCATTTAAAAGCTTATTGTTATAAAGGATTTTATATATGATTTATTTCCAACTTTTTAGTCGTTCCTTCAAAATTCAGCCGACACCACATAGGACTAAAAATATTTGATTCAAACCCCGATCTTAGTCTTCGGTCGACTCAGTAAACCAACCAGCCGTAACCAGCAGTTCACCGTAGTCGGCTTGCTGGTTGAGCGATCGCTAGTGCTTCGTGTTTTTATTACATGTTAATGACTAATCTAATGTCTAATTTGATTCAAAATTAGATTTTAATCTGGAAAGTTGAAACGAAATTGCTGCATTTTTAGAGACGGATTAAGATTAATCTGTTAAAATGACGTGTGACATGTATTGTGTTAAAATGACATGTGACGTGTATTAAAATGACATGTGACATGTATTGTGTTAAAATGACGTGTGACATGTGTTGTGTTAAAATGACACGTGACATGTATTGTGTTAAAATGGCATGTGACGTGTATTAAAATGACAGGTGACATGTATTGTGTTAAAATGACATGTGACGTGTATTAAAATGACGTGTGACATGTATTGTGTTAAAATGACGTGTGACATGTGTTGTGTTAAAATGACACGTGACATGTATTGTGTTAAAATGACATGTGACGTGTATTAAAATGACGTGTGACATGTATTGTGTTAAAATGACGTGTGACATGTGTTGTGTTAAAATGACGTGTGATATGTATCGTGTTATAATGACGTGTGTTTAAGTGGCATGTGGCATTATTGGCGGCTTTTCTCCATTCAATAAGAGAGTTGTTCTAGCACATAAAGTCTCACCCCAGTACATAGAGTCTCACCTAGCAGTCTCACCCCAGTACATAGAGTCTCACCTAGCAGTCTCACCCCAGTACATAGAGTCTCACCTAGCAGTCTCACCCCAGTACATAGAGTCTCACCTAGCAGTCTCACCCCAGTACATAGAGTCTCACCTAGCAGTCTCACCCCAGTACATAGAGTCTCACCTAGCAGTCTCACCCCAGTACATAGAGTCTCACCTAGCAGTCTCACCCCAGTACATAGAGTCTCACCTAGCAGTCTCACTCCAGTACATAGAGTCTCACCTAGCAGTCTCACCCCAGTACATAGAGTCTCACCTAGCAGTCTCACTCCAGTACATAGAGTCTCACCTAGCAGTCTCACCCCAGTACATAGAGTCTCACCTAGCAGTCTCACCCCAGTACATAGAGTCTCACCTAGCAGTCTCACCCCAGTACATAGAGTCTCACTTAGCAGTCTCACCCCAGTACATAGAGTCTCACCTAGCAGTCTCACCCCAGTACATAGAGTCTCACCTAGCAGTCTCACCCCAGTACATAGAGTCTCACCTAGCAGTCTCACCCCAGTACATAGAGTCTCACCTAGCAGTCTCACCCCAGTACATAGAGTCTCACCTAGCAGTCTCACTCCAGTACATAGAGTCTCACCTAGCAGTCTCACCCCAGTACATAGAGTCTCACCTAGCAGTCTCACTCCAGTACATAGAGTCTCACCTAGCAGTCTCACCCCAGTACATAGAGTCTCACCTAGCAGTCTCACCCCAGTACATAGAGTCTCACCTAGCAGTCTCACTCCAGTACATAGAGTCTCACCTAGCAGTCTCACCCCAGTACATAGAGTCTCACCTAGCAGTCTCACCCTTCTTAATTTAGTAATTAGCCAACACAATTTGAACGATCCAATTTGGTAGATGTTCGTTGTTCAGCTAAGCAAGGGATGGCGTGGGCCGAATGGTAGAGCGCAAGACTGTTGACCAAAAGTCTCGTGTTCGGACCCCGGGCAGGATTCAGTAGGGCTTCCCTGAGTCCACCCAGCTCTGATGGGTACCTAACTAATATAAGGGAAAGCAAACGCGTCTGGGCATAGTCCTGACCACAAAAACTCTTCAAATGTTGAGAAACACGTGAACCCTACTTGATGTGCCCCATGTACCGACTGTTTTACAAATGTATCTTGAACTTATTGCTAAACCGTCCCATGTACCGACTGTTTTACAAATGTATCTTGAACTTATTGCTAAACCGTCCCATGTACCGACTGTTTTACAAATGTATCTTGAACTTATTGCTAAACCGCTCCATGTACCGACTGTTTTACAAATGTATCTTGAACTTATTGCTAAACCGCTCCATGTACCAACTGTTTTACAAATGTATCTTGAACTTATTGCTAAACCGCTCCATGTACCGACTGTTTTACAAATGTATCTTGAACTTATTGCTAAACCGCTCCATGTACCGACTGTTTTACAAATGTATCTTGAACTTATTGCTAAACCGCTCCATGTACCAACTGTTTTACAAATGTATCTTGAACTTATTGCTAAACCGCTCCATGTACCGACTGTTTTACAAATGTATCTTGAACTTATTGCTAAACCGTCCCATGTACCGACTGTTTTACAAATGTATCTTGAACTTATTGCTAAACCGCCCCATGTACCGACTGTTTTACAAATGTATCTTGAACTTATTGCTAAACCGTCCCATGTACCGACTGTTTTACAAATGTATCTTGAACTTATTGCTAAACCGTCCCATGTACCGACTGTTTTACAAATGTATCTTGAACTTATTGCTAAACCGCCCCATGTACCGACTGTTTTACAAATGTATCTTGAACTTATTGCTAAACCGTCCCATGTACCGACTGTTTTACAAATGTATCTTGAACTTATTGCTAAACCGCACCATGTACCGACTGTTTTACAATTAATGTATCTTGAACTTTGATCAAGCCAGCATTGAAGTCACAGTCTCATGTATAAAACTGGCATTAGAATGTACGGTCATGTACTTTCATCTCCTCATCTCCATGGGACTTGAGTCCAATACACACCCTGTGTCAATCTTTGTTTAACGTCATGAAATATTTAATCAAATATCTAATCAATGATCTACGGACTTTTAATCTATGCTATACTTAACATAATATTCTTATGCCAGTAGAATTCTGACTGAATTATGTTGTTTCAATAGAGAAACGTCAGACTGTTATCTACCTATTGAATATGTGGGTGGTGGAAGGTCAAATAGAAATTGGAATTCCTTTTTTCTTTGTTCACAGATACGATCAAATTACAGCCAGTGATAAAAAGAAGTCTTCCCCCTTTAAATATGACGTAAGTTGAGTTGACATATTCAGTATGTGCATGTTGTTAGAATGGGATCGTTAAAATAACTTCATGTGTTTTCCCATCATGGAAGTGAACATGTAAATAATCCCTGCCGGCATTAGCTCTGTATACAATGTTACCCGTGTATTCAGTGTGGTCAGTCCAGTTGATAAATATGTGACTAGCTTTTATCAACTGCTGAAGAGAAGCGTCTGTGTATTGATGTATGTTAATGATGAACAAAATTTAAAAAGAGATCAAACAAGTCTGGAACTGTGTGGAACAATGGCGGGTCTCTGGGGAACTCGGTAATCAATCTCGTCACACATTGTTTGGGTAGTTCTTGGTGACGGGACAAATTCGTCCCGTGTACATACAAGTGTGTACAGACAGGAGAAATGTGTCTCGTGTACACACAGACAAGTGTGTACAGACAGGAGAAATGTGTCTCGTGTACACACAGACAAGTGTGTACAGACAGGAGAAATGTGTCTCGTGTACACACAGACAAGTGTGTACAGACAGGAGAAATGTGTCTCGTGTACACACAGACAAGTGTGTACAGACAGGAGAAATGTGTCTCGTGTACACACAGACAAGTGTGTACAGACAGGAGAAATGTGTCTCGTGTACACACAGACAAGTGTGTACAGACAGGAGAAATGTGTCTCGTGTACACACAGACAAGTGTGTACAGACAGGAGAAATGTGTCTCGTGTACACACAGACAAGTGTGTACAGACAGGAGAAATGTGTCTCGTGTACACACAGACAAGTGTGTACAGACAGGAGAAATGTGTCTCCACACATACAAGTGTGTACAGACAGGAGAAATGTGTCTCGTGTACAGTGATCTCGCTAGTACAGCTACGTCACAGAGACATTAGAATTTAATTATGTGCTTGTTGTCTGATGTATTATTGTAAACAAGGGTCCGCTAGAAAAAGCTGAGAAAGACAGGACGTGACGGGTGAAAAAAAGACAGCAACCTTACACGTTTGGATAAACAATTAAAAATAGAGTAATCATTTTTTTAAGCAGAAAAAAAATGTATTTTATTCAAATCAGTGCCTTTTTAAAAGGACCAAGCTGAAATTTTTATAGTTATGTTTTATCTTTCCCGCTTGAAAGATTGCCTTTTTATCAAGTGAAACCATATGAAAATAATTTTTTATCAAGTGAAACCATATGAAAATAATTTTTTATCAAGTGAAACCATATGAAAATAATTTTTTATCAAGTGAAACCATATGAAAATAATTTTTTATCAAGTGAAACCATATGAAAATAATTTTTTATCAAGTGAAACCATATGAAAATAATTTTTTATCAAGTGAAACCATATGAAAATAATTTTTTATCAAGTGAAACCATATGAAAATAATTTTTTATCAAGTGAAACCATATGAAAATAATTTTTTATCAAGTGAAACCATATGAAAATAATTTTTTATCAAGTGAAACCATATGAAAATAATTTCAATGAAAGAAAAAAATCAACTGGATGATTACAGTTCAAATATTGATCTGCCGTATGGATCGTGTCGGCGATTGATTCAGGTGTGACTGACGTCTGCTAACTGGTACCTGGCACATAGCAGACTTGAGCGTGTCATGGCGTCCCCCACTGAGCTATTCTTCTCTTTAATCCCAGTCTTCAAGCTCAAGTGCCCTTTTGATAAAGTCGCCATTGAGTTTATTTAAGGCAGGGCCGTACACACCCACCTAAAGCTATTTAAATAAACGTTTCCAATCAAACTGGCATCAAACAAATCCTTCCCTCTCAAACATGGTTTCTGTTGTAGTGTGGGGTACAATGTCGTAGTGTGGGATACACTGTCGTAGTGTGGGGGTACACTATCGTAGTGTGGGGTACACTGTCGTAGTGTGTGGTACACTGTCGTAGTGTGGGGTACACTGTCGTAGTGTGTGGTACACTGTCGTAGTGTGGGGTACACTGTCGTAGTGTGGGGTACACTGTCGTAGTGTGGGGTACACTGTCGTAGTGTGGGGTACACTGTCGTAGTGTGGGGTACACTGTCGTAGTGTGGGGTACACTGTCGTAGTGTGGGGTACATTATCGTAGTGTGTGGTACACTGTCGTAGTGTGGGGTACACTGTCGTAGTATGGGGTACATTATCGTAGTGTGTGCTTCACTGTCGTAGTGTGGGTGTACAGTGTCGTGGTGTACAGTGTCGTGGTGTACAGGTACCTCTGTACATATTTTTTGGTCAAGTTGATAAAACTCATGCTTGATACACTTTTCTTACACATTTCCTTGATCAGGTTGATCCTGTGTATCATAACAGACAATACCTGAACTCCGGGAAAATACACAAAATGGAAACTCAATCAACGTTAATCAAGTAGGTGTTTACAGGTCATGTGGTCAGTCCTGTAGCAAATGTTTCTGTGTCAGCTACATTAGCATCAACCCCCCCCCCCCCACGTGGACATTTACTATAACCTAACCTTAACCCCCTCCCCCATGTGACACTAACTGTAACCTAACCTTAACCCCCCCTCCCCCCCCCCCCACGTGACACTAACTGTAACCTAACCTGAACCTATCCTCCTGACCAGAGTGTGGCCTAACGGCAGCGACTTGCGAGGACCCCGTCGAGTTCTGCTGACCCCACGAGTCCGACCTTTCACCTTGGAAAATGTCATGCTACAGGTCAATGAGATGCTCAAAGAAGATTGTTCTGGAACTGTGGAGAAGTAAGTTTGTGCCAGACTGTTGAAGATGTATCATGGATGTGGTGTATGGTGTCCAATGTTCCAGGTTGTATCATGTCAAATGTTCCAGGTTGTATCATGTCAAATGTTCCAGGTTGTATCAAATGTTCTAGGTTGTATCAAATGTTCCAGGTTGTATCATGTCAAATGTTTCAGGTTGTATCATGTCAAATGTTCCAGGTTGTATCATGTCCAATGTTCCAGGTTGTATCATGTCAAATGTTCCAGGTTGTATCATGTCAAATGTTCCAGGTTGTATCAAATGTTCTAGGTTGTATCAAATGTTCCAGGTTGTATCAAATGTTCCAGGTTGTATCATGTCCAATGTTCCAGGTTGTATCATGTCAAATGTTCCAGGTTGTATTATGTCAAATGTTCCAGGTTGTATCATGTCAAATGTTCCAGGTTGTATCATGTCAAATGTTCCAGGTTGTATCATGTCAAATGTTCCAGGTTGTATCATGTCAAATGTTCCAGGTTGTATCCAATGTTCTAGGTTGTATCAAATGTTCCAGGTTGTATCATGTCAAATGTTCTAGGTTGTATCATGTCAAATGTTCTAGGTTGTATCATGTCAAATGTTCTAGGTTGTATCATGTCAAATGTTCTAGGTTGTATCATTTCAAATGTTCTAGGTTGTAGCATGTCAAATGTTCTAGGTTGTATCATGTCAAATGTTCTAGGTTGTATCATGTCAAATGTTCTAGGTTGTATCATGTCAAATGTTCTAGGTTGTATCATGTCAAATGTTCTAGGTTGTATCATGTCAAATGTTCTAGGTTGTATCATGTCAAATGTTCTAGGTTGTATCATGTCAAATGTTCTAGGTTGTATCATGTCCAATGTTCTAGGTTGTATCATGTCCAATGTTCCTGGTTGTATCATGTCAAATGTTCCAGGTTGTATCATGTCCAATGTTCCAGGTTGTATCATGTCCAATGTTCCAGGTTGTATCATGTCAAATGTTCCAGGTTGTATCAAATGTTCCAGGTTGTAGCATGTCAAATGTTCCAGGTTGTATCAAATGTTCCAGGTTGTATCATGTCAAATGTTCCAGGTTGTATCATGTCAAATGTTCCAGGTTGTATCATGTCAAATGTTCCAGGTTTTATCATGTCCAATGTTCCATGTTGTATCATGTCAAATGTTCCAGATTGTATCAAATGTTCCAGGTTGTATCATGTCAAATGTTTCAGGTTGTATCATGTCAAATGTACCAGGTTGTATCATGTCAAATGTTCCAGGTTGTATCATGTCCAATGTTCCAGGTTGTATCATGTCAAATGTTCCAGGTTGTATCATGTCAAATGTTCCAGGTTGTATCGTGTCCAATGTTCCAGGTTGTATCCAATGTTCTAGGTTGTATCAAATGTTCCAGGTTGTATCATGTCAAATGTTCTAGGTTGTATCATGTCAAATGTTCCAGGTTGTATCATGTCAAATGTTCTAGGTTGTATCATGTCAAATGTTCTAGGTTGTATCATGTCAAATGTTCTAGGTTGTATCATGTCAAATGTTCTAGGTTGTATCATGTCAAATGTTCCAGGTTGTATCATGTCCAATGTTCCAGGTTGTATCATGTCAAATGTTCCAGGTTGTATCATGTCCAATGTTCCAGGTTGTATCATGTCAAATGTTCCAGGTTGTATCAAATGTTCCAGGTTGTATCATGTCAAATGTTCCAGATTGTATCAAATGTTCCAGGTTGTATCATGTCAAATGTTCCAGGTTGTATCATGTCAAATGTTTCAGGTTGTATCATGTCCAATGTTCCAGGTTGTATCATGTCAAATGTTCCAGGTTGTATCATGTCAAATGTTCCAGGTTGTATCAAATGTTCTAGGTTGTATCAAATGTTCCAGGTTGTATCAAATGTTCCAGGTTGTATCATGTCCAACGTTCCAGGTTGTATCATGTCAAATGTTCCAGGTTGTATCATGTCAAATGTTCCAGGTTGTATCATGTCAAATGTTCCAGGTTGTATCATGTCAAATGTTCCAGGTTGTATCATGTCAAATGTTCCAGGTTGTATCATGTCAAATGTTCCAGGTTGTATCATGTCAAATGTTCCAGGTTGTATCATGTCAAATGTACCAGGTTGTATCATGTCAAATTTTCCAGGTTGTATCAAATGTTCTAGGTTGTATCAAATGTTCTAGGTTGTATCAAATGTTCCAGGTTGTATCTTGTCAAATGTTCCAGGTTGTATCATGTCAAATGTGCCAGGTTGTATCAAATGTTCTAGGTTGTATCAAATGTTCCAGGTTGTATCTTGTCAAATGTTCCAGGTTGTATCATGTCAAATGTGCCAGGCTGTATCATGTGATATGTTCCAGATTGTATCAAATGTTCCAGGTTGTATCATGTCAAATGTTCCAGGTTGTATCATGTCAAATGTCCAGGTTGTATCATGTCAAATGTTCCAGGTTGTATCATGTCAAATGTACCAGGTTGTATCAGTGTTCCAGGTTGTATCTTGTCAAATGTTCCAGGTTGTATCATGTCAAATGTGCCCGGTTGTATCAAATGTTCCAGGTTGTATCATGTCAAATGTAACAGATTGCATCATTTCCAATGTACCAGATTGTATCATGTCAAATGTTCCAGGTTGCATCATGTCAAATGTTCCAGGTTGTATCATGTCAAATGTTCTAGGTTGTATCATATCAAATGTTCCAGGTTGTATCAAATGTTCCAGGTTGTATCAAATGTTCTAGGTTGTATCATGTCAAATAGTCTAGGTTGTATCATATCAAATGTTCCAGGTTGTATCAAATGTTCCAGGTTGTATCATGTCAAATGTTCCAGGTTGTATCAAATGTTCCAGGTTGTATCAAATGTTCCAGGTTGTATCATGTCAAATGTTCCAAGTTCTATCATATTAATATTTGTTCAATGTTGCAGGCTGTTCATGTTAAATGGTATCAAAGTCTCTGATGTTTATATTTGTTGCAGGCTGTACATGTTAAATGGTATCAAAGTCTCTGATGTTTATATTTGTTGCAGGCTGTACATGTTAAATGGTATCAAAGTCTCTGATGTTTATATTTGTTGCAGGCTGTACATGTTAAATGGTATCAAAGTCTCTGATGTTTATATTTGTTGCAGGCTGTACATGTTAAATGGTATCAAAGTCTCTGATGTTTATATTTGTTGCAGGCTGTACATGTTAAATGGTATCAAAGTCTCTGATGTTTATATTTGTTGCAGGTTGTACATGTTAAATGGTATCAAAGTCTCTGATGTTTATATTTGTTGCAGGCTGTACATGTTAAATGGTATCAAAGTCTCTGATGTTTATATTTGTTGCAGGCTGTACATGTTAAATGGTATCAAAGTCTCTGATGTTTATATTTGTTGCAGGCTGTACATGTTAAATGGTATCAAAGTCTCTGATGTTTATATTTGTTGCAGGCTGTACATGTTAAATGGTATCAAAGTCTCTGATGTTTATATTTTTTGCAGGCTGTACATGTTAAATGGTATCAAAGTCTCTGATATTGACCAGATAGTACCCAATGGTCAGTACGTGGCTTGTAGGAAAACAGAGAGATTTAAAAGGGCCAGATACAACGAACAGGGGACAAAAAATTTGGCCACTTCACCAAGACTGGAGCGCAAATAGTAGGACAAGTTGCTTTTATCATTTCCAGTTTTTAAATTTAAAATCAACATTAAACTTATTGGCAGAGAAAATTAATTAATTAGTTTTTAAGTTAAGCTGTTCATTAGAGATTTTTAAAAATGTCTATAAAGGGAAAAATCTCCATTGATATGTCTTAGTCTAAGACGTATTTTTCTGACCCAGTCTTGACATGTCTGTACTTGACCCAAATGTTGACATGTCTGTACTTGACCCAAATGTTGACATGTCTTTACTTGACCCAAATGTTGACATGTCTTTACTTGACCCAAATGTTGACATGTCTTTACTTGACCCAAATGTTGACATGTCTGCACTTGACCCAAATGTTGACATGTCTGTACTTGACCCAAATGTTGACATGTCTGTACTTGACCCAAATGTTGACATGTCTGTACTTGACCCAAATGTTGACATGTCTGTACTTGACCCAAATGTTGACATGTCTTTACTTGACCCAAATGTTGACATGTCTTTACTTGACCCAAATGTTGACATGTCTTTACTTGACCCAAATGTTGACATGTCTGTACTTGACCCAAATGTTGACATGTCTGTACTTGACCCAAATGTTGACATGTCTGTACTTGACCCAAATGTTGACATGTCTGTACTTGACCCAAATGTTGACATGTCTGTACTTGACCCAAATGTTGACATGTCTGTACTTGACCCAAATGTTGACATGTCTGTACTTGACCCAAATGTTGACATGTCTGTACTTGACCCAAATGTTGACATGTCTGTACTTGACCCAAATGTTGACATGTCTGTACTTGACCCAAATGTTGACATGTCTGTACTTGACCCAAATGTTGACATGTCTGTACTTGACCCAAATGTTGACATGTCTGTACTTGACCCAAATGTTGACATGTCTGTACTTGACCCAAATGTTGACATGTCTGTACTTGACCCAAATGTTGACATGTCTTTACTTGACCCAAATGTTGACATGTCTTTACTTGACCCAAATGTTGACATGTCTGTACTTGACCCAAATGTTGACATGTCTGTACTTGACCCAAATGTTGACATGTCTTTACTTGACCCAAATGTTGACATGTCTGTACTTGACCCAAATGTTGACATGTCTGTACCACCTCCCCAGCCTGGCCCCCATCTACCCACACTCCAACAACAGCACCATTCACTCCACACCAGAAAGTTCAAAGCCTACGTCACAAAACTCTTTAAATTCAAACCCACAGAGGTAAGTTTTATTTTTTGCTACTTTTGTTTTGCGCATTTTTCTTGGGTTTCCTGGGTTTTTGTCATTAATTACAATAATATAGTAATAAAGGATGTGATTTTATACATACATACATATATATATATATATATATATATATATATATATATATATATATATATATATATATATATATATCTATATGTATATATATATATATATATATATATATATATATATATATATGTATATACATATGTAAGTTTATTGGATTTTTTAAAATTTATGTATGAATGTATTATTGCAAGGATTTTAAGTGTTGCTTGTTTTGTAATTTCTATCACATTTTCGTATTTTAAAATTTGCTCTTTATTTGAAATATATTTGAATGAACCCAGGAGGAGGCCAACACAGAAGGAAGAAGATAAAGTTTTTCCTGCAAAGCCAGTTAAATATACCAGAAGTAATGAGAGAGGGAACAATGTTGATTATGACAAACAAGGTAATTATAACATTACACTTACATGGGAACAATGTTGATTATGACAAACAAGGTAATTATAACATCACACTTATTTTGGTACAATGTTGATTATGACAAACAAGGTAATTATAACATCACACTTAATCCATATAGCTGGGGTACCAGTCAGTGATACATGACATAATTCAATTTTAAGTGCAGTGTTTTTTGTGAAGCCACCTTTTTGCAAATTTTGACTCGTACTAAAATCTTGTGACCCAGTGTTTTTAAATTAATTAAACATGAATTTAGCTAATCTTGACAATAAATTTGAAATTGGCCAATGAAAGATGTTCACTATTTTCAGAAGGAGGCATTAAACTATTTCAAAATTATACCCATTGTTTATTTTTATATAATGGCTGTATAGTTTTATATCATAGCAGTTTAGTTTTTATATCAAGGCTGTATAGTTTTATATCATGGCGGTTAAGTTTTTATATAATGGCTGTATAGTTTTATATCATGGCTGTATAGTTTTATATCATGGCTGTATAGTTTTTATTATTTAAATATAAACTTTAATAGCCACTGAAAATCATCTTTTTTACTGCTATAGACTTGTCGTAAACTTCAAGAAAATACGTGCTGCTAACAAATGGTTTGTATGTGACTACCAGCAGGGCAGCGAGGCTGATTGAGTTTCTTTAGCACGTTGTATTGATGTTTAAGTTGGGCTAAAAAAATATGGTCAGGATTCAGCCATGTCTGAGTTAAAGTAGCAATGCCTGTTGAATCAAATAAATTATGATGATTGAACCTGGTAGACAAATTCAAAATCAAAGTAATAAGATTGTAACAATATTGTTACAATTTAACAACATTTTAAAAACATTGTAACAAAAGTGTAAACCTGATGGAACAACAATAATGTAAAAATACTGTAACAATAACAATGTAAAAATACTGTAACAATAACAATGTAAAAAATACTGTAACAATAACAATGTAAAAATACTGTAACAATAAGAATGTAATAACTTTGTTACAGATGATGATGGAGTGTTCAAGGCCAAACAAGCACACAGAGAAACAAAAGGAGCAAAAGAGGTGCCTGACACCCGGCATACAAAAACTGACTTGCCAGTTGATTTTCTAGAGGCTGAAGAAGTTGAGGTAAACAAGATCATTGTACCTAGAACATCATTCATTTGTAGTTCCACTGCTTAAAGAAGGGCGTTGGGTTATAAACCACATTATTTGATTACAGTGGGACCTTGGGCTACCTTGGGTTATAAAACCACATTTGATCACAGTGGGACCTTGGGTTATAAAACATCATTTGATCATAGTGGGACCTTGGGTTATAAAACCACATTTGATCACAGTGGGACCTTGGGCTACCTTGGGTTATAAAACCACATTTGATCACAGTGGGACCTTGGGTTATAAAACATCATTTGATCATAGTGGGACCTTGGGTTATAAAACCACATTTGATCACAGTGGGACCTTGGGTTATAAAACCACATTTGATCATAGTGGGACCTTGGGTTATAAAACATCATTTGATCATAGTGGGACCTTGGGTTATAAAACCACATTTGATCATAGTGGGACCTTGGGTTAAAAAACCACATTTGATCATAGTGGGACCTTGGGTTATAAAACATTTGATCATAGTGGGACCTTGGGTTATAAAACCACATTTGATCATAGTGGGACCTTGGGTTATAAAACCACATTTGATCATAGTGGGACCTTGGGTTATAAAACCACATTTGATCATAGTGGGACCTTGGTTTATAAAACCACATTTTATCATAGTGGGACCTTGGGTTATAAAACCACATTTGATCACAGTGGGATCTTGGGTTATAAAACCACATTTGATCACAGTGGGACCTTGGGTTATAAACCACATTTGATCATAGTGGGACCTTGGGTTATAAAACCACATTTGATCATAGTGGGACCTTGGGTTATAAAACCACATTTATTCCTGATGATAACCTGGCTTGCACATTAGACAAACATTTACCAAACTATTAAAACATTTAAAAACTTAAAATTCCAGAGAGAACATTTGAGTTTTAAATAGTTTGTGTAGAATGTAAGTAAATATTTGTAATGTATCACAAAATACTTTTTATCTTTCTCTAATACAGGATGAAACAATTGAAGATAAAAAACCCAAAAAAGTAGGTGAACAAAATACTGATGAGCCTTATTGATACTGACACAGAAAAAAATAATTTTAGTTTAAAAGGACACAAAATTTCCATCTGAAGAGGTTTTTTTTTAAATTAAAATGTATAAAAAATGTCTGTTATGATTGAAAGCTCAACAATTTGCAGACAATTTTGTATCTAAACTTTGAATTTTTGTTGTCTTATAAAAGTGTGTTGGAAATAACAGTTGAAACACTTGTAATTAGCATGGCATATAATACATCATGTATTATATTTAGATTTATAATTTAGTACATTTAAATACCTATCACATCATGTTGGGATTTTCTGAAGGTTTAGAGTCAATGATTGGCAATTTTACTGTTTTTATTTAGAAATGAGATCCTGAATCTGAGAAAAGTTTTATATCATCTCTTATTGCAAATTCTATTAAATGTGAGAGTTTTATATCACTTAAAAAGGGTGGATATTGCCAGTGGGATTCTGGGAAAAATTCCAGTGGCTTGGCTGAAAAAATGCACCAAGAAAATTGAAGTCTAGAAGGGGTTGTGATTTTCCAGGCCACTTAAATATAGCCAGTCTATCCCTGCAAATAACCAACTAATTATTTATCACATCTTCTTTTAAACTGTTAACATATTTTTTTTCAACTCTAAAAAAGGATCCCCAAAAGAAAAAAGGAAATCCTGATGAAAATAGCAAAAGGTCACCACCACCAGTTAATCACCAGAAAAAACAAGAGGAGTTCAAGGTCATTTTTGCTGCATTCTAAATTTTATTTCGATGTATCATTATATTCCCTGGGGCAATTTTTCTTTTACCCCTCAGTCCTTTGCTTTTTAGAATCAAACTACATTTATATAAATATTTCTGCATGATTTAATATTGGGCTTTATTTCTATGGGTTTGGAGTTAATTTTCCCATTACTAATAAAATGTACTTTCTTGAAATTCTTGAAATAATAATTTTTCTATAGCTGATATTGTATTTTATAATCTTTCAGGAATTTTCTCACAATTTTTAGGATTTAAGTGCTTTTGGTTCCACCAGGCAGTTGGAAATAGAAAAAAATAATTATATTTACATATTCACTTGCTTTTTAAAGCCATTTTATCCCCAAGTTAAATACATTTACAACAATATTGAGATTGACTTAAATGACTTCAACTATCTGTTATTGTGGGTTTTAAACTTCTACATAATGTTTCATAGTGACTTCTGCTATCCTTGTGATTAGATTCATGTGTGAATTTACTTCAATTTAAATGGCTCACTTGTTTATTAATTACCATTTGTTAATGATCTGTCATTGATCAAATAGTTAAATATTTTTATATGAAAATTTTTAAATGAATATTTCTTATACAGTCTCCCTCAAAAGCTCAGACTTCAGAAAGTCAAAAACATGGAAAACCATCAGAGTCTAAGCCAGCAAAGAAAATCAAATCAACTCTTTTGACTGAGTTTGATGAGGAGGACGAAGCTGCTGCTAAAATACAAGCTGGATTCCGAGGTTACCAAACAAGAAAAGAGCTTGGATTGTTACAAACAAAAACTCCAAAGGCAAAAGAAAATAAAGAAGAAAAGGCTAAAAAAAATGAAGTTCCTGAAAAAGTAAAGGATAAAAAAGAAGATCCTAAAAATGCTAAAGCTCAAGAAAAGACAAAGGATAAAAAAGAAGAGCCAAAGAATTCAAAAGCTCCTGAAAGGGAAAAAAAGAAAAAAGAAGAGCCAAATAATTCTAAAGAACACGCAGCAGCAGCAAAAATTCAAGCTGGGTTTCGGGGGTATCAAACTAGAAAAGAGTTAGCTTCTCAGAAAAATAAAGGCAAAGATAGTACTCCCAAGACAAAAGAAAAAAAAGAGGAAAAATCTAAAAAAAATGAAAACCCAGAGAAGGTTAAAAACAAAAAAGAAGAGCCGAATAATTCTAAAGAACATGAAGCTGCAGCAAAGATTCAAGCAGGGTTTCGAGGGTATCAAACTAGAAAACTTCTAGCTGAAGGAAAGAAAAAGGCAGCTAAAGTTGAAAGTCAGGAAAAGCCAGGGAAAGTAGCTAAAGTTGAGAGTCAGGACAAGCCTGTCAAAGACAAGAAAGGGGCTTCAAAAAAAGATCCTGAGCAAGAAAGATGGGAAGAAGAAGAATGGGCTGCAACAAAAATTCAGTCTGCATACAGAGGATATGCCACAAGAAAAGAGCTTGGAAATAAAAAACCTAAAGATCATCAAAAATCCGTAAGTTCCAAATAAACAATATGTGTAAGTTTCTTTCTTTATGTTCACATAGGTGCACTCATGATGCAGATGAATGGTTCGTGTAAACATTTTTCACTCAAACATTTTGCCTTTCAAAAGCTGAAAAATAACTTTCAGCTTCGAATATAGGGCTATGCATGATTTTTTTTATTAGCTACCTTAGTTAAACATTTATCGATGCTGAAAAAATAATATCAATAGTTAATAATCATATCTCATGAAATAAATTTACATTATTTAAAGATTTATCACCAGAAAACAAACTTAAAATGCCAGTATAAAACTATTAATTGGTGTCTAAATATATAGTTAGAAAAGTCTACTAGAATTTTCATTTTTTAATTATATTTTTTGTTGTTATAAAGTGGACTGTTGTTTTACAGTATATAGATACACCTAAACACATAGATTGCTAAAAGTATTCCACACATAAACATCTGACAAAGCAAGTCTATAGTGAAATAGCTTTAAAATATTTTCAATAAAAGATATTTCAAAATAAGTTAATTCAAAATTTGAAGTTTTACTTTAACCAGTGAATGAATACAGATGAACTAGGGAAGTTAGTTCAAGAAATCTAATGCATAAAATCTTGTGTGGGTTTTCTATTTTTGTTACCAGAGTAGTAGAGATGAGGATGAACAAGCAGCCCTTAAAATTCAAGCTGCATTTCGAGGGCATCAGCAAAGAAAGTCTTACAATAATACTGTAGGGTTTCAAAAACAAAATAATAAAAAGTTAGGTAAAAATGAAGCAGCTGCTAAAATCCAGGCTAGCTATAGAAGCCACCTGTATCATAGAGAGATGGGCAATAGAACAGAGAAAATTGAACATAAAGCTGCGAGTAAAATCCAGGCAGCTTATCGTGGCCATCAGGCACGTAAAGACATAAACAAAGAGAACATTGACAAAAACCACAAGCTAGCGGCAAGCAGAATTCAAGCAGCTTACAGGGGTCATCGGTATCGCAAAGAAATAGATAATACAAATGATGAGCACTACCACAGAGACCATATAGTTGCTGCAACTAAAATTCAGTCAAGTTATAGAGGTCATCAAACACGTAAAGAAATGACAGCAAAGCATAATCAAGATGAGATTAAAGCTGCCACCAAAATTCAGGCTAGCTATAAGGGTTATCAGACACGAAAAAATTTGAATGCTAAAGATTCAGATGAACATGCAAAGGCAGCTGCTAAAATTCAGGCTAGCTATAAGGGTTATCAGACACGAAAAAATTTGAATGCTAAAGATTCAGATGAACGTGCAAAGGCAGCTGCTAAAATTCAGGCTAGCTATAAGGGTTATCAGACACGAAAAAATTTGAATGCTAAAGATTCAGATGAACGTGCAAAGGCAGCTGCTAAAATTCAGGCTAGCTATAAGGGTTATCAGACACGAAAAAATTTGAATGCTAAAGATTCAGATGAACGTGCAAAGGCAGCTGCTAAAATTCAGGCTAGCTATAAGGGTTATCAGACACGAAAATATATAAATGAGAATAAAGATGCTGCTAAAACAATTCAGGCTGCATACAGAGGACACCAGTACCGCAGAGATATCAACAATAAAGTTTCTAGTTAAGATTTTACCCACTTCCTGTGCGCAGGTGAGCAATGACTAACAAAAGATCATTTTCAAACTGCTTGTAAGATCAAGACTCTGCGCTGTTGCTTTTTCTTCAAGTTATTTCCAGGCTAGATAGCCATTCTTAAGTAAGAGTTTACAAACAAAAAGAAAGATATTTCAGTTGTTAAATCCACACATCAGAAAAGATGAAGATCTAAAAATAAGCTTATAAAAAATTATTGTTAAATGAAATTTTTAAAAATAAGAAATAGCTAAAAAGCTATGCTATAACTGCTATGAGTATGATTGTTTAACAAGAAACAAGAAAATTTAATTACAGCTCAGAAGCTTTACATTCATTTAGCACCCCTTTAATAGCCTTTCTCTAATTAATGCTTCCCTAACTTCATAGACTATTTTTTTTTTACAAAGGTGCTAGTTGTAGTAATATAATCTATTTACATACATTATATCTTCTAATTTTAGCTAGATATTTTAATTAATAAAAATCATTATTTTAGAGCTTTTAGACATTCTTTACATTCCATTTTTTTTTATATGAGCCTACATTTTATTACCTTTTTGTTATATTAATAAACCGGGAGTGATCTCCCCTAAACTTTCTCGAATATTCTTATATAAAATAACAGGGGATGGGAACTCGGTCTATAGACATGATTTTTAATCCATTTTAAATACTTAAAGTTTTAAAAATAGAATAAAATCTCGTAGACAAATTAATTGCACACCAAGTGAACGCGAAATAAAAAAGCACATAATAGTGCGCAATATTATTATTACTTTTAAAATTTACATTAGTTTTTTGAGAAATCGGAAGTAGCGTAAAGTACTACTTCCAGTCAACGGAAATGACTCAAAATTTAATAGAAGGTAGAGAATTAGATCTTTTACTTACGTATGAAATTTCATTTATCTATCTGAAATAGTACTCAAGTTATAGGCTTTTGAAAAATTCAAAGTAGGAAAAGTACCACTTCCGGTTATTGGAAATCGCTCAAAAGTTGATACGGATCTACGATTTTGATTAAATACTTATATATGAAATTTCATCAACCTAGCTGTAACGGTACTCAAGTTATCGTGTTTACACACGGACACACACACACACACACACACACAGACACACAGACATACGGACAAGATTGCAAAATTATGTTTTTCCGTATCAGTGAGATGCAAAACGTCGAGATTTGCAAAAATCTCGATTTTTTTTTTTTGCACGATTACAAGACTTTCTCTATACTTCGTATATACGAGAAAGTAAAAATAACAAGCACACAAGCATTTAACTTTAGAGACATTATAATTTCTTAACATTTTAAAATTATTTTTCTATTGTTTATAAGTGTGTATATGTGTATATATAAATAAGTATATACACACATATATATATATATATATATATATATATATATATATATATATATATATATATATATATATATATATATATATTGTTACGACTACTTGGGGTTTGTCCTGGGCTGACCCGTATGTTGGGGTAGCGACCCCACGCTCATCCATCAACCTGGCGGTGGTCAGAGGCTGACCAGTGCTGGCCGTGGGAATCTTTGGGTCGTTTCGGCCACCACGCGGATTGGGTTTTTACTCTGTGGGCGGCGCATACCTGGTGTCTTGGGGACTCGGCTGGTAACGACCAACAGGCCGTGATTTATGGCTGGGAAAGCTTTTCTGGACGGACGGACCCGTGGGTACGGTCATGTCCTGACTTGACCTGACCTGGGGGTCAGGCTCGATTAACTAGGTTCCCACACTAGTCAGGGACGACTGGAGAATATTAGGAGGGCGATTGGTGAGACCAGTCAGTCAGGGCATAGCAGCACACCAGTTAGGACGTGTAGTTGTATATAGTTTAGATAAGGCTAGGTGGTAGGATTTTCGTGTTGTATTTTGGTGGCGGTTACTTTTACATGTTGTATCTTTGTTGTAAGAATTAAACTTGAGCAAGTATTAAAGGTGTTCATTAGTTTTAACGTGTGTTCTTGTCTACCTCCCCTCCTAGATCGAAAGGTCTGGGTAGTTCGGGTCGTAACAATTGGTGGCTAGCGTCTGGGATTGGACAGACAACGAGTTGAATAGTTTCTTTTCGATGCCATTTTCAGTTGGGGGCTCACGAGCTTGTGTTTTAGTTTTAAGTTTTAGAAGTAGTGACAATAAAGTTGTTCACGGAATCAGGAGAGTTTTCCAAACATTGAGTAAGTAGCGAGCTTATCACCTTTGTATTGACACTGAGTTTATTTTTCTTGATTTTTATGTTGGTCCAGTAGAGCTGGAATCTTTATTTTTATTCAGTATAGCTGGAGGGATTAATGCCCAGTATACTTGAATGTTTTTTGTGTGGTCCAGTTGAACTGGAGTGTACGGGTTTGTTCAGTACAGCTGGAGGGTCATTCCCAGGTACGTGAATAAATTCGTAATTTTTGTTTGGTTTGCTCAGTATAGCTGGAGGGTCAATTCCCAGTATACGTGAGTAAATCGTTTGTAATCCAGTGTAGCTGGATATCTTAGTTTGGTTGGCCCAGTATAGCTGGTGTCTACCTATTTGAAGTGTCAAAGGTGATAGCCCTACTTTTAGTGTTTTAATTGTACTTGTAGCTGTGAGAGTAAGCCATTTAGTTTTGTTTTTTTAGCTAACCGCCACCGTTTAACCTTAACAATGGATATAATGAATTTTTTAGAGCGTCCAACATTGGAGGTGTTAGATAATTGTAAACGCGTAGAATTAGTGGCCATCGTGCGCAAGTTAAATATGTCTTTTAAAGCTTCATCTAAAAATCGGGCAGTGCGTGACGAGATTGTGGTAGAGCTAGTGAACCTTGGGTTGTTAGAAGAGGAGTGTCTGGACACCATTGAACAGAGTGATCCTACCTCTGAAGCTGTTAAATTAAAGAAACTTGAGATAGAGAGTAAAGAGAAAATGGAGAGGGAAAAGAGAGCTTCCGAAAAGGAAATTAGGCTTAGGGAATTAGAGCTGCAATCTTTCGCCTCTACATCTCCTCCTATAAAACTCACTTCCTTACAGTCTAGTGTTCCGAAGTTTAGTGAAGAGGATTTAGTTAGGTTTTTCAAATCATTCGAGTTCGCAGGTAGGAGTTATGATTGGCCCTTAGACAAATATACTACACTACTTAGTCCTGTGTTAACTGGAAAAGCTGCGGATGTTTTTACATCCCTTAGCCCTGACATTCAGTCCAACTACCAGCTTGTTAAAGAAGCTATACTGAGAGCTTACGAACTGACACCAGAAGCTTACAGAAGCCAGTTTAGGAGCCTAAAGAAAGCTCCAGGGGAAACTCACGTTGAGTTCCTCTACAACAAAGAAAAGCTTCTATACAGGTGGTTGACTGCTGAAAATGTAACTACCCTTGAAGACGTTTGCTCCTTATTCCTACTCGAAGAGTTCAAAAACTGCCTTCCAGGTAGAATACGAGTTCAGCTGCAAGACAACGGGGTCAAGTCGACTCGTCAGGCGGCCGAGATGGCTGATAACTACACGCTGAACCACAGGGATTACTATGAGACACCAATACAGAAAGGTTCTCATAGACCAGCCCTGGGTAGAGCAGGCAACTTCCCAGGCCAATCTTCAGTGCAGCAGCCAGTCAAATCTGAATCACATGAAGTTGATGTTATCTGCTACTACTGCCAAGCAAAAGGGCATTTGGCTAGACAATGCAGTAAACGCATGAAGGATAATAGGGTGTACCCAACATCTTGTCTCCAACAATCGAGGGATCACCTGGATCGGGATCTAGATACCACCCGAGGTTATGGCTGTATTGAACAAATTAGCCAGCCGGTAGATCTGCCCAATTCTGAGGGGTGCATCCCAAACCCAGAGGACACTCAAGAAATGACAAGCGTCGAGCCTGCCCCTAAGCCTATCCACAAAGCTGTGAATGCTCATGTTGGTGTGGCCGGTGATGGTATCACAAGCCGCGAGGCAATATCAGTCGAAACATTGCAGAGGTTCCAGCCTTTCATCTTCGACGGGTATGTGTCAATACCCGGAGATGCATCGCCTCCACGACCCATAAAAATTCTTCGCGACACCGGTGCCTCCTTGACCTTGCTACGGGAGGGAATCCTTGCTGGTAATTCGTTTACTGGTGACAACGCTATCCTACAGGGCATCGAGTCAAACCAAGTGAGCGCCCCTCTCCACACCATACGGCTAGACTCAGGTCTAGTTACAGGTGATGTCGTTGTTGGAGTGAGGCCGCACTTACCCCTGCCAGGGATTGGATTACTCCTGGGGAATGATCTTGCGGGACACAAGGTGTTTCCAGATTGTTTTTATGGTGAACATCCGCTCACCCAGTCCACCAGCGATAACACCAACAGCCAGTACCCTTCATGTGTGTTAACTCGTGCGGGAGCTAAGAAAAGAGAGTCACCGCTGGAAGTGACGAGCGAGGATGAGGCAGTGAATTTAAGTTCAACCTTCTTCGATAGAGTCACTGATCTCTCTCTCCCTCGTGATCAAATCCGTGACACTCTCTCTCCCTTGAGAGTCTCATTTGACGATTTCGTGCAGGCGCAACAGAACGATTCGGAAATAACTGAACTGAAAAACGAGGCCTTACCTCAAGCTGAGGCCGAGAGACAGGGGAACTGTTTCTACCAGCATGATCACATCCTCTACCGACGATATCGCCCAGACAACGCCTCTGGTGAGGTTGCCGGGCATGACCGCAATCAAGTCGTGGTACCCAGAATATATCGGCCTGACCTGATGTACATTGCCCACGACTCACCCCTGTCGGGTCATCTAGGGGTAAGAAAGACATTGACAAGACTTAGAGAACATTTCTTCTGGCCGGGAATGAAGAGAGAAGTAACGGAGTATTGTAAGACATGTGAAGTTTGCCAACTTGTCGGTAAACCTAATCAGGTTATCCCTGAAGCTCCACTGTGTCCTATCCCAGCTTTTGGCGAGCCTTTCACCACAGTTCTCATCGACTGTGTAGGGCCTTTACCTAAGACAAAAGCCGGAAACGAATACCTAGTCACCATGATGTGTGCCTCTACTAGGTTCCCAGAAGCCATTCCTTTGAGGAATATTAAAGCCAAGAACATTATAAAAGCTCTTACCAAGTTTTTCACTACCTTCGGTTTCCCACAGGTGATACAATCAGACCAAGGCACCAACTTCACCAGCAGGGAATTCCAGAAAGCCATGTGTTCATTTGGCATTAACCACGTTAAGAGTACCGCGTACCACCCTCAGTCTCAGGGCGCGCTCGAGCGTTTTCATCAAACGCTAAAGACTATGATGCGCACCTACTGTGTGAACCACGCTGATTGGGATGAGGGCGTACCCTTGCTCCTGTTCGCAGCTCGAGAAGCAGTCCAAGATTCCCTCGGATATTCACCGTACGAACTTGTGTTCGGTCGCACTGTTCGCGGCCCTTTAAAGTTACTGAAAGAAAAGTGGACTAGTTCCAGTGAAGCGGTGCCACAGAACTTTGACATTTCAAAATTCAAAGAGAAACTGAGTGCTATCTGGGAGTTGGCAAGGGTTAACTTAACCCATGCTCAAAGAACGATGAAGAATAAGTTCGATCGAAAGACTAAGGCTCGCAGCTTCCAACCTGGCGACCAGGTCCTAGTGTTTCTTCCTGTCCCTGGCCAACCACTCAGGGCCAAGTTTTTCGGTCCATATACAGTAGAGTCCAAAGTTAGTGACGTGAATTATATGATTAACACTCCGGGTCGCAAGAAAACAAAAAGGTTGTGTCATATCAACTCTATTAAAAGATTTTATAGCAGGACTCCCCCAGCCGCCACAACAGAGGTGGTGAATGTTGTTGTAAAAGAGGACCATGGTGGGGTCGATGAAATCGATCAAGACGAGCCAGGTCACATAAAGTTGCATAACTCAGAGATTTTATCGAATCTCAATGATAAACTGTCTCACTTGACCGAAGATCAGCGAACCATCATGGGCAATCTTATTTTTGATTTCTCTCATGTGTTTCCAGATGTCCCTGGAGAAACTAATTTAATTAGCCATGATATTGATGTTGGTAATGCTACTCCGGTTAAACAACACCCTTATCGGGTTAACCCTGAAAAGTTGGCACTCATTAGAAACGAGGTCAAATACATGCTGGAGAATGACATAATTGAACCCAGTCAAAGTAGCTGGAGTGCCCCATGTCTTCTCGTCCCTAAAGGGGATAAGACCTATCGGTTTTGTACCGATTTTAGAAAGGTTAATTCCTTAACAAGGGCTGATTCCTTTCCCCTCCCCCGTATAGATGATGTAATTGACAAAGCTGGACAGGCAAGGTTCATAACAAAAATGGACCTTCTGTCTGGATACTGGCAGGTACCCCTGACCCAAAAGGCGAAAGAAATTTCTGCCTTTGTCACCCCAGATGGCCTTTATCAGTACAAGCGTATGCCCTTTGGTTTGAAGAATGCCCCTAGCACTTTCCAACGCATGATCAAATCAGTAATTGCTGAGATAGATAATTGTGACGCGTATATAGATGATGTTGTTATCTATAGTCAAACTTTTCAGGAACACATTACCCAGTTGTACCAATTGTTTACCAAGTTAGCCTCGGCTAACCTAACTGTAAATTTACAGAAGAGTGAATTTTGTCATGCCACCCTCACCTATCTAGGGCATGAGGTGGGGAACGGGAAAGTTAGACCTGTCGGGACAAAGGTGGAGGCTATTGTTGGGTTGCCCCCGCCCACCGACAGAAAACAGTTGAGGAGGTTTCTGGGAATGGCGGGGTATTACAGAAAATTTTGTAAAAATCTCTCCACCATTGCCGAGCCACTCACCAATCTACTCAGAAAGAACATAAAGTTCGAGTGGAATGTGGAGTGTGAACAATCATTCCAGGAGATTAAATGCATATTGTCAAATTCACCTGTCCTAATGGCGCCAAACTTTGGCAAGCCCTTTAAACTGGCAGTTGACGCTAGCGATTGTGGCGTTGGGTCTGTCCTCATGCAAGAAGATAATGAAGGCGTAGAACACCCAGTCGGGTATTTTTCAAAAAAATTAAATGCTCATCAAAGAAATTATTCAACTATTGAAAAAGAAGCCCTAGGGTTAGTGCTGTCACTGCAACATTTTGATGTATACGTGAGTTCCTCCCCTTTAGTAGTGTATACAGACCATAACCCACTAACTTTCGTAAACAAACTCGGGTTGAAGAACCAGCGACTGCTCCGCTGGTGTCTGTACCTACAAAATTTTAATTTAGGAATCAAACACATTAAAGGGAAAGATAACATTGTGGCGGATATGTTATCTCGGGGATAACTTTTCAGTAGGATTATGTTAAGGATAACAGTAGTTTCTTCTATTTTTGTCTTTTTCTAAAATGTATTTTTAAATGTGTTGGATGCCATGTTTTCTTGTTGTAAAACCTGAGTCGATGTTTGATGTCATTGTTTCGCAAAACCTGTTGGTGTGACTAAAATCACCACTTTTTTCGCCCCTGTTAATTATGGTGATGTTTTAATTAATTTAGTCTGGTGTGTGATCTTGACATTTTGTAACCCTACTTTTGAGGTATTGTGAGACGGGGGGTGGTGGTCTAGGTGATGTTCAATTAATTCCCCATGCGGTGAATAAATTTCTCGAAGGGAGGGGGTGTTACGACTACTTGGGGTTTGTCCTGGGCTGACCCGTATGTTGGGGTAGCGACCCCACGCTCATCCATCAACCTGGCGGTGGTCAGAGGCTGACCAGTGCTGGCCGTGGGAATCTTTGGGTCGTTTCGGCCACCACGCGGATTGGGTTTTTACTCTGTGGGCGGCGCATACCTGGTGTCTTGGGGACTCGGCTGGTAACGACCAACAGGCCGTGATTTATGGCTGGGAAAGCTTTTCTGGACGGACGGACCCGTGGGTACGGTCATGTCCTGACTTGACCTGACCTGGGGGTCAGGCTCGATTAACTAGGTTCCCACACTAGTCAGGGACGACTGGAGAATATTAGGAGGGCGATTGGTGAGACCAGTCAGTCAGGGCATAGCAGCACACCAGTTAGGACGTGTAGTTGTATATAGTTTAGATAAGGCTAGGTGGTAGGATTTTCGTGTTGTATTTTGGTGGCGGTTACTTTTACATGTTGTATCTTTGTTGTAAGAATTAAACTTGAGCAAGTATTAAAGGTGTTCATTAGTTTTAACGTGTGTTCTTGTCTACCTCCCCTCCTAGATCGAAAGGTCTGGGTAGTTCGGATCGTAACAATATATATATATATATATATATATATATATATATTTATATATATATATATTTATATATATATATATATATATATATATATATATAATTTTAATATTTCTGTTAATAAAGCTGGAGCAAATTATTTTTTATTTTATATTATTATTAGATGTAAGCCTACATTCCTTGCAAAATTTGATCTTTACTCACACAGTTAACATTTATTCATGGCATCATCAGTGCTAATTTTTTCACAAATTAAAAGCTCATAAACTAACAGTTTACAATCTGTGACATATAACAGAGTATGTAGGGCCTAAATTTCTTTAATAAGATGATTTATGTAAATGTCAAATTTCAAGTTTGTGAGCATTTTATTTGTGAAAATATTTCTTTTCTACGTAGTTTTTTTTTCTTCTTTATCTAGATCTAAATTTTTAACTTGAATTTTGAGAATTTGTTTTCCTATGCCAGTACCTATAAGCCCAGATATATTTTTTATAATAATGTATTATACCATGTGGATCATTTTATCTAGTTAATATACCTAGTTTTCACTTTTTAGTGCAGTTAATATGATCTTAATGTTTGACACAAAAAAGTAATATTTTTAAAATATAGCTTGTTTTTTTTTGTCTAATTAAAAAATAGTTTTTAATTAAGCTACAACATCAATCAGTAGTATTTTTTTAATTGATACATATTTTATGTTACAAATATATAAAAGAGAAAATTATAAGTATTTAACAAGAATCATGCTGTAATTCATGTTAAACCCATGCAGAGATACAAAAACAGTTGTTGCAGTAAATTCAGATATTCTGTTTTGTGAGTAGAAACATTCAAGTCTACTTCACTTATAAATATGGTTGAAAAATCATTTCTTCAGCTCTGCTCTTAAGCTTTGCAATTTACTATGGTTTAACAAGAAAATACAAAGTATTCACTCCAATCTACACTCTTTGTTACATAGAACATCCATTTAAATGATAATTTGATTATAAATAATAGTCATCAGTAAAAGACAACGAATTAATAATCTAATCTAAACTTTGACGTGTTCTGCCATTATAAATGAGCTACACCACAGATTTTATTGTACAAAAATACTGCTTTTTATGAACCTAGGAACTGTTTCTTCCTCTTTTTTCAGTCTAATGAAAAATACTGGCCCTAGAAATTTCAAACATTTTTGGTAAGTCACAGCAGCACATACATGCTACAGTTTATAGCATTTCATTAGCATACATTTGAGACAAATCACTGGTGTAGTCTCTAATTTCTCTTAGTAGATATTAATTTTATTGCTTAATACCAAGCAAATATAATTTGGGGGGGGGGGGGGGTGGGGGGGGGGAGAGAGAGAATCTGTTCAACTGAATTATCAGGCCACAAATATACTTTTAAGTTGCATGAAGCTTATGTTTTATAAAACATAACTCTGCAGTCAGTAAATCTAGATCTATTAGCCAATAAGAAGTGGGTTCTCGCCACTTGTTGTAAGAGCATGTTTGTTATTTTCCTTACTGAATATCTGCTGGCAACGAAAATGCTTCTATTTTATTCGCTACTCCTCTGTAGTGTAGATTTAATGAAAGTTTAAATAATTCTTCTCACTAGAGCTGATGGGTCAAAGTTTCAAGTGATTAATTGGTTATGATTGTTTCATTAAGTTTTAGAATGTCAGCATTTTGTGATAAATTCCTATAAATAGTTGGCCTAGAGCTATTGCTGAGTCATTGGTCTACATGTCCAATGTCTTCACTCCCTTCTGCACTTGCTAGCCCATATTATAGTACAAAAACAAAACTTTGTTGTTTTTTTTGAGTTTCTAAAACTAACAATTACATTAACAATGCTTTAGGATAGTCAAATTATTTAGTCCACTTTCAAAACTTTAAACAATAGATAATTTGCTTCTGGTAGAGTCCCTATATTTAAAAAAAAATCTGATTATAACATCCAGTGTTTTTTTATTTATTTGTATATTAAATCTATGTTCATTGCATAAAGTTTATGATCATTCATGTATACAACTTATTAATTATTTCTTTAACAAAAATTTAGTATCTTAATCTTATAGTATAAGGATAAGAATTTATCTTAAAGGAAACATCATTGGCTGAAGTTTAAAATGTTTCTATTTCAAATAATCAATGGCTTTAATTGATTTCAGCATGAAAATTACCCTGGAAATGTGTGTATGCATTTTCATTTTACATACTTGCATAATTTTTCACTAGTGGTGATTGTTAAAGTGTCAAAATTAATATCATAAGTTGTTTTCTAAAATCCCATGTGTTATTTAAATCAGCAGATGTCACCCACAGCAAAGCAGACACTTCAATCAATGTTATTTTTATTAAAAGATCAGCTTTTATAATTTTAATTGAGTTTTGTTTAAATTTTGATTTTTTTCTGTTCTCAGGAATAAAACTCCAATAGTTCAGCAATGAGGTAAAATAACATGGAACCATCTCTTTATAAGGACCATTCCAAAGATTATTTTTCTATTCTTTTGATCACTCATTACAGAATGCAATCTTTTTTTTTTTTACAATGACAGTATTTTATTTTTATTAAAACTATCTATATGATCTATAGGGTTTATGTTCTGTAATGTTTTAGGCTGTTATAAATTAAATGTAAAATAATTACATAATTTTTAAACTAGGAATTATTTTACAATGATTATTCAAAGAATAATTTTCGTAAAATTAAAGGTTATAAAAAAGAATTTTCAAATATAAAATTTATTTAAAATAATTAATTGATTGTTTTGTACATTTAAGCTGATCCACTGCTTGAAGGATATTAAATATATGTCATAGTTCACACACTGCTGTTATTTTCTCTGCTCAATGATGCCTTATGCAAAGAAAACTTTACATTATGATTGTACATTTTTCTACATCATTCTTTCCTCTAGTTTTATTTTTATGTACAAGCAGTAACAACAACATTGAGATTTTATTTGTAACAATTTTGAAAGAAAGTAGACCTGGATTTAAATATCAATCAACAAGATTTTTTAAAAATTTAGTATAAGAAATGCAATCACTTTACAAATGTATGATAACAAAGAAGTAAAAGAAACCACACAATGTTTCCTGCTAAGGTCTGTATAGAATAAAAAGAATTAAAATGATACAATATTAATTTTGAGATTATTAAAAGTTTCCTACAAGAAGACCATGAGTCAGTATAAGTACAAGTAGACCTACATGTTTTTTACACCCTAGCCCCCCCCCCCCACACACACACACACACCATCCCCTAATAATCCTAATAAAGGCTAATATGGACGAGTACAAAACTTTAACAGCTCTCTCAAAACTTCCAATATATCAATTTCATAGTGTTATATATTTAATTGATGTTGATGTCATTTTATTTAAATGATTTTCCTTTCCAAATTAACCAATACTGATCCAGAGTATTGAAGATTTAAAGTAAAAAGAATAAGTTTCTGACGTTGTTGGCTTTACTTTAGCAGTAGGCCTATCAAAATTAAATAAGTCAAAGGCCCACCTTTTAGAGTCATCTCCCTTTCTGTCATCATGGTTCCCCTTTTTTTTTTTTTTTTGTAGCCTACAGCTACAGTGACTTTATTACTACTTTCTGCAGACATGGGTCTATATAAGCCTACAGTGACTAATTACCAGTTGAGCTGTTTTTATTTTTTAACACGTTGATGTTAACCAGTAGACAAGTCCACATAGAACAATCCCATACACTCCCATTGGACGCTTCTCCTCTCATTCCTCTGTGTGGAGATAGGAACAGTTGACTCCCTTAACACTCAGGTTTCTGAAAAAATCCAGAAGAAGCCAGATAAATTATCTTGAAATTTGTTGAGGTTTACAACTATTTTTTCCAAATCTTAGAGCAGCATAATTTTACTAAAATGAAAACTATTTACTATAAAAATCTCTTCTACTTTACTATTGCCTCTCACCTTTAGTGGGTTGCTAATAAGCTTTATCACAATATCCACTACTTAATAACTTATCACTATATTTGATGCACAATTTCAGGTTGTTTTTTAGTGTTTTTATATTGCATGTTAATGTTTGTTAATTAAAAATTTGAAATTTTATAATCCTAAAAGAAAGAATTAAACTATGAGCAGAAGAGCAACAACTGTTTGCTGTGTTTGGATGTTTTAACAACTTCAGGTGGTACATCATTTTGATAGATAAAATAATTGGGGGTAGGGGGAAATTTTCCTTACTTTAAACCTCACTGATAATTTTAAGTTAAGCCTGACTGGTATTACAAAGAATAATTCAACAAATCTCAATAGGTTCATAACTTAAATTACTTATTTAAAAATCTGAATAGCAACAAGAAGATTAACTTGTATGTATAAAGAAAATATCACCCTTTACCTCTCTATAAATCAGATTAACATTGGTTAGAAATGTTATATTACATTAACGTCTAATCCTCATGAAAAATGCCTTAATGTTTTTTAAATATATAATTGACAAGTTCTTGTAAAGTGAGCCAAGCAATAAAATGTATGATTAAAATAAAATGATATTGCCTACACAGTATCTAATCTCATTAATGACCAAACCTTCACTTTATTTCACATAATTTTTATGCACTATTTTATAAGTAGAATTTATGAATTCATGGTTTGGTTTTCTTCATCTAGATTTTGTGTTTTTATGTAATACAAATATTTGTGATTTGTTAGTATGTATATTATAAATTATGGTCTAAATAAGTTTACAAAGCTGTTCATAGGAAATGAGTTTAAAATAAAAGTACATTTTTAATGGTTAAATAAGTTGAATAATAATGAGTACAAAATTTCAAATCTCTAAGAAGTGTAGTTAGTGACTAAAACATACACTTTATGCTAGGGTTTTAAAGAAATATTGAAGTATTGTTTTTTTTATTTATTGTACTTTTATTTTAGAAATGTATTAGTTTAAATTACCACAGTTTTTAGTCTAATTAAATTTTGTTTATCTAGATGGGGAATTCGCTTTATTGTATTGGGTTCTATCAAAATTATTTATATCATAAATTGTGTTTGAGTGAACTTAATATCTCCAATAATGTTTAAGATTGTTGTATTTCAATCATTACATATTTGTTACAATGTATACTGAATAAAATTGATTTCTTTACTCGTTTTGTTTATATTAATATATTTGTTTATATAAAGTAATATATTTGTTTATATTAAAGTAATATAAGCAACAACAGTTGACAGCTAATAGGTTCAGCTCTAAACCAAATACAACCTCATAATCTCCATGTTAATCTTTAATCCACTACTTAATCTGCTGCACATAAATCAGTAAAGAAAAAATAATTTCCATTATTTTATTTTAAGTTCAGTGTTTGAGAAAAAGTTTACCTCCATGACAAAAAGATTCTAAAATTCATTTTTAATTTAAATGCAAGTTGAAATTTTAAACAAAAACATTGATAAACACAAAACTAAAGAGAAACTGATTTTTATTACTTGATTTTCTAAATTACATACATCACAACCAAATTATTTTTTAACTAAATATAAAGCAGTATTTAGAAATCATACATTAAAATAAATGCTATAACAACCATTTTTCTTTAAAAGACAGAAGAAAATTACTAAGATTATGTAAAATATATACACAACTACCTGTGTGCACCTTATAACCAGAGCAGTGGAATGCATGTATGGAATTGTCTAATCATTTTAATGTAAACAAATATGTCCAATTTTTTTATCAATGGAATTTTAAATTACTTTAATAGGCTAAATCATTGGTACCACTAGAATGGAATGTACCAAAAAATTATAAAATTAATAAATAGTGAATATATAGAAGAATGGATAGCTCAAAATATTTGTTTAATAAAAATAAACAGACCAGTTGAGCTTTCTTCAGTTTTCCTTTACTAAGCAAACACTAATCACAACCATTGCATTCAATAAAATATTTTAACATTGAAATAAACTGAGTCAAAACAGCCTAGCAATTTTTTGTAATAGAAATTAAAAATTCTTTTGCACTAAAGGGTACATTTACAGATCTTTAGAAAAATGAATAGGATTATGTCAGAAAACTATTTTGCATATTATATTTTATTGCAAATGAAGTTAAATGAATAAAATATACACATTTTACCTAGATGGAGTGCAATAATTTATGTGTTTTAATCAATTGCAATGATAAATCAAAGTGCTACAGTTCTCTCTTTAATATAGAAATACTATTTTAAAACTCATTAAATCTAAACTACAAGCAACAAATGTAAATTAAACTTTGGAAACGTAAGGGTAAACCTGTTGAAAGATACACATCAGTCTGAGATTCTATAGCTATTCAATGTACAACTTGTTTGCTAGTGAAACAATAACATCTGCTCAACCATCAACCATCTTGGCAAGCCAGTCTAACACCTTTCACACATGTACAACTTTAAAAGATTATAAAAAAACGATTTATATATAGTCAATATACACGGAGGGCATTCAATTAGACTTGACTTGCCAATAGTTTGCCTAGGTTGTAGAATGACCTAGAAATGTTTCAAGAATTTTTCACCCATTCACTAATACATAAGCTTGTGTTAGTTACTATAAAATCAAAGTGTTATCTTCAGTGACGACTGCATACATAGCATTTGAAACAAATATTTACACTGTCATGATGATTACAGAACCGCATTCTCACTTGACCCTTGCTTAAATTCTTATTATAAATTTATAAAAACAAATTTACATTAAATCTTCCAATAATTGCTAAATAAATTTATTAGAAACATAAGGCACGTCTGTATATGAGCATTCATACATCTTTTAAACTGTAATATGTACATAATGAAAAGTTTATTTTTTTCAAATTAAGAAGTATAGAAAAATGACACATTATAAAATAAAAAGCATGACACTAACAAAACTTTATCATAAGACTACATTTAAGATTCAGTTCACGTGTAGCTTTAATTGATGCTCCGAATTATGGTACAGTTTTGTTGTGTTTATAAATTCTTAACAATAATCTTTACAAAAAGTACAATGTGAATTAAAAGGACATTATTCAGATAACAATCTAGAAATTTCTAATACACTGATTGGTAATATATATATATAAATATATTTGTTTACATAAAGCAGCAAAGAATTATAAAAATAAAAGCTTATAAAGACATAATATTTTAAACAGAAGCGGTTTAATTTTACAACTTTAAATGATGGAATTCATCTACAAACCTTAGATATAACTTCACAACCTAGTCAGTCTATTGCTGGTGACTTCAACTCAAATTTAATTCTGTGTACATGACATGGCTAAAGGCAACAGTTTCCTCAACTTATGTGAAAATCTATACAACAATAAACTAATAAGTTGGTGTAATATCATTTAATAACCATACAAACTTGAGCATTTTAAAGAAGTATATTATTTTACAATAGTACAGTTTAGTAATTATATTTAGAAAATACTTTTTACAACTTACATCTGTAATGCAATTTTTTGCTTTGATTCTTTCTTTATTAATAGAAATATAGTTATATATCTTCACCTTGAGTGTATTACAAAGCAAATATTAGATAGTTGACTCTGTGGCATGAGGTGGGGGTTGAGGTTCCCTCTTCTGGTAAATCCCGATGAAAGATCCATCCTCATTGAAATGTGTATCTGCCTCATATCCATACTCTCCTAGGCTTTCATCATCCCCAATAGGCACATCATCATATTCAAGATCAGCTTTGTTGGGAGGTTTGTTTGGGAAGTCATAGTCTTCATTATAAACCCTTTGAAAAAAATAGTATGTTGTAATTCACTGGATAATATTCTATAACGTATAAAAGATCATTGCGTTACGTTTTACTTTGCAAGAGAAATATGAAACGAACATAAACTAGATTTGGCCTAATTGTAAAAAACCACTAAAATAAAATAAGAAATCATCAATGGTTTAAATATATTCAGTTTTTATTTTTTTTCATAACATATTCCTACATTAGTTAACAAACACTTTTTAAAATTCTATGAAGATGAAGACAGGTAGTAAGCTTAAGAGTACATTTATTGTGGCTAGGGAATGGTCTGCCCACAGTTAATATGTGTTGATTGAGAGATATACAAAAATGTGTGGACTAGATTATGGTAAAGATTCACACTCAAAATGAGACAACCGAGACTACTTACGGCCTAGAATAATCATCAAATCCTTTATCTTTTAACTCTTTTTCAGGATCCAAGCCCGCACCAGTCTCTTTCTTATCCACTTTAAAAATGAAACAAACGTCATTTTAAAACAAGACTACTGATATTTTGCTCTTTAAAAAATGAAGTAGAATTTAACATTTGGTGTCATGATATTGAAACCTTGATAATCTCATTATTGTGAAATGAGCAAAATGTGATAAACTCTTCTCTATTATTAATGGAACAAGAGAATCATATTTTTAAAATTTGAATAAATAATTTATAGAGTAACTTTTATATAACTTTACCATTGTAAGCTCCTTCTTGCTGCTTGCGACAGATTATAAATATAATAAGAATAACAACCAGGATCAGCAGGATAAGGCCAATTATTAGTCCAATGATCCACATATCAAAGGTAGCTCCCTGAGCTACACCTGAAGAATAACAATTTCCAAACGGTTTTATATTTCTGTAAGTGTTTTAACATTATTTATTTTATATACCTAAAACTTCTAATTTTAGTTTAACTACTGATTATAAAAGTGATACAATCAATTATAAAAATACTGCTGTGACTTGGCATCTTATAAGGTAGCAATTAAAGAACTTGTCACTCACTGTCAGGTTTTGGCTTGTCTTTAAGTATCACATTGACCTCTACCACATGGTAATCAAAGACATGCGTCACATTGATGATGTAGATTCCTCTCACAGATTCGTACTGATCAGTGTTTAGATTGCTTGTGTTGATGTGGGCCTCTCTTGTTGATGGGTTATAGATGACAAATGGCGGAGGGTTGAGGGATTCTGTGTTGTTGTGTTTCCATCTGTTCAGTGGAATCAAGTTTATTCAATAGGGAGCATAAGACAATGCTTATGAGGAATTGAATTTTAGCAGTTTCTTCTTTCAATTGTATTAAAAAAATCTTTTGACCGGATTGTTAGAATTCTCACAATTTAATAGTGATGAAAAAATGTATTAAGTAAAATAAGCCAAGCTATCAAGATATAAAAGGAGTTACAATATTCTTGGGCAATAACACTAAGGAGAAAAAGCCCATAAATATATAAGAAAGAAAAAACAGTTTTAAAAATGCACTTTGCTTAAGGGGATGGTTAGCACAGAAGTGTGCCATCATTGTATTGTTGATTGAGTCAAACAAATAGCTTTACTAAATGACCTACAAATACCTGTACGTTAGATTTTGTGAAGGATCAGTGGTAGCAGTCACTGTGAGGTCTATTGTATCTCCATGGTCAATTTCCTGTGTGGCAGCTGGCTGTTTCAAAATTGTAATGGGCACTGTCAACAGAGAGAATTTATACATTTTTTAAAATATTGATCTCTGGCAAACTGGAAATTGTAAAACATTTAAAATAACATATTAGACCACTTATAAATGCTTTTACAGCACAAAAAAGTACTTATATTTGTAAAAAATGTAGTTTAGTGTTACTGCAGTCATAGAAATCTAAGGTAAACTTACAAAGAACGTTGAGGCAGCCATCAGCCCATGTTGTCCCAACAGGGTTAGAAACAGAACACTGAATGCACATGATGTCTGTAGCTTTCTTTAAAGATCGTATGGTTAATTTCTTGTTCCCATCAGTAAATACAAACTTTGTCTTATCTGAAATATGTTGAATTCAATGTCATGTTGCGTTATATCACTTTACTATAGTCCTATTACATTAGTATCCCAAGAGTTAAATTACACTGAACTGTATCCAAGTGATGTACCAATACAAAACATGCATGTGGGGTTCTAGAAAGAAGAATTCATGGCAAAAGCTAATCGGCATCACACAAAGCTAGTAACAAGATCTGCCTTAAATAGATAGATTAGAAACTACAATGTTTTAAGGCTATAGGAGGAACTCAAGTTACCCAAAGCCAATAACAATCACAACTTCAGTTATGTTCTGATGGTGCAGGGAAGGCCATTAAAACTTGAATGGATAGAAACCAAATGATCAAACAGTGTGAGTACATAGCAGCTGGCATGTACCCCTAACAAAACAAGTTATTGTGTGCTGTACCTGTTTGTGAACCAACTTGCTGTCCATTAATGTACCACACAGGATAATCTGGTTCAGTTTCACCACGTGCTGACCTGGCATTACAGTTAAACACGGCATCTTTACCCTCTGATATAGTTTGGTCCACTGGTGCGCCATTTGGGTAAAATATTGGGCTGGCTGTTGAAAAATTGTTCATTCATAGTGAAATTTATCAATGATTTCTTTCAGATCTAACTACAAACTTAAGTAGAATTTATAGTTAGAAATTAAAAATAGAACTTACAAGTTACGTCAAGAAACACAGCTTCTTTGTTAGAGGTTCCTCTTGTATTTTGGGCTTGGCAGTAATAATTTTTCTCATCTGCTTCATCAACATTGGAGATTATCAAACGACGATGATCAGCTGAAAATGAATATCTACCTGTTGCTATGATCTCATTGCCATCATCAAAATACCATTTTGTTGCAGGAACATTTGGATATTGTGGATCACTGAAAATACACAAAAATACAAAACTTGAGCAATATATAAGATTAACAATTTTAAAATCTAAACATTATTTGAAACTGAATTATAAGCAGAATCTATTACATTCCATTTTACAACTAAGTTAAATTAAAACGTTCTTTTTTGTGAAACAATGAATTTTTAAAAATTGATGTTCATGTGAATGAATTAAGATCATAGATTTAACTGTATTATTAACAGAAAAAAGCACATACTATCCTGAGAAAAAACATTCCAGTGTGGCTGTTGTAAACCTAATAAACTTGGTGCCACTGTTTGTGTACTGTATTTGTGGGGAAATGGCAGTCGGAGCTGTAAATAAATGTACAATTGTAAAATGTTAGAAATATACATTTCCCTATCATTCAGAAGATATCTTATACCTTCAACAGCATGTGATATTTTCTCTCGTGTTCAAAGAAAACTCAAATCTTTAAAAGATCAAGCAGAATTTTTTTTCTGAAAGGAATTATCTTTTATTTGTACTAGATATGTGAAATTTGCTGACACTGATCTATACCCAGCTAAGAATACCTATAGGAGGTATAGATACAAAGTGATGTACATCAGGCAATTTGTGTTTAACGTTATCTTAAAACTATTATTAAACCCAGCTAATAAACTAATACAGCCCTTACATTGACCATAAACTTAGTGCTAATACAATAATAGTACCTAATAATAATTAGCTCTTGTCTAACGCTGGACCCGGCCCTAACACTGTATGATCCACAAATTTACTTACAAGCAATGGTCTTGATAGTCAGCAATACTATTCCACCCAGCTGTATGTAGGACAAACCAGTGGCTGAAATACCACACTTGTATTGTCTTACATTACCATCTGCTGTTGTGACATATGAAAAGTGCAGGGTTCCTGGCGTAAGAAAAAAATTATCATTAATATTTCAGCACTTGTAATCCTAATTTTAATTCCTCACTGTAGTTTAGCATATCAGTATTGTTACAGTTTAAATTTTTAAACATCTGATTCTGCTCAATTAAGCTCTATGGCAGTTGAGACAGAAAATACAGTGATAAAAAGATAAAACCACCTCACATTCTAAGGAAAGATTCTCAAAATTTTCTAGATGTCTTGCTAAACTGATAAACTTTACACGTCTAAACTTGTTTACAAATTGTTGCACTTCAAAAAATGTATCCACACAGTATGTTCAATTGACCAGACATTTGTTTATCAAGGAGACAAAACATATTAAAAGAACTTTTTTTTTTCAAATCTGAATAATGAAAACTGTGTATTGTGTGAAATCTAATGTGTTAACATTTGTTTTTACAATAGCAAAGGTAATTTCTATAATACTAACCTTTTTGATCGATGAAGTGACGGTCTTCAATTTTAATTTGATTGCCACTGAAATCATACCAGTTGTAACCAATTTCTTCACCAACAGCTTCTCCTTTATTAGCACATTCTAGCTTGGTATAGGAATACTCTTCAGCTACCACAGAGCTGGTGGCGTTTGTTTTGAACTCTTCTACCCCTGGGAAATGTAAATAAATAACTGAGTTAAATACCTATTTTAAAAATCAGGATTCTGCGCTATTTTTAAATGCACCAATAGAAACTCCAACTCAGCATCAAGATTAGAACATAGCTTGTGTGAACTCACTGGATTGTTTTAAAGTGTATGTGGGAGCAAAACTCTTGACAGTTGTGGTGCCAAACATAGACCTTGCCACACAGGTAAAAACACCTTCTTCTCTGGTTGTAAAATCATTGAAGGTTATGTCCCCTTTTACTGAATCAAATGTGATCTGAGGACTTACTATAAGAGGTATTCCACCTCTCAACCATTCATAACTGAGGAAGAAAAATAAAGGTTGACGAGACTGATGTATATGGGCACTTTTATTTCATGTAATTAATTGCGTTGTAACAAACACCAATGTGATGCAAACACTGTTTTGACAATTTTTCAATACAAAAACTAAAACTTGGACTAACCTGGGCTCTGGTATGCCCTTGGCTTGACATGGTAAACTAAAATCAGCTTTCTGGTTTTTATATACGACTTTTGGACTGTCAGGAATTATCACATTGGGTGGTAAGCGAACTGTAAAGTTATATATATATATATATATATATATATATATATATATATATATATATATATATATATATATATATATATATATATATATATATATATATATATACTGGGTCAGGTTAAGAAATGTACAATCAAGTTTATAAAAATAAAGAATTTTTTAAGTGAAGAAATATATTGCGAATTATACCAAAAAGTATATGAAGAAATATCCTGTCTAGTTAATAATTGTACAGAAATATTTTGTCAAGTTACTTTAGATGAAGATACAAAGATATACATTTAAAATATGTGAAGAAATAAAATGTTAAAAAAAAATGAAGAAACATACTAGTAAGTATACAGGCTTATTCTATATAAAAAAAAACTAATTCCTAATCAGTGATAGTAGGTTAAAACACAATATTTTGATCTGCTAAGATTGTTATTACTGAACAATCCTAAATCTTTGTAACGATTCAACATTTTTACATTTCTTTTAATTATTAGCTTTTCAAAAAACTAATAAATACTTTTAAATGATATATGAATGTAGTGTAAAAAATGTTGATAAGTAATATGTAACAAATCAAGCACAGAATGTTTAATGGAAATAACCAACAAGATTTTTTTTAAATATTGAGCTATTTGTCTTTTAGTGCTTTTAGCCTTTATTAAAAGAATATAAAATATAAATTAATGTAAACTATTGTAAACTACAATAACCAATCATAACAAAATAATATAAAATTTAAATCTAGGCCCTAACTACTGGTTGTCCAAGTAAAAAACAATGTTACCTCCCCTCCTTGCTTTCAAGAGTCCAACCAGTTTGATACATTTACAAAATAACTTTAAAGCTAAACATTAGAAATGTACCTAATAGAATCACATCTTACCATCAGACTGAGCAAACACTGAGGTAACAACAGCCAGAACTACAAGAAGTAGGCTGGACATTTTGGGAATGTCTGACCAAACCAAACACCTTGTTTAGGACCACCTAAAAAAACAATGATCACTTTGTTAATGACAAAAATTACAGTGGTGGCTATAAATTAATTTATTAATAGATCTAGATCTATACTTTTTAAATATCAGATTTTATTCTAATCAGCTGAGTACCTATAATATAAGTAGGCCTCATCAATGCATGGTAAATTGTAAACAAACATGTGCAGTAGGTACTCTCTAAAAAACAGGTCATTAACAAAGGAGAATGGAAAATCATTCAATAATTAAAGGGCATATTTGGCTACGATGTCCAATTGGATCAATCCATGTATCATATTTGAACGATCAGCCAATCAAGAGTTAGTTATGTTTTACGGCTGTCACTGAAGAACTGTCATCGCTTCCATACACATGTTAGTTTTTACAGCCCACTGGTAGTATCTGGCTTTTCTTTCCTACAGTATACAATTTCACTTCACGGAAGAATGATCGCAATGTCAACGGATCTAGATCTATAGACTACATGTATGCGGATTAAACTGATAAACCAGCTTATGGCTTAGCGATGTCTATAAATAGACCAACGCTGGTGTGGTGGGGGAGGGATGGGTGTGCAGGGAACAAACAACCGCCGTACTTTTCCTGGGGTCCACACACGGCAGAGTGGTGGCATCCCCGGTAACTAGGATTGACCCCGCACCTGGACCAGACGACAGGACGAGGTCAGTAACGGCTATTCCAATAACAAGGACTCTCTTATTGGTTGGGGTGGGAAACCCACAAGAAATTAATACACGTTTCAAGTGGGGAGAGGGGGAGAGACATTAATGACGTCACAAGATAAAACAAGGACAAGTTTCATTTGTGACACGTGAAGGGAGGAGTCTGGGAATTGGTGTGTTATTTTAATTCAGAAATACACGGTGTATGCTCTAAACATGCTCGATAAGCTAGCCTATATCTTTTGTGTGGTAAATATGCTTGCTGTGTGCAGCACAGTATCCAACGTTTTACTGGCTTTAGTCCGTGGATGGCGTCACATATCTAGTAAAAGAGCGGGTCAGACTTAATGTGATGTGAGACTTTGGTGGGAATTGATGAAATGACACGCATTATACATTTCACATTTTAGTCTAAAGGACAAATACTTAGTAGAGAACTGGTGGGTGGAGCTTATTGTTTCAGATTGAGGCAGGACAGCTTTTTGCTACGGGAGGAGGGAGGGGGAATCGGCTACACGAGTATGACGTCATGAATGGACGCGCCTTTATTTTGTTGCAGAACTGAAAAGGTGGCCCGACCAGTTAAAATACGTTTATATGTAGGGGAGGGAGATAAAAAAAAACGTTAATGCAAGTTATATGGCTAATTTATGGGTGGATGATTTAAACGTATTGTGGCCTAACATTGAATGTGCGGACCTGTAAACAGGGGGGAGTGTTAGCGACGTCGGCCCTGTAGCGAAGTTAAGACACTATTGGTTAAAGTAATTGACGGAAACATCGATAGTAGCAAATTAATCACATCTCAAAGGATTTGTTAATATACAGCAAATCCTGACAAATAAACAGTAGTAAATTATCGTGTATTACGTGAATAAATAACGATCAGCGCCAAAGTGTCGTATGCACAGATGGCTTTAACACAATTCTAATGAAAGTAATATGAGCATGTCTAATCAATATGAAGTTCATCACTCCCCTAATGAACGAATTGATTTTATCATCACATCGAATCAATCAACCAATAACTGTAAGGCCCCATACAAGTCACCCACAGCCCCAGATAGAATGGCCGGTCACGCTAAATGTTGTGCGGGTTCATGGTGCTATTGTTATACACTGCCCCGTCCCCCCAAGCACGTCCACCGCCTCCCTCCCAGGCCGAATAGAAAAAAATAGTATCTATACATATATAAGCATAGTTCGCCCCCAGATAAAAGTCTGAAAGAAACCCTGGACTTGAATGTATTGTGCGGGAGACTTATGCCCGACTACATGATATATTCCATGGATGGGAGAACTATGCCAGACTACGTATTCGATGGATGGGAGACTTATGCCAAACTACATGACATTCCATGGATGGGAGACTTATGCCCGACTACATGATATTCCATGGATGGGAGACCTATACCCGACTACATGATGTTACATGGAAGGGAGACTTATGCCCGACTACTTGATATTCCATGGATGGGAGACATGCCCGACTACATGATATTCCATGGATGGGAGACCTATACCCTACTACATGATATTACATGGATGGGAGACCTATGCCAGACTGATATTCCATGGATGGAAGCCTTGCTTTAACTTATAACTTAAAGGCTTCAGGGTCATGTTGATAATGTAACCCTCCTGTCTATTAGATCATCGTGCCAACTATGAGATTTGGGTATTTAAGACATCTGCTGAGTTGGTTCCCCTAGACATCTGAGTGCTTGTCTCCCAGATCGTGAGCACCCAGTTGGGCAGGAGTCGCCGGCCACATTAAATACAAAATGTCAGGGCACTTTCTAATGTGTAACAGCCAGTCGTAATGGGGAGCTTGGCGGCGCATAATAAAAACAAAAAAATTGTTTTGTTAAAATACTCTCGCAATGAGCATGAAATCTACAGGGGTTGTTGTATATAGCTAGTGATAAATGGCGTTCTTTATACCCATGCTAGTTTTACAGCTTAATAATACTACACACTACTCGCTTAAATCCTACCCTTTATCAGATGTTTAATCTAGAAAATCTACATCTGATATCAACGCGTCAAGAGGCCTTCTTGTAGGCCAGTGGTCCTCAAAGAAGTCCGCGGGTCTCACGTGTGCTCAAACTACCCAGGTAAGTGGTGTAGGCAGTACAGAGCGTCTCTCGGACAAGACCCACTGGCAGGGTGGGGCTATATGGACAACTGGCCATAAATCTACCCCCGTCAATTTGAGACCCCCTGGTGTGGGCGACCTGTAACGTGTTTACGACACACAGGAAACAACACTGGGGTAGGAGACGGCAGTCTGATAACAGGGTCAAAGTTCAACGTTACCAACCAGTTCTGCAGCTGTAATTATTATGTCGTGTAATTTTTTTTCTCGCTTCCCAGAATAAAAACAACGCTACAAACCTGTTTTAGAAAGATCCCCCTAACCATAAAAAAGAGAGGAAATCATTAAGAAATAAAAGTGAGAAGACTGAGATTAGCTTTAAAGTCATGGAGCTGGTAGGAGATTAACGACGCGGGCCTGTTTGTGTCACGGTCTGTCTGACGTGTTGAATAGACAAGTTACGGGTCGGTGTGTTTGTGTCTGGTGTGTTCACGTTTTGATCGCCCAGGGTAAAGTGCGTGCTGATGTGTGTGTGTGTGTGAGGAGGGGGGGGGGGGGGGCTTTCAACAGCACTTGTGGTGTACATGTTGAAAAAGTCGCTATGGAATATTTATTTGATAGCAAATATGTTCTTAACCTTTTCATTTTCATTAACGGCAACATTTTAACAGTCAATACAGGCCACTTTTAAACGGTCAATTCAAGTAGCTTTTAAACGGTCAATTCAGGCCAATTTTAAACAGACAATTCAGGCCACTTTTAAACGGTCAATTCAGGCCACTTTTAAACTGTCAATTCAGGCCACTTTTAAACGGTCAATTCAGGCCACTTTTAAACGGTCAATTCAAGTAGCTTTTAAACGGTCAATTCAGGTCACTTTTAAACAGTCAATTCAGGTCACTTTTAAACAGTCAATGCAGGCCACTTTTAAACAACTCAGACGACCCAAGCGTAACCTAAGCTCACTGACCCACCTTACCACATGTCACCCTTGGGTAGGTCTCAGAGACCTGCATGAATTTTAAAACACATTCAAGTGAAAGGGCGCTTAGATGAGCTAAAAATAGTCTAATTCCAGACGCTAAGCAAGTGGGCCACCACCAAGAGGTAGGTTGTCGTGTAACCTGGGCTGGGTTGTGATGTCATGTTGCCCTGGGCCTAATTCTACAACAGATATCTACATCATACAATGTGTGTTTTCATTGGAATATTTGAATAGTACACGGAAGTAAACAGTAAATGCTGTATGCTAAAAGAATGGGTCCAAGTTACCTGTAACAAGGTTTCTTTCAGACATTTTTCTTGAGGGGGGGGGGGGGGGGGGAGAAAAAATAAACAGTCACTGGTTAGAGTTTAAATATACACTATTTATACATTTTTTTTTCCATTTCAACATTGGGGGGGGGGGGGGGGCAGACAAACAGTGTTATTTGTATTCATGTTGTCACTGTTTTACCTAATCTTAAATGACCTTTGTGGCCCACAAATACTTAAAAAGTAGTGAAACAATTTATTCTAATAGGGCCTATTTTAGTGCAATCATAGGGTTGATATCCATCTCACAAAGTGCTAATATTGATAAGTTTTTATAATCTCCAATCTTATATAAAATCTATGTGATAAAATTTCAGGTGCTAAAACTGAAACCTTCCATTGACCTAAATCCACATGCTATAAACAACCGTAACAGGTCACAAGAAATAATAAGCTGAGTTTACATACCACAAAAGAAAAGATCTTTCCCAGGCTATAAATTACACACATTGAATCTGAACTGAATAGCCTTACAAGTGAAAGGAATCAATGAGTCAGAAAAAGTTTTCATAAATACTTTGGTGGTAAAGATTCCCAGGCTTAAATAAAACATAAGGTTTGAAATAAATATATCCAGTAGGTTTTTAAATTTATAATCCCCCTATATCCAGTCGGGTTTTTATAATACCTTTATATCCAGCAAGGTTTTAATAATATCTCTATATCCAGTAGGTCTTTATTATATGATACTATACCTTCACCAGACAAATAACAGACACCTCGGATATTGGGAAAATATTGCAAATAGTAAATTACAAAAGTAATTAATAGCATCACAAGGCAGGGGCGACACTGGGTGATACTAGGTTCAAACATAAATTGTCAAAACTAGGTTTTATCTAGTTCAAATAATAAAACAGCTTGGGAGAGGGGCGACACCAAACTGAAAGAGAAAATTTGTTGGAGGGGGTGGTGCGACACCCTAAGTTAGAGTACTGAGTGAAACCTGATAGAATGACACCACTGCTAGTTATATAACTAACACTAATTCCAGTACTATAAAATTTCTTAAGAAATGATCTGGTACATTTTATAAAAGCCAAAAATAAGAAATGTTCTCTAATCTCGAACCAAATATTTTCTTAGATCGCCACCCCACATTATATATACAATTTTTTTAAATTTATTTTATTAATTATTGGAGTCACAACATTTTAGAGAAAATTACATTAGTTACAATTACATCTTTGTTAGAAAAAGCCATAAAACCTTAACAGACTGTGCTGATAAGAAATTATTTGATTTAACTTCTTATTTAACTTATTCTGTTAACTTCTAAACTAAATAGGAGAAATTTTTCAAAAACAATAAAGAATTATTTTTTAAAAATTGCTCTATACAACACAACACAATTTTATATAATAAAAAAAGCAGAAACCACTTTTTACCCACTTCAAGTTTTCTATGTGGACATGGTGGTTTTGCATCCCTCACCAAATGATAACGTGGTAATGCTAGTTTAAGTTATGCCTAGCCCAACAGTAGATTTCACTTCAGACCATGAAGTTTTTTGCTGGGTCCACCCCATCCTCCCACCAGGGTTTCCTTCAGACATTTTTTTCCTTAGAGGAAAAGAAACCTGAAAGAAACACTGCTCTCTACCTAACCTCATCTTAATATGCTACATGGACTGAAAAACCAAAATGTTATAGCTTTAAAAAAAAAAACTTAAATTTATCTAATAATGGTAATCATTACTGCTCAGTTTGATATAACATTAGGTCCGTCAGGCCTATATTAAATTAGCAATAATTGGGCCCCTATATTAAATGTAAATTGTCAAAATGACACCATCTAACACATAAAAGCTTTCAATTTTTAATTCTTATTCTTTAAAAATACATTAAAAATGTTTGATGACAAGCTTTTATGTAATTATGCATTAAAAATGAGAAAATAAATTATTTTCTTTAGGTCTAAATATATAAAATGAACTACTATTTAAATAACTAAAAAGAAAAGTGTGGGTCACTTTATTATGTATTGATGAAAATGCCTACTTTTATTTGAATTTTAAGTAAGAAGTGAACCACACTTTTATCTGTAGTTATTTAAATAGTGGGCTTTGAATAGTTCATTATTATATATTTAAAGAAAATCATTTGTTTTCTACTTTTTAGTGCACAATTATGTAAAAGATTGTTACTAAAATGTTTTTAATGTATTTTTCCAGTACTTTAAAATATATAATAGAGTTTGCATGACTAAAAACGTTTGTGCACCAAATAAACACGAAAAATGTGTGTATAATTATAGCGTGGTAAATAGTATCTTATAGGACAGTAGGCATAGCAAATTTTAATTAGCTCTTTTTTTAAATTTAATTAAACATCCAATTAAGTCAAATTTAATGTACTGTCATTGGGTTTTGACACACATGCCAAGTTTCAGAGAAATTGGTCGGTTAGAAGTGGTAAAGTTTCACTCGCCAGTTTCGATCCATGATGAAGCAAGACAAAAGCATGAAAGAGAAAAAGTTAAATAAAAGCTTGTAAAAAGTAGTTGAACTCAAGTTGACACTTCTCTTGAAGTTGACTAATTACAATTTAAGTGATCATTTCCTCTAATTACTTTGGGCCAAAGAAGAGAGCAGTCAAATGCATTAAAACATTTTTAAGAGTAGACTAAAAACAAGTGGACAATGTCACAAAGTGTGTGGGCCAATGAGTAGGCCTATAAAATTATGAAGAATGTCATTATTCTATCAGACTGTAGGCCTACAACTAATTTGACTATTAAATTACACTAGGTGACCAGGCCTACTGCAAATGAATTAACTTCTATAGTCTAGTTACTGAGCTAGTTACTAGAAATAGATCTATCTAGATTCTAGATCTAGAATCTAGATCTCATCTAGTAGGCCTATAGATCTCTAGTATATTTTAAGCCATTTGACTTTGATTTTATTAAGGCCTTGTTAAAATAACTGAGAATTAGCCATGAGGCCTACTCTTTTTTGTGTTCTGAACTCAATATCAATTATTTAGGCCCTACTTAATTCTATTAGTTAGTAGAAAGATCTTGATCTAGCTACATCTAGATCTAGATCTAAATCTAGATCTAGATCTACTACAGTTCAGTTGTAAATGTAATTTAGGGCAAGCAGAAGTTTTAATTTGAAACAAAATGAATCCACACACTGACTCACCCCTGCAGCAGTATTATTTTGCTTCTAGTTTTCGCTTTTTGTTTTATCCTCGACAATTTTCCGAGAATCAATCACAACAGAATTTATAAAACCATTCAACGTGAGGCTAAATCCCTAACTACACGAACACGAAGCTTCACTTCCTACTCTCACTGCACCTAACATTCATCGGTAATGACTAATCTGTCAGTCATAGTAATTGTGGGACCCTCCAGCCACAAGAAAAAACTTGATAAACATTGAGAAACAAATCAATTTTTAATTATAATATGTGGGAAAAACCAATCCCTAAAATAACTGATTACAAATGTATTTGTTAACATAATCCTAAATCAATTTAAACTATATCGTACTGTAAAGATTATATAGTAATACACGTTTTTATAATACAACTTTGACCACATAAAAGAAAATGACATACCGTCGCAGGTACAGAACGTCGCTTCGTTTTTAAAAAAGTATGTCAAACACCTTCCGGTGTAAATACAAAAAAGAAACCAAAAATATTTTAACAGATCTGTGAGTCATTTCCGAATAATGTTTCGCGGCAAGTTGATGGTTACCAATTTAATCTTTAAGAAAAAAAAATAAGATGAAGACATGTCTACAGTACTTAAACTTTTCATTTTTAATGCCTGTTTTAATTTTTACCCTCGCCAATATCCCCGTGTAGAGTGGGCACCAGATAGGGAAAGGGATGGAAACAGGATGGACTCGTGTGGCAGAGCATTGCACTTTGTTGTGTAAAGATCCAAAAGAACCTGCACTAAATGGTTATCATTACTAACAACAATAACTGACAGCCATTCAGTTTTCCGATTTTAACTCAGTGATGGTGAAATAGCTGATCAAATTTCATACTGTTTCAAAACCATTTTATTTATTGGATACACAATGAACGGTGAATAACTGCAGAGCCGGGTTTATAAAAAAAAACAACAACCAAGAAATAAATGTCTAGCAACAACTTGATTGTCGAAATCGTGCGCCCGATCACTGAGGGGTCATCCATAAATGACGTCACACCTCAGCATACAACCCCCCCCCCCTAAAAATTGCAGTTGAATTTTTCTTAAAATACGATATTTTTTCCAAAATCTTGTCTGAACTCTGTCAACATAGAGTATTTTAATCAATTCATATTACAATTTATTAAAACAGTTTTCTAAAACGCGAAATAACGGCTAAAATTCGTTTTCTAACATTGCTTTCTTATAATTCAAAAATATGACGTCACACCATCTGAATCCCCCTCCCCCTCATCACACACCGTCGCAAAATTACGGACAACCCCTTCCTCCTACGAGTGACGTCATTTATGGACGACCCCTAAGGCGTTTAATGAGTTGCAAATTGTTGATTATTTTGGATCAAAACGTCTCTTATGCTTTGTGCTTTAAATCCAAGATGAAATTGAAATTGCTAAAATCTAGACTGCACATCTTTGAAATTTATTATTTATCAGCTTATAAATTAATAGTCAAGATATGTAAACGATTTTTGTCTGTGTAAACAATGAACTGGCCTAAATGGTTTTTTACTTTATTATTTGAAAATATATATTGATCGATATTATTTTATTTTATATTTTTTTATTGTTTTTATAGAAATAAATGAAAAATGTAGAAAAACATTGAATTTCTTCAACCTTAATTAAGCAAATCCACCTTCTTTACGTGACTATTTTTGTCGTTAATGAGCATTCTAAAGTGTGTTTTTACAAGCTTTTAATTAACTTGCTTCCTCTGCCTTGATCGAAACTGGCGAGCGAAATTTCGACCACTTCTCTAACCGACCTGTTTCTCTCTATTTCGTTATATTTATTTAAATCAGAGCCGGCGTTAGGGGGTGGCGAACGGGGCGGTCGCCATAGGCCCCGCGCTTGAAGGGGCCCCGCGCTTCATTAATGTCATTGTTATCTGAATTAGTTCGTAAACTTAAAAAAATTGTTGCTGAATTCAATTGGGAAAAACTAAATGGTCGAATGCCGACGATGCTGATTGTTATAACTGAGTCCACGGTTGATGTTGGTGAGTCCCACCTGAACTGGGACAGGCCGTAATTCGATACAAAAACAGTGTCACACCTCCCCTTTGTGTAGGGTACGGTCGCCTGGCATTTGACCTGAGCTGACTGGAGATGGCGGTCGAGAATTAGCCTACGACGTAAAGAGATACCCTATTGTATGCGGACCCATGAAGACATCCTTTTAGTGACCTGATGAACTCTAGTCCTGACTTTCTTGTTGTAAATGTCGTATAATGTCGTATATGTACAGTGTTTTTCCAGACTTTTTTCACCGGGGGGGGGGGGGGGGGTTGGGGGGGGGGAAGGGGCACTTGAAATTTTCGGGGGGGGGCGGTAGATTTTCTTCGGGGGGGGGGGGCGGACACTGTTAAAAGGATACATTTTCTATATAAATTATATAAATTTCATTTCGTTTTCGGGGGGGGGGGCTTGACCCCCGAAGAGATGCCTGGAAGAAACTCTATATGTAGGCCGGTATAACAAAATTAACATTCAGTTGCATGCAGAGGGGTGGGAGGAGGGCGACGAGGAGGGGGGGGGGGGGCTTAGGATCTATATCAGGCGGCATTAAACAGAGTGATTTATTATTATTTTTTGGAAGAAAGTTAAAACTGTTGTTATGTTGTGTCACCTTAAGGATTCACCCGTTCAATAATTAAGACAATAATGTTTTTGGTTTTAAAATATTGTATGAATTCTAAACAAATTTTGAAGTTTATACTGTTTTGATACATCAGGCCAAGTTCGCTGTATTGTAAACTTTATTTTCCTAAATATTCGGCACGTGATTAAATTTTCTTAAGTGATTTGGTATGAATTACATAACTGTCAAAAGTGATTTAATATCTTAGCAAAGGAAAAAAAAACTACGAACATTGGGTTAATACATGGGAGAGATAAAAATCTGTTATTATAGTGGAAAGTTTGGCATTAGGTTATAAACTCCAAAACATTTGTGTTATTATGTGTACATCACATTATATAGGCCTTTATACATATATATATATATATATATATATATATATATATATATATATATATATATATATATATATATATATATATATAATGGAGAGGCCCCGCGCGGATGGTTGGCCATAGGCCCCGCGTATTCCTAACGCCGGCTCTGATTTAAATAGTGTCGCCAAATTATATGTATCAAAGGAAATCACCATTTTCTACTTTTTCGTGTATAAGCTTGTTATCAAAACGTTTATTATCATTATTATATTTTTTTTCTACCTGACGTAAAAAGATTGATAGTTATTTTGTTGTTTCATTTTGTTGAGTGGTTTTTTTTTTTTTTTTTTTTTTTTTTTTTTTTTTTTTTTTTTATTCTAACGAAAGTTTTAAGTCGTATCTTTTTAATTGACAATATTTCTTGAAATTTGAAATTTTCATGTCTCTTCGCCGTAGTATTAAATATATGATTGCACATCCACTATTTACAAATTATAAAATAACTTCAAAAAAATAGACCATGGAATATATCCACAAAGATAATAATAGACCACCACATAATTATATCCACAAAGATGCAAGACTATTTCCACAATGATAATAGTCTACCTATAACTATAGAGAAATTAGACTACCTATATCCAAAAAGAAGTTAGACAACCTATATCCAAAAAGAAGTTAGACAACCTATATAAAAAAGAAAGACAACCTATGTACACAAACATAATAGACCACTTCGTCCTCACCAAGTATAGCCAATAAAAGTCTAAAGCCAGTGCCAAAAACAAATATCACATCACGTGACTGATTGGCCGTGCAACAAACTCACTGCCTCGCACACAACCGGGCGCCGGCACTGAACTTTGTTTTACGTCATGTCTAGATCTAGACATGACGTCAGAAAATTTCTGACGTCATGACTAGATCTAGAACATTTCTGACGTCATGTCTAGATCTAGAACATTTCTGACTTCATGTCTAGATCTAGAATATTTCTGACGTCATGTCTAGATCTAGAACATTTCTGACGTCATGTCTAGATCTAGAACATTTCTGACGTCATGTCTAGATCTAGAACATTTCTGACTTCATGTCTAGATCTAGAACATTTCTGACTTCATGTCTAGATCTAGAACATTTCTGACTTCATGTCTAGATCTAGAACATTTCTGACGTCATATCTAGATCTAGAACATTTCTGACATCATGTCTAGATCTAGAACATTACTGACGTCATGTCTAGATCTAGAACATTACTGACGTCATGTCTAGTCTAGATCTAGAACATTTCTGACGTCATGTCTAGTCTAGATCTAGAACATTTCTGACGTCATGTCTAGATCTAGAACATTACTGACGTCATGTCTAGATCTAGAACATTACTGACGTCATGTCTAGATCTAGAACATTTCTGACGTCATGTCTAGATCTAGAACATTTCTGACGTCATGTCTAGATCTAGAACATTTCTGACGTCATGTCTAGATCTAGAACATTACTGACGTCATGTCTAGATCTAGTACATTTCTGACGTCATGTCTAGATCTAGAACATTTCTGACGTCATGTCTAGATCTAGAACATTACTGACGCCATGTCTAGATCTAGAACATTTCTGACGTCATGTCTAGATATAGAACATTACTGACGTCATGTCTAGATCTAGAACATTACTGACGTCATGTCTAGATCTAGAACATTACTGACGACATGTCTAGATCTAGAACATTTCTGACGTCATGACTAGATCTAGAACATTACTGACGTCATGTCTAGATCTAGAACATTACTGACGTCATGTCTAGATCTAGAACATTACTGACTTCATGTCTAGATCTAGAACATTTCTGACGTCATGTCTAGATCTAGAACATTTCTGACGTCATGTCTAGATCTAGAACATTTCTGACGTCATGTCTAGATCTAGAACATTACTGACGTCATGTCTAGATCTAGAACATTTCTGACGTCATGTCTAGATCTAGAACATTTCTGACTTCATGTCTAGATCTAGAACATTACTGACGTTATGTCTAGATCTAGAATATTTCTGACGTCATGTCTAGATCTAGAACATTACTGACGTCATGTCTAGTCTAGATCTAGAACATTTCTGACGTCATGTCTAGATCTAGAACATTTCTGACGTCATGTCTAGATCTAGAACATTTCTGACGTCATGTCTAGATCTAGAACATTACTGACGTCATGTCTAGATCTAGAACATTACTGACGTCATGTCTAGATCTAGAACATTTCTGATGTCCTGTCTAGATCTAGAACATTTCTGACATCAGGCCTTTGATTTAGAACAATTTTGAAACAATGTTTTAGTTTTAATTATGTTAATTAACGTTATTTTGATTGCTTGGTATGGTAAGCACCCTGCATCATAATTCAACACAAACTAAAGCGCAACTACGA